CTTTTGGATTTGCGGTTCCAAAGAACATGAAAGGGCGACCCAAAGCCATCTGAAGACATTTGCATGCATCCCACCGGCGTTGTCACAACTGAGGCGACTGACGTGGGTGCTTTGGGGAGAAAACACAACGCCCCAGTTTGGAGGTTTTATGACAGAAACCAAAACAACAAAAGTATAGCTTGGTAGCTAAAGAAATACACCGGCCTGCCATTCGACTTGCCAGGCGGCCGGAACATCGTAGCCATTTCCCTTGGTGGTTCATTGACATTCAAGTTAGACCGTAAGTTCTAAGTGGACTCTCAACGGAAAAAGTAAAGTCTAAAACCCTACGGATGCAACAACTCAACGGAAAAAGTCTAACGTCTAAGGCCGCAAGGTCTTGCTGGGAGTGGCCAAGCCTCGGCTTCCATCTTGGCGCTTTTCCGCGCCAAGGGCACGCCCTCCGCGGCCGCAAACTCGGCCGCCGCAGCAAAAGCTGCGGGCGAGTCGGAGGGCACGATGCAGGCGACGGCGAAGCGCCAGCTCTTCAGCAGGCAGTACACCTCAGCCAAAGGAATTTGACAATTTGGGATTTGATTTGTTTTATTTTTGGACTTTTGTTGGTTTTTGTTTGATGTTGGTTGCCCCCCCTACTTATGGGATGAGTCTCAAGGATTTCTTACAACTTGTCCACCGGGGTCATTTTGGGTTCAGATTTATTTCCCGCTGAAAACGTCAAGGCAAACTCACCTGCAATAGGATATCTGTAAAGCCACCAAAAAGGGAAATATAGGGAGACGTGCTTCAGCCAATTGGGGTAAAGGGGCGGTAAAGGGCGCCGTAGGAGTGGTTATTTTGCACCTCGCCTGGAAGGAGATGTGTTTGGAAGGGAGTTGTTTCCCTCGACCATGTCCGAGGTACTGGGCTAAAGTATTGTAGTTCACGAACCAAAAATGAGAATTGGATCCCCAAGTGAGGGAGCGCCATTACTCGTTTCCCCCCACTTCGAAGAAGGGATCGCCCCCCCACCATGTCCACGAATGACACCGCCAATGAAGAGATATCCCGTCATTTCCATGGATGATTTGTTTCCCCGCCCCCTGCCATTTCCGCAGATTGTGTGTACAAAGATACCCAAAGCTTGGAAAGGAATTGCATGGATGAATGGCGTGTGCAAAACTATGGATGCTTCTTTCAGCGTGTTTGAGCAAAACACCAACAGCGAACCACGACAATGAGCTCTGGCTCTTAAACCCGACAGCAGAAACGAAACCAATATCACGAGTGACTGAATGTGTGTTTTATATATATATATATATATATATTATGCGTGATATAATAACGCCTGGTATGAACCCCCCTCGTTAGTGGGTTAATTAACTACTATTTTGTCATTGCCACCAATGGCCCAACATGATCATAGGTGCAATCATGACTTTTTCTCCAAAATACGGGGCCAAAACAGGTTGGTTAGTTGACCACCAAAACCACTGAGTTTGTCCTAGCGCCCCCCCCCACCCCCGCCTTTCCGGACTGGCACACAAGCCGGCATTGTAAAAAAGGAGCCAAAAAGGACGTTCCCAAAAAATGTGTCACAAGTGCTCCGGGGCAATATCGAGCCGCATTTTGTGAATAATGCCATAGGATAATTCCAAAATTGAGCATCAAAACGAGCTCAAACGAGCACCCCGAAACGGCTTGTCGTGCATTGTGTGTATGTACGATTTGGGCCCCTCAAAAATATCCACATCCATCTCCTGCGTCCCACCGGCCTGCACGGAGTGGTAGCCGCTGGTAAAGAGCAGCGCCAGTCGCGAGTGCGAGGCACCCGGGACGGACATCACGTAGTTGGCCTGGTGGAAGCGGCTGGCCTCACACCGCATCAGCGAATCGGCGATTCTAGGGCTACCTTCCCCATTCTTTCAGGGATCCTTCTTTTCAGGAGATCATCAACAACCCAGGGGAAACAGCCAGATATTGAAAAGAAATATGGTTGAAAAGAATGGGGAATCAACCCCTAGAATGATGCTGGTATGTTGAATGAACTTCGACACATACCCAAACGGGTACGTCTCTTTTGGATGGATGGAGTGGAATGTGTATGTTTCTGAAGGATACTCGTTTTGAGGTTCTCTCCAAACATCCTTTGAAGGGGTCCTCCTTTCCGGAAACCAAACTACAAGAGCTCCTGGGGCTCCTACATGCTGGGTCCCATTGCAATAGCTTGCCGGACAAGGGGATCTCCTTACTCATTCAAAACCGGAATGTCGCCCGACACTCCACGCAAAAACGCGCGCAAGAAGGTCGACGCGCGAGAAGTCCGCGGATTTCCCACGCCTCCAGGCGCTTGCCTGCCTGGTTGCTCAGCAGCTTCAGCGCGTTGTAGACGCGGCTGCCATACCTATGCAGCCGCACTTGTTTGAGTGTCGCTATCGATCTAGATGGGGCTCAAACAAAAAGTTGAGCTATTCATTTTGGGGCACCCTATCTCAAGAGATAGGCCCATGTGTCCCCCTGAAATAACAAGCCAAAGGAAACTCACTCAAACTTGGCCACAACAGTCATGTTTGGCAAAGTCCAACGTGATTTTGAGACGGGTTTTGAGAAAGCAATAGCAGGAAGCTAACCCTCGGACTTCCACTTCCAATCCAAACCTAGCGGTCCCTTCTTGGGTGCTTGAAAGGAAGCCGGAAAGACACCCGCTTTCTTTTCAGGGTCGCCCAGGTCAGGCCCCCTTTGAACATCACCCCACCAAACTGAAACTCTTTTATCAACAAAGGACCTTTCCAAGACGATGTTTACGACCACGCTTGGTGAAACTGGGCCCGTCACACAAACGGGTGTGCGGCTGACGACCCCTTGCCGGCTCTCCTTGCGGACCAGTCACTGCGCTGCCCTCTTACGACGTTCAGAGATGCACCTGCAGAAACAGGCTCTGTCAGGTTGCAACATGGGTTGCAACAACTGGCTGGCGCTCGCAAGTCTCAACGGATTCTCTACATGAGTTTGGGTAGATGGACAAATGCTTTCGACGATCTGTAACAGACCTCACTGCGGACATAGTCCGAAAACTGATTGAACGCGTACAGAACATGTTTCCTACTTTCGTACTTCTGGTTTCCCTTTGCAAAGCCACAAAGTGGCTGACAAAATTTGAGAGAGACAAGCTTCTGTTGGTGCCACTGGGAGATGCCCTTCTCAGGCATACCCCCCAGCTATCACAAGTGACAAGGCCCCATTCATTCCCGCAAAACTCCTGCCCTTGCGACCACACACTGGAATATGAACAAGGGTTGATTTCCTCCAAGCCTGGGACTGATCCACAAACAGGGTTGCTCCGAGCCACGAAGTCCGCGTAGTCCGTGGCCTTAGAAGAAACAGTTCTTGCTGAAGCGCGTGAGGCCCGCGCCCATGTCTCCAGTACGAGCTCGACCTGCGCGGCGTCCGGCCACATCAAAATTAGGTCCTGAGGCAGACAGGATAGGATAATTTTAAGCTTGTACGATTGCCAGGCCTCGTCTCTGAAGTCCTCCCACGCCTTGCCCTTCAACGAGAACATGGGGATCAAAGGAAGTGAAAGCAAACGCGATGTCTTGCACACGGCGAGAGCTTGAGCTGCTGAAGCGGCAGCGCGCGGCGCAGATTTGCAAGGTCGCGGCAAAAAGCCGCAACTCGCCGCGAGTCTCGCCCACTTACAAAGCAATCGTGGAACTCGGGGCAACTTCGTGGAAGCTTGAAGTCATGCCCCCTTCGTTCATCGACGTGCCCCTCCCTCCTTCCCCAGCCCGACGGGGCCTGCTTTTTATAGAAATCATGCTTTCGCCTTGCTGTGTCTAGCGTCGGCTGCTTTAAGCCGAGGGCAAGTTGCTTATAACTTACATTTCTACCCTTGTACCAGGGGCCCTTGAAGCAACCCGAAAAACACCCTATGTGTGCCTCTGCTGTTTGAAGGCACCTCCTTCAGGAAGCTTGAAAGTTGGAAATCCAAAACCAACTGAGGGGTCCCCTAGTTTGAATGTTGACACATAGCTGAATGGGTAGGTCGTTGGAGAATGGGGGGCATTGGCCTCGAAACCCGAAACCCGGTTCTGGGCCTGGGCGCTCCCAAGCTGCGCGCCACGGCGCGTAGGGCGCCCTTGCCACCGTCCGCGGCCTCGCTCTCGGTCGCCTGGGGATTCGAGGGAATGGAAACATGAATCGACGTTGGGTTGGGATGCGTGTGGATGTGTGCGTGTGCGTGTGCGTGTGCGTGCCGTGTGCGTGCGCGTGCGCGTGCGCGAGTGCGCGCGTGCGCGCGCGTGCGATCGTGCGCGCGCGTGCTGTGTGTGTGTGTGTGTGTGTGTGTGTGTGTGTGTGTGTGTGTGTGTGTGTGTGTGTGTGTGTGTGTGTGTGTGTGTGTGTGTGTGTGTGTGTGTGTGTGTGTGTGTGTGTGTGTGTGTGTGTGTGTGTGTGTGTGTGTGTGTGTGTGTGTGTGTGTGTGTGTGTGTGTGTGTGTGTGTGTGTGTGTGTGTGTGTGTGTGTGTGTGTGTGTGTGTGTGTGTGTGTGTGTGTGTGTGTGTGTGTGTGTGTGTGTGTGTGTGTGTGTGTGTGTGTGTGTGTGTGTGTGTGTGTGTGTGTGTGTGTGTGTGTGTGTGTGTGTGTGTGTGTGTGTGTGTGTGTGTGTGTGTGTGTGTGTGTGTGTGTGTGTGTGTGTGTGTGTGTGTGTGTGTGTGTGTGTGTGTGTGTGTGTGTTGTGCTGTGCTGTGCTGTGCTGTGCGGTGCGTGTGCGTGCGTGCATGGGTGTGGTGTGTGGGTTTGCTTGTCTGTGTCTGTGCGTGTGTGTCTGTGCGTATGTGTCTGTGTGTGTGTATGTATGTGTGTGTGTGCGTGTGCGTGTGCGTGTGCCTGTGTGTGTGTGTGTGTGTGCGTGTGTGTGTGTGTGTGTGTCTGTTTTTGTCTTTGTCTGTGCGTGTGCGTAGGCGTGTGCGTTCACGTGCGTGTGCGGGCGCGCGGACGTGTGAGTGCGCGCGTGTATTTGCGTGTGTTTGTGTGTTTGTGTGTGTGTGTGTATTTCTGTGTTTGTGTGTTTGTGTGGTTGTTTGTTTCGTTGATTGTTTGTTTGATTGTTTGTTTGATTGTCTTGGCGTGTTTGTTTGTTTCTTTGTTTGGTTGTTCTGTTGCTTCTTTTGATTGCTTGTTTGTTTGTTTGCTTGCTTGTAGGACTCTTTGTGTGTGTGTGTCTGTGCGTGTCTGTGCGTGTCTGTGCGTGCGTGCGTGCGTGCGTGCGTGCCACAGTGCGTGCGTGCGTGCGTGTTGTGTGCGTGCGTGTTGTGTGCGTGTGTGTTGTGTGCGTTATGTGTTGTGTGTGTGTGTTGCGTGGTGCTGTGCTGTGCTGTGCTGTGCTGTGCTGTGCTGTGCTGTGCTGTGCTGTGTTGTGTTGTGTTGTGCGATGTTGTGCGGTGTTGTGCTGCGTGTCAGGGTTGGTGCGTGCGTCTTGTGTTTGTGTGTGTGTGGTGTGTGTGTGTGTGGGTTGCGTGTTGTTTGTGTGTGTGTGTTGTGTGTTGTGTGTGTGTGTGTGTGTGTGTGTGTTTGTGTGTCGTGTGTGTGTGCTGCTTGTGTCATGTTGTGTGGTGTGGCGTCGTGTTCTGTTGTGTTGTGTTGTTGTGTTGCGCTGTGCTGTGCTGTGTTGTGTTATGTTGTGTTGTGCGGTGCGTGTATGTGCGTGCGTGCATGGGTGTGGTGTGTGGGTTTGCTTGTCTGTGTCTGTGCGTGTGTGTCTGTGCGTATGTGTCTGTGTGTGTGTCTGTGTGTGTGTCTGTGTGTGTGTGTGTGTGTCTGTGTGCGTGTGTCTATGTGGTGTCTGTGTGTCTTCTTGTGTGTGTGCTCTGGTGGTCTGTGTGTCTGTGTCTCCTTGCGTCTGTGTCTGTGTGTTTCTGTGCTGTCTTTGTCTCTGTGTGTGTGTGTGTCGGTGCGCGTGTGTGTCTATGTGTGTCTGTGTGTCTATGTGTGTCTGTGTGTCTGTGTGTCTGTGTCTCTCTGTGTCTCTGTGTCTCTCTGTGTCTGTCTCTGTGTGTGTGTGTGTGTGTCTGTGTCTGTGTCTGCGCTGTGTCTGTGTCTGTGTCTGCGCCTGTGTCTGTCTCTGTGCATGTCTGTTGGTGTGGGTCTCTCTCTCTCTCTCTCTCCCTCTCTGTGTGTGTGTGTGTCTCTGTGTGTGTGTGTCTGTATGTATGTCTGTGTGGGTGTGTCTGTGCCTGTGGCTGTCTGTGTGTGTGTGTGTGTGTGTCTGTGCCTGTGTCCGTCCGTGTGTGTCTGTGTGCGTCTGTGTGCGTCTTTGTGCGTGTGTCTCAGGGTGTGTGTCAGGGTGTGTGTCTGTGTGTGTATGTGCGTCCCTGTGTGTGTGTGCGGGTGTCTCTCTCTGTCTCTGTGTGTGCACCCTGTGTGTCTGTGCCTCTATCAATCCACTCCAGGGAGTTGGTTTCCTCTTGGTTTTTCTTGAGACCCTCGCCTCGCGGGAACACGCACCAGCCGGCAGCTTCAGTGCCAGTGCCAGGAGGTCATCGTCCAGGAAGGGGTACCGGATCTCCACCCCGGCCTTCGCCGTCAAGCGTCGAAAACGTCTTGGGGGGTTGATGGGGGTTGTTCTTGAGCCACCAATGTGCTTCTTGACTCTCTACCATCCTTTGGTGGGGTCCAAACACGGTTATGAGGACGAATCAAGTGCCTGGGTTGCAAATCGTGTATGCTGAAATGGTCAACAGCCAGGGAACCCAGTTGCCCGGTGCCCCGAATGGCTGAAAAGGAAACCCTGTTTGGGTTTGACCATGCCACCTTGCGCTCGAGTAACCTCCTTGGGTTCTTCAAAAATAACTATTAGATAAGATCCTTATTGGTTTCTGAACAAAAGTATCCTTTCCGCCTTTCAGGATCTGCTCTTTGGATTTGTCTCAGAATAGGGAAAGCCTTCAAATGTGTTTTCTTTCTTGCTTTCCCCTTTCAGCAACCCAACCGTGCTTGCTTTTAGGGACTGATTCAATTCCCAACGTTCCCTTTGTCTCCCAAGAAACGGAAACTGTTCAAAAGAATGGCTGGGCTGACTCCTCAAGACAATGGTTAAAAAGAACGATGGTTATTGGGTCGAACAGCCATTGTCTGCAACCCAGCCACCGTTCTTTTCACCAGTCGTTCCCCCCTCCGCGGAGTTGGGTGGTTTATTGGAAAGGAGGATCCCTGAAAAGAATGGCTGGAAGCGAGAATCTGTACAGTTCAGGGAAACTGACCGTGCTCAGGGTTCCAACTATCTGCCTAAAAACAAAGCCAACTTGCAATGAAGACCCAAGCAGAATGGCCGATTCCAAAATTGTGGATGCTTTTCCCCTCCCGAAAGGGACCTAAACAACAACTCCAAACACGTACTCTCCTGAATCAGGCCACGGAAACTGAAAAAACACCCACGTGCCCTCTGGGGTCGCCTATTTCGATGCCCCTTTTTGAGTTTCGTTTCCCGTGTTCATCAAGGGAAGCAAAAACTAATCACAGCCCCTCCCAAACCTCCAGTGCATTTTCACGGCACCAACGGGAAACCTTTTTTTGAGTAGTTGATCTTACAGTGACCTGCCTTTTTTCCTGAAAAGATCCAGAGTGCCGTCATCTCCAGAGGGGCATTGATCTTAAACGGACCCCCCCCCAGACAAAGCCTAGTGGTTCGTTGATCCCTCGCCAAAGTTGAACTTGTAGAGAAATAAGTCATAAATCCCACAAGTTAATCTCCAAAAGTCTAATTAAGTCTAAAAACTCCGAAAAGTCCAAACAGTCCAAAAAGTCCAAAAAGTCCAAACAGTCCAAAAAGTCCAAAAGAACTAAAAAAGTCCGAAAAATCACAAAAGTCCAAAAAGTCTAAGAAGTTTAGAAGTCTCAAGGTACAGCTGGAAACCGCACGACACAAAGGCACTGCCCGGGTCACCGCTTCGGCCTGCGCGGCCACCGCAAAGTCCCGCTGCAGGTCTCGGTGCCACATGGAGGCCAAGCCCAAGGTGCGATCCTGTGAAGTCTCCTCCCTTGAATGCGATCCGATCCAAAGACCCCGTCGTGACGACTGACTGGGTCCCTCCATTCGAAGACGGGGAGAGAATGACCTCCTTTAAAAGACTATAGAAAAACAGCCAAAGACCTCATTTCAATGGTGGGTGATACCTCCATTTAAAAAAAAAATGGAGAAAAAGGCTTGGGTCCCTCATTTCAAAGGAGGGGCTTTGCAGAATGAGGAAAATGGATATGGCACTGCAGGCTGACTGGTGCTTGGAACCCTTCCACTCACTTGTTCATTTGCGCGTGGCACAAATGGTCGTCGGCTCTGTGGCTCGCCGCTGAATCCCAGCCAGCCAATTGATCCTTCGACAAAGGGAAATATGGGCATGTCTTTTTGAGGGGCGCCCTTGTTGGGCTTGTTTGAGGGGCAGCAAGGGAGAGCTATCTTTTTGGGATGTTGCCCTATTGGGCATCATTTACAACGAGATTTACGTCCACCAACCATTTGCGAAGGGGGCAATTAAAGCTGCTTGTGAGTCAGGGACAAAATATGCAGCTCCTGGACATGAGGAAAAAGTAAGTTCCCTGGTGTTTGCCGGCAATTTTACTAAGTCCCCCTATTTCGCTCCCAAACTTTGACTATAGACTATGCTGGGTATACTAGCTTCAATATGTCCAGCAATGCAACACCTGAAAGGAATCCCTAGGTAAAGGAGCGACATTATCTCTTTCGCTCGTTTAACCCCCGAATCGGTCGCCATACAAAAGGCAGATACTCAAATGGCCCCTGGGTCAGCTAAATTGTTCCGCTGGTTATAACCCAGTGAACAGGGACTTACAACCATGCCAAGGATATACACATACATATGTACATATATCTATATACATATGAATTTCTGCATATGAATATACATATATAAAAATAACGATCACCCTGGCTAGTTGCTAAGTAGCCATCGGTCCTTGGCTGTGGCCGCATCCCCAGCCGCGCAGGCGCGCAGGTGCCGCGCGTAGCCAGCAAAGGCCTCCTTGCCGTCAGAGGCTGAAAATTGGTTTGACGTCCAAGTCTTGGTGCTCCGGAAAACCAACATGAGGCTGTTTGAACCAAAGTAGGAAGCATCCCTGCTCAAAGATCCCTGAAATCCCCAATCACGCCTTTAGAGAGGGAGGAAGAAACCTAGTACTGAATCGGCCTTCAGAAAAGAGACTTTGGGCGCTGCTTACGCTGCTTAAAGGGTCAAATGCAGGATGCTCCAATGGCGGGTTCTCTTGGTTCCCTATACCAAATGCTGGGCGAACGAAGCTGGTTCCTCAATGATACGGTTTCACAAAGTCAATAAATGTCTGGTTCGTAAACCCTTCCTCATCAAGGGGTTCTCTCGGAAGAAAGGACCCTCTTGTGTCTTGCGGTTTCTCAGCAAGCGTTTCAAGCAACAGACCAAGTGGTTGCCAACTGCTATCGCTGCCTGAAAATCTGGCGGGTGCGACCCGCTAGACCTCCGAGATGTTTAAACATTGATGTGTCAAACAAAGTGTAGAAAGAAGGTGTCTGTTTTTGGCCCCGCGAGGATCTTAAAATGTTGAGCTGGGGAGTGGCAAAGCGAAACTATGTGCTGGCCATAGTCTTGGGCATCAGTTTGGCAAGCCAGCATCTAGGTTTTGCAAAGGGCGCGAGGCATGATTCGGATTTAGGTTGACCGAACCTTGTGGGTGCCTTGACGTGGTTTCGGGCTAAGTGTATGTAAGCTAACCAAACGGCACCACACAAGCACGCGATAACTCTTTTATCCAAGCATTGTGTTGGTGCCAGGGACTCATCTTCCCCTGTCAGATGTTCACGGCTGGGTGGGCCCCATGGGCCACCCACCCCAAACTTTCAAATCCCAAAGAACGGGTGTGCAGACTAATAGCGCCCGCCCTTGGGCCGGGGCCGAGGGCCCCCAGGCCTCAAGGGGGTCTGCCACCAGGGGAAGTGAGTCGCCCACCGGCTCCGGTCACGGGAGCGTGGGTGGGCCCACACTGAGGTCAAAGGCATCTCCATTCAGGAGACGCGGAAGAAAGGTAAAATCTTCGCAGAGTTCCTGTTTAGGGACTCCATTCAACGGAGCGAAACCAGCGAATTCTGGGTGAGTCAGTTCATCAGCCCATTGGTTCAACTCGCGTGGCACGTGATTGGCCGCCAGGGAGCAGCCATGTGTGTGGAGCAGGAAGACCAACTCCATCAGGATAGCCGCGGTGTAGGGCTTCTTGGACCCGATATTGAGCATGGCCATGACATTGCCCTGGTTGTCACTGCCCGCCGGGAGACGGACCCAAGAGGCCATAGGGCCTTGTTGGATGAGGATCATGTTGTGGAGGAAGAGCGTGCCCAGCATTTCCAGAGCCGCAATGCGCCGTCTGGGATCCCCATCCTTGAACGCCCAGGGGTACTCCTCTTTGTGGATCTGCTCGTGGAACCAGTAGACCTCCGTCTTCTCCGGCTCCACCATGTTGCAGCACCGGCCCCCCACTTACGCCTCGCCCAGGTCTGAGGCACCCGCATCACCGCAACCCCGCCAGGAGGATTTCGGCAGGCAGGGGGAGTACTGCATGAATGGTGTGTTGAAGAGGTGACGTAGCATGAGTGCCAACATCCTCACCACCCGAGGTGGTTTTCCCACCGTGGTGGTGGCCCTCTTCCAGGCCCACAGCGGTTGAGGCATCGGCTTTGCCAACGGGCAGGCCGACGTTGCCCATTGAATGCGACCCAGGGCCTTCTCAATCTCCTTGGCGTGCCTTGCCTGCCCTTCCACCATGATCTGCAGCACCTCCATCACTAGGATGTGCTTGTTAGCCGCCATGAGGACCTGTGGGAGGTTCGGGTGGACCAGAAAGCATGTGTTCACCTCCGCCAGGTGTGTCTTCTTCCAACTCAGGGGGGTGCCCAGCGCCAGGGGCGTAGCCCGCACCGCCCCCGCCATGTCCACCGCCCCTTTGCTGCGAAGCAGCCAGCCATCCAACCCTGTGGCTGCCGTTGTCCGCTCCACTGTCTGATTCCGGATGGTGTCATTGGCGCCCCCGATCGAGACATCGTAGATGGTGCGGATCTTGTTCCCCTATTCGATTTCCGCCAGGGGACCCAGGCAGAGATCCGCTGGCCTACAATTGCAGTGAGCCGCTGGCTCCCCCTTGGAGAGAGGGCCCTCCACCATGCCCATGGGGACCTCCTGCATGTCCACTCCAAGCTGTGCAAGATGTCTAAGTGGAAGGCCAATGGAGAGCGATTGCTGGAGTCGATCCGCCAAGGCGCTGTGAGGACGCACATCTTGGCTCCCATGTACGCTACTTTGGATAGCGGCCTGATCCACGGAGCCAGCCGGCCCAAAGAGGGCTTTCCTCCCCCATCCCGGAGGGGTCGTTGTTGGCTGGTCCCCCCCCGGGGCCGGGGGCACCCTTGGGCGGGTCCACCGACTCCACCTCCGGCGTCTCCGCCAGCAGCTCCTCCTCCTTCCACGGGTTCCCGACTCCCGCAGCTGTTGGATGAAGGGGATGTACTTCTCCTTAATGTCCCCTACCGAAGAAAATCCTCCCGAAGAAAATCCAGACCTGGTTGGTCTCCTGCATGCGCTTGTTCCTGCGCCTCCTGGATGGTGTCCAGCGCTTCCGTCAGGGCCTGGCCAGCCTCCACATTTGTGCCCTCTAAGGACTGCTCCCTCAACTTCTCACGAAACCGCCGTGACCAACTGCCTGGCGAGCCGAGACCTCCTCTGGGGACAAGTCACGCTTCTGGGGCAAGGCCCGGTGGAGCTCCTCTTTCTTCCTAATGGCCTGCTCCACCTGCGGGTGGTAGAGCGGGAAGCTTTGCGACTCCGCTTCCTGCAAGGATCTCTGTACCTGGACCTGGACTTGCTGGTGCTCCCTCACCTTCATCGCCTCGGCGTCCGCCTCCATGGTGAGAATCTCCTGCCTGATGTCCACCCTCAAATTCAACGGGACCCACGTCCACCATCTTGCGATCCACGTCCCGCTGCTGGACCCACACCAGCTTGCCCTCCAGGATCAGCAGGTGGTAGGTGATGCCGTCGGCCTCAACGTTGCGGAGGGAGCCTAAGCTGAATCTTCATCGGTACAAAGGTCCGCATGACGAGGCCCTCCGACAGAGTCTTCCCGACAAACTTGTAGAAGAGAGAGGCAGCCTCCGCCCCCGTGATGTCCCGCAACAGGGTAACCGCGGATGCCTGCAGGGTCGGGAAGGAGTCCGCAAGTCCGTGAGGCGGTAGTACCCGGGCTTGTCCTCCACCGGAAGCAGGCGAACCAACTGGGTCTCCGGGGCCTCCTGCCTGGCCAACTCGATCTCTTCTTCCGTGATCTTCTGCTCCTCCACCAATTCCATCGAGGACACCGTGGTGGTCGAGGATGCCATTGCGAATCGGAGACGCGAGAGGGATCGAAAGAAACCTGCCTTTTTCAGATCAAGTAGGGTTCAGAGAACCCCAAGGCAATGCTTGAGCCAAAATGGCACATGCCATTGTGGTCAAGCATTCCACACACAGTTCATGTTTCCACATGTTCCAACATTAACAAAACATAAGAAGTCACCAACCTAACCCAGTGATTCCAGTTATCTGTATAGTAGGCAACTACGCGTACCACCCTGTAAAAACCAAGGAAACTTTGCTGGACACCTGCTATACTGGGAACTGGGATCCACTGGTACAGAATAAACGGGCTTGTCTTTGCTTGAGCGTACCCTTTTTGGGGTTGGCTGAAAGGCAAAGCAAAGAAACCCACCCATTTTGAAAAACAACTTGTTTGGTTCTATCTCTGGTCAAAACCACCAAAAGGATACCCAGGTCTTTCTGCGAGGGCAGCTTTGATTGTTTTGGTCCTATTTTCAAGCCTCGCCCCCACCCATTCCACTCCCCAACCCATCCCACTCCCCAACCCACTCCACTCCCCACCCCATCAAAACCCCCACTCCTCAGATCCCAGGCCGCTGAGCACCACCCTGAGCCCATCTTTCGCCGCCAATCGGCAAGCGTCCAACATCGTCATCCCCACCGCGGCCTCCGCTCGCGCGCGTCGCGACCGAAGCCCGGCCGCGCGGGGTCCCCGGTTGGAACAAAAACAACAAAACCGAGGAAGAAAAAAAAGAAGGTGAAAACGTAGCCGGGAACAACAGCACCAACCAGGAAACGGAAAACATAAACCACCGAAGACAAAACCGCGCCAACTCAACAACTAGTGGAAATGGGAAGTGGGGAACCGGGAGCAAAAGCAAGCAAGCACCGCCCCAACCACGAAAAAACGAGAAATGGTGAAAGGGGGGTGCCTTTTTGGATCCGTGAAGCAGTCATTTCAGACTCCATTGGACGTTGAAGAGCCCATGATATTTCGCACCCAATCAGCACACTATGCAAGGGAGAGGAATGATTACTGATCGGCCTGGTTCTTCCATCCACTGGATACCTTTCCAGCGATTGCCCGCTGAGGGCCAACAAAGAGATCCATGTTGTGGGATTGCAATCCAAACTTTGACAAGCCCCAAGCAAAAACAAGGAACCGAGGCCAACAACAGAAAAACCTGCAGGTAAAAGCAACTATCAAATAGCTAGAGGCTTGGGGGTTTGGGGGTTTGGGGGCCTTGGGGCCTTGGGGCTTTGGGGGATTTGGGGGTTAAGGGGTTGGTATAGGGCTGGCTTAGCGTTGGCTTAGGGCTGGCTTGGGGAGGTCGGGTTGGTTTAGGGTTGGTTTGAGGTTGCCTTGGGGTTCGTGTGGTCAAGGCTTTTCACTTCTGGCTTAGGGTGGGCATTTGGTGGTGGGTGGGTTTAGGCTAGGGTTGACAAGCCACCAAAGCCACGAAAACCTTAACAAGCCGCAGAAAGGTGGGTTGAGGGTGGGCGTTGGATGTCTTCGGGTTTCCAAAGCCACAGAAGCCGCCAACACCACAACTCACAAGCACCACAGAAGGCAAAAGGCTAGTGCGGAGAAATCCAGGCGACTGACCGACTGTGAACCCTGCCACGACCCGCCCGTGGGGCCTGGATGGGTGAGCACGCCATAAGATCAGCTCAAACGGGGCACTGTGGGATGGCTTGCAAGGGCTGGAGAACACCCCATCAACCATAAAGTGCCATAAAGTAGAAAAATCCTTCCTCAAAACCCAAGGGAAAACCGCTGCCGCCTGGTTGGAAATTGCAAAGGAATCAACCACCCAACCAATCGACCAACCGACCAAGCGACCATCCTACCAACCGACCAACTGGCCAACCGGCCAACCGACTCGCCCCGGTCTTTTTGGAACTCTTTTCGGCTCAGCGCACGCCCGCACCTTGACGCTGTTCCAGTCCGCCACCACAGGCGCGCAGCGGAGCAACAGCTCTTCTGCCTTGGTTGCTCGACCAGCTTCAGCGGTCTTTTGGCTGGTTGACTCCGTATTCTCTGCGTGGCTCTTTGGCCATTTTAGGCTGATTGAGCTCATTTCAGTTGTCAACCAAACCACCCAAAAAAAAGACACCTACACCAACTCTGTCACAAACATGGATTTCCTTTGGCTTGCCAACCTGAAAGGGCTTCCCTTCTAAGAACACACACGCACACTTTTTTACGCACAGATCTGACGCAAACCAGCCGCGTTCATCGGCCGGCCTCTTCCAGGTTCATGACGTGGGCCTTCCACTCGAGGCCCAACTCCCGTGCCGCGGCTTCCGCGGAGGACAAATCCTCCAGAAGCCCCTCTTGGAGTACGCGCGGGCGCGCGCGCGTGAGTGCAAGACCCGTGGCTGAGCGATTTTTGGGGCTCACTGAGTTGAGGTGGCGGCTTGTGTTCTTTGAGCAATGGAAATACCTGGAACGGAGGGAAGCTCCGAGAAACGTGCGTGTTTTTTGACCCCCAAAGGGTGTAGCTCATTGAATCTCCCCCAACCAAAGAGTTTCTCCATGGGCAGGTTTGTGCCGTGTCGCAAATATGTCACCGGGTCTGATGACCCACATTAAACGGTCGAGATATCCAAATCCCGCAATGGACATGGCAACATGAGTGAGTCCCCCCAGTTTCTCAAGGAAAGTGATTGATTTCAATGCTGGCACGTTTTGGCCAAGCCTGTCATGGCAACTTTCCTGGTTCCTTTTCCTCTCCTCACCAGCCGGGTAGCATATTAGCCCACCCTCCTGGGCGGATTCATGCGTTCACGCCCCACTCCCCCACTTGCTTGTCAGGTAGGGGACAATTGACACCCATCTTCTAAGACTGGTTGTGGTACCGATTGGAACTTAGCATAAGTAAATCCCTCGTCAATTTGAGGTGCCCCTTTGGAGTTCCTTTTTGGAGATCCCAGGAGAAGGAAGCAAATGCATCCAAAGTTCCCGGAGTCCGTGCCTCCGGATAGGCGTACTTGTTCCTGACTTGCTGAGTTCACCGCTACCGGACCAAACAAGAATAACGCACACATATTCTGGAGCCTAAACCCAAGGTGGAGTTGTAAGTCTGTACATCCTGCATTGAGCTCAAAGGGAAAACCCGAAACCCTTGCCAAACAAACCAAGTCGTGCTCTTTGCTGCAATGGTTCGGGGATGACTTCTTTTGTGACCCAAAAATTGCGAAGCGTTGGCTCTTCCCCAACTTGGACGAGGGCTCCCCGCTTAGCGGAACCGAAGCACAAGTTGACAAGGATGGAGGGATTGGCGCGGGGTCCCCAATAGAGCATGGCCGTTAAATTCCCACACACAGATTCACTTCGCATCCCCGCCACCTGGTTCTTCTGACTTCTGGGTAACAGCACAACAGCTGGGTACATCTCGAAATGGGGCAACCGCTTGAAATGGCAGGCTTCCTCTTCATGCTTAAAAATCGCCCGCAAAACCGAACATGGAACCCTCGAAAGGGGACGAGCCCAGAAAGGGTTCCCGTAACGTTACCCAACACATCTTGATAGCTAAAAGGGGACGTTTTTGGAGCTGATGCTCGAACTTAACGAAAACATGACAAGGAAAAATAAGGTGGAATCCACTCAAACGCTCCTGGGGCCTCCCATGAAAGACCGAGACTCCTCCGTCGGACTGGCTGAGTTGGTTCAAAATGGAGATCCCAAATTTCAAGGATTGAGGATTGATTTTGAACAACCACCCAGACCGGCAGGGAACCAGGACCCATTTTGGAGTTGACTCCATGCACCCAACACAAAGGGGAAAGGGGTGGAATCCACCGGTTGGAAACTCACTTTACACCGCCCTTCGGGAAAAGTCTTGAGAACCCTGAACTTTCCTCAGAACTTTCCGAGGCTCTTCTTCTTCTCCACGTGGAAGCCCACGGTGTAGCCCGTACAGCGCAGCTTCTTCTCCGTGAGGATCCAGGCCAGGAGCCCCGAGTCCTCGCAAGCCGTCTGGGGCGGGGGGGAGTTTGTTTTCTGGGTTTCTGGGGGGTACGGGGGAGTAAGGGGAAAGAGGCGAGTGGCTCCTGTTGCATTTGTGGGACCGTGGCACACCCAAACTAGTCGAAGGTTCTAAATCCAACAAAAAGCCCTTGCGGGCAAGCCTCTGGCAAGCGATCCCCACAAAACAGGGACCCTCCTTTTAACAATTGCAAAATAAAGTAACAAACAGGGTATAAGTGTGTGCCATGGTCATGGGTAATGTTTGTAATTATCTAGCCCCTTACCTTTGCAAAATGAACCACCATACACGAGCCCTGAAACAAGGATCGAGGCACCCAGCTCATGAGCCCTCCAGGTGGTTCCCAGGAACCTTTGTTCTAAGTCAAGAGTGGCTGTACATACCCTTGTTAGTACGTGTGTGTGCCAGTTGGTTGCCTGGTTTTCAACCCACTATGCAAGAAGTGACCCTTTTGCTTCTGGAGAGAGGATTTTGTATGAACTACAGTCCTTTCGGGGTAGGGATACGCAATAGGCTATGCACCCCCATAGACTCATGGGTGGCCTCATTTCACCCCAGAGATCATGATCCTTGCCTTGGCTTGATACCCAAAACAGGTGCCTCATGTCCTGTGGACTGGCCACAAGTGTCGAAACTTGTTGGCCACCAAAATGATCCTCGAGGATAGAGTCCGCGAACTCGAGTCTGTTGCCAAGCTCTCAAAGTTGGATGCCGAAAGGGGGCGATTCCACCAAACCAAAGGAGCAAGCCCCGATCCGCAAGCTTGCCATAGTTCGTGCAAACACATCGATCCCAGATTCAAACGCGGGGTTCCCCTAAAAGGGAAGAATTCCCTGCAAAACACCATTTGGGAGTTCTGACGAAAAACACCACATGATTCCTTTGTGCATACCAATACTGTGGATGGACAACATCCTGCACCGGTTGGGATGCATAAAACCTTGTACTGGATCAAACCACCTATTAACTGCAGGATTTTGTCCATCCACCAATCGATTTACCAGATGTCTATCGGGAAACTCTCCATTTGTCAAGCGTCCAGGCCGCCGCTGAACAAGAGACCCACATGCTCCACATCCCACAGGCAGCGTTCCACTGAGCGAAGCAGCAGAGATCGCAGGCGGGTTGTCAGGTCGTCACTTCCTTGGTCCCGTGATTCCTTGCTAAAGAAACCAACTTGTGGTGGGATACGCTATGGGGATGCTTTGGGTCTTGTTTGGACTTATGTCATGAATACCTCCAAGCTATGACCTAGAAACGTCCGAACTGCTGTTCTACGGCTAAAAGTAATCTTCCCAAAAAGTACTCCCCTGAGAAAGCATTGCACAACTAGAATCAGCAGTGGATTTCAAGGACTTTAAGAACCGACCTTTCTGGGGAGTATTGATTCACCAAGCTACCCTGACCTTTTTCTCCTGGGTGACGGGCCTCTGGGGGCATACCCCCGCGAGCTCCGAAAGGAGCCCGAGGGGTGCAGATAGGAAGTCCGTCCCAAGCGCTTCTATTAGTTCCGGTTCAACCTCACGGAGGGGATGGCCCCAGTCGCCATGCGAGGACAAGGGACACACCCTACAACAGAAGGAAAAGGACACCATTGGAGGTCTGGAGTAGGCAGCAGTTGTGCTTTACCTATTGCTTGGTACGGTTTCCTTCAGCTGTAATAAGTGGAGGCTCTGGGAATGATTGACATTGGCAATGACCGGGGATGTGATTCATGAAGCACCGGTGGGTCCTTCACAGGTGGACGCTTCACTTTTGCGGATGGCAGTGCATCTTAAAAATTAAAACAACCAAGGCTGTACCCTTCTTTCCACCACCTAACATTACGGGAACGATTTATCAGGAAAGCGCAAAACACGTGAACTGTATATACATCAAAGGACAAGGATGCATAGAGAAATGAAAGGACCAATGCCAAGCATCTCTACATCAACAAAGTGAGCCTCAACAAATGATGTAAGGGTCATCACCAGGTTGCTGTAGCTGGAATCACTGAAGCAAAACCCCCCCCTCTCGATTTCGAAACAAGGCGCCACTACCCTCAGGCAGCTCGACTTCTGCATGGAGACCGTAGAAGGCGTCTAGAGCGGACGACCTGGGTCCCGCGAGGGCAGCGCGCTTGACGTTGGGGCTTCAAGTTTAGGTGACCTACTACAATAGCTTGCCAAAGGCATTCGGTCAAACAATTTCAGAACTGACGGATGGATGCTAAAGCAGGGCGCGGGGATCATGAACAAACACTTCCCCGAACACGTGTCAGCCAGGATGGAATCCCGTTTTGGTATAACGACACCAAGCAGCTGTTCCAAGTAACAGTTCCTGGCTGGCGTGCTTGGCCGAACGCTCCTTCCCAATGATTGGCCCCCACTGTAACCCTCATGTGGCTCTTGTTTCTGCACATGGTCCGGCAAAGACTCCACGAGATGGTGGTCAGTCCAGTGCTACCTGACCTTCATCCCTGCCCGACCCCCATCATCAATAAGCCCACTTGTATCTGGTGTTGCCCTACACCCTACAAAAGGGACTTCCTGGCGTCCACTTCTCTGCCGGCATTCCGAGCCACTTCTGGATCCAAATCTCGGCCAAGGGGCAGCCCTTCCTTGGCCGACCAGTGGTGCAGCAGCCGGGGACACGCCTGCCGGAGCTGCAGCGCTTCCAGTGCAATTCCGGCGGCCAGGGGCACCTGGCGAAACGATGCACGCGCGGAGAGTGGCGGGGGGGGGGGATCTGTTTGGCCATGGCTTGCTTAGAATGGTTGGAAGGATTGGGTTGGCAGGGTTGGGCAAATGTGGCTTTGGAACAACTCAACCTTGGCCCCCTGACAGGAGAAAAGAAGAAAGAGGTTGTTTGAACAGCAGTGGTTTAAGCAAGCTGAAACGAGGGCTTGGCCCAACCCTGATGATTGGTGACAAGGGTTTTCCCGTCTAGGGCTACGGCTGTGTGGTTCTGCGCTTCAGTGAACTGGGTTAGCTAGTCTAATCGGCCGCTCGTCGTGGGTTCCGGCTTTGGCCAACGGCTAAGGGCTCTCAAGCGTTGATTGGACTGATCAACCCCTCGATTCGATTCATCCCGGGTGGAAAATGAAGCAAGCACAGATATGAGCCACGCGGTGAGCTCCCTGGTTTTTTGTGCGAAGTTGACCGAACCTCCAGAGTGGTACCACAGGCGGTTGAACAATGATGTACAGTTTCTCCATGACATCTGCTGGGAACAAAGGGTTGGTGCACTCCATCTCCCCATGGAAACTCACGCAACATGACAACGCTCGCAAAGGCACCCAAGGCGCCAATCCCGATCAAGACTTCTTGCCTTCCTACGTGACTTCCTTCTGCCCTTCTGACATCGTACCCTCCAATCTGTCTGGATTCCTTCCCGGGTCTCCCCTCTACTCTTTCCGTTTCACAAGATAGTACTGCCCAACAAAAGACTCACCCACTGGCCAACCCGCTTCTCCCTGCCTGCTCCAGCGGCCAGTAGGGAGACAGCAACAACTCCCCCTTTCCCTCGCCCATACAGAGGGGCACTCGGCCCACCGGCTCGGTGACCGCAAAAACGCGCAGCCTCAGCTTCCGCCGCTCCGGACCCGCTCAGTCTTTTGGCTCAACCCGTTTTTGGGGGCCCATACTGACCAAAAGCTCAAATGGAGGTCAAAAAGCAGGTCTGGGGTTGGAAAAGCAGGGTGCCACTCCCAAGCACCCATGGCTTTCTGAAGTCTGGTTGAAACCTCCGCTTGCAACGGCGAATGAATGCCTTGTCTGTTCAAGTAAGTCATTGGTGGTTGTTGCAAAGTGGCTTTGGCTTCAAGTGGAGAAAGCCCCAAACATGGGTGGTGTCCTCATGGTTGCCACCTTAAACAATCCCAAAGATACTATATTGTTCAAGCAAGACACACCATACCTCCCGGCAAATTTCCGTAGACCCAAAACCGGAAATAATGAGACCCCGAGTTGTAGGCGTTTTAGGTGAGAATAGTTGTCTGCGAAATGGATAGTACTTCGCAGGCTTTGTCCATGGGATCTTTGCAAGCTGTTTTTCTGTATATGCTGAGGGGCTGATCCTCAGAGAGCAAGGCGTAGACAACCCAGAAGGAGCCGCGCCGGGAAGAGAAGTACCTGGAGCCGCTGGGCGTGTGACGTGTCGACAAAAAGATACCCACCCGACCCCCCACATGATTTCCCTTGTAGCTGGACAGGAAGCAGGTAGAAATGTGGAAGGGCCCACCCAGGCACGCTTTGATGGTTGCTGAACTTGGGCTCATCTGGGGTGTCAAAACAGGGGGACCCTCCAAAATGGGCGGTTTCCTCTTGGTTTTCGCCTAAGCGCCAACCCCACGAAGGGTACCCTCAAATCACACACACACACACACACACGACTACTTCCGGCAGACCAGCGGAGCAGGGCATTTGAGGCAACATACCTGAAAAATATGTTGCTTAAACAACCTTCTTTGGCTTCTCTTTTGAGGGGACCAAAGGCGAATCGTTTAAACACATTTTGCCTAACCATGGTTGACCTTGCAATTACTTGGTGTTGGCAAGTGGGGGAGCAGTCGTGTGCGCCAAGTGGGGCTACCAAAGAATCAAACACAGCGGGCAACTGGGGGGAGTTTTGCGGGCTCACTGGGTTGCCCTTCCAAAGATGCCACGTGGGCGGGCTACTAACGTCAGAGGTCAACAAGCTCCAAATGGGGCCCTGGTTGAAGAAGGGCTAGCACACCCACCACCAACCTTGGGAGTGCGCCTCAGAGGGTCCAGGTGCACCAATCCATGTTTGTTGGTCCACTGCTGGGAAGGCAAGAACATAAACAACATCTTCAAGCCGGAATATGTTCCCTAGTGCTTAGTAAAGTCAACATCCGCATTTACCAATTTCATTGTTCTTGAGCCTAGGTGAATTATCACAATTCACCAAACTGAATCAGGGTTCCCTATGAAAGAAACCTTCATGATAAGTGCATTGTGAGGTGGCACTTTGATTTGCCCAAGTCCTTGATCACCGACCTTTGAAGAGCCTTCCAACCAACACACCCAACCTTGTTGGCCAACAGGGACCAAGGATATTGCCCTTTTTCGAACAAAAACATGGACGTCCGGTAAAGTGATCTCCTCAAATTTGGCCCTCAACTTGTGAGACTAACGGGACACCACCAGGTCCCAAAGATATGTCACTTCGAGGGATCCGGCAAAACGCGGGGACCTGGTTGGTCAGTGACCCTAGAGTACAAAGGCGGAAAGTCTTCGGGGTCGATTCCATTTCTTGGGGAGGCTGAATCAAACAACGAGGGGCCTTCCAAAACTCAAACTCGGTCCCACTACTCAAAGTCACATCCTCAAATCCTCTCAAACTGGTGTACTTTGAAGGCAAACCCAAAGTCCCACACAAACCGCCCCGAAAATTCCGTCCAAACGGAAGGACTTCCAGTTGGATCGGGCGGGATCGCCTCCGGAGCTCCGGCAGCTGCGGCGCCACTTGCGCCAAGTGCTGCGCCACGGCTGGCCAGGGCAAAGCCTGCAAGAGAGCGGGTCGCCGGGCCTGGAAAACCTGAGGTCCTTTGGTGTTCCTAAAGTTTGCTCTTTGAAAATTTTGGGTGGGTTCCAAACCGGCAGTTGCGGCTGCCAGAATCTGAAGCGCAATGCTCGCAAGGCTTTGGGTGACCAAAAGAGATGCAAATCCCCCCTCGAATGGGGCAACCTCAAATGGGACACCCCTATGAGGCCACTGGGAGTTTTATTTCCCATCAGCTGAAAGTTTTGGGGCCTTTGCGCACCTGGGCTCCGGCGTGCTTCGGGGCGTCTCGGCTTAAGGCTCCGGAAGGGTTGCAGGGGTTGCTGTTGGGGATACAACTGCGCTTATATTTCCTGGGCTCTCGTTTATACCCGCCGTCTCGTCATTTCATACCAATCAGGAGAGGCAGGCTAGCGGCGCACTTCCTGGGTGGACTGGCTATTCTTCAAAACAGGGCTCCAAGCTCTTTGATTTTCACCCCGTGGGTGGACTGGGCCGTTAAAAAGACCAAACCCAGGCCTCAAACTGCTTGTTTTTCCGAGCCTGATCTTCCCCCTCGCTGCCAAGTTCGCTCACAAAAAAGGTTGCCGATAGGAAGAGTCATCACAACCAAAGCAGCCCCAACAGCAACCGGGACCTGAAACCCTTCTGAAACCCTGGCCCTCCAGAGCCAGTCCGAACTGCAGAACCTTGGGCGAGATCTCGAAGTTTTCAGCGAGGGAAAACATCACTGGGCCCTTTCGGCTTCGGGGGCCATGCCATGCTTTCCTGGGCCTCGGCTTCTGCAAAGACGTGGCCCCGCACAAGAAGCGCACAGGGAAGGCTGGCGCTCGCCGTCCACTGGAAAGCTTCCGTGGAGCCTGCGGTCGAAGGACAGCAAATTACCAGTGGATCCTATCTTGGCCTACATCTGGGGTACACAGAAAATCCTCTAGGTCCTGCAGTAGAGAGGTTAGAATAAGGGTACCCTTTTTCCTGTAGTCTATTTTAGTAGCGGACCCCCCCCAAAACAAAGGTAAAGGGGCACTACTGGGGGACCTAGTCCTAAGTTCAGACTCTGCCGAGTCTTTCGTCTACCAAGATGTAAAACCGTTTTGGAGGAGGGCCCCGGCAAAAGGAGCGTCAAGCGGCCAGCGAGCTGCAAGCTTCTCTCTCCCAGCGGAGCTCGCTATTGCAGCAAATCATCGAAAGAGTTCGAGGTCAAATCGCAAATGCAAAAAGGTATTTGGCCATGGTTCAAAACCAATGGTACCATTTTGGGATAGGTGCACCACCCATTCTAATCTATTTTAGTGGGGATTGGGATGTTCACTGGGGTTACGGGGTTTTGACCCATGTCCATTTAAACAGGCTGCTGACTTTCAAGGAAACCCAACCTTGTGGACATATTTTTGCCATGAAGGCGTCTGGGGCTGAAACTTCTCTGGACTATGGTGTGCCCTCAAATGAACAAAGGAAGTTGGGCACTCCCCCTTAGTTGACCAAACTTGAATGCACAAAACTTGGGTTATCACCCAGCCACTCCCCAAGTAGTTGGTCCCCTTCACTCGTTAAACAGCTTCCCTTGCTTCCGTACTCGATGATGTCTACCCCCACCCTCAACCCTGAAGAAACCCTTCTGGGTATGTGTTGTTTGAGGGAACCACTTTCGCCTTGGCTCAAAGGGAAACGGCAAACCACCATTTTGGGGGTTCGAAGACCCATGTTGACGCGTACCCTTAGGTCACAAAAGTTAGCCTTCACCCCGCCGGCCAGCCTTCCACTGTGTACTGCAAGGAGCGCTGTCTGCACAGCACGCTGGACACCCCCTGGACGATGAAGGTCTCGCTCATGGGTGATCGCACCGAGCATGGCGATAGCTATACCATGAGGCCAGCCAGTTACCCTTCCTTCATGAGAAGCTGAAGGGAAGGTTCTGGAAGTATCACTGTCATGTTTCAGATGGGATGTCACTTCTATGTCGGAAAGACGGCAACCAGGTGTACCAACATATAAAACCTACAGCTACCGCTAGGCTTTTTGTCTTCGGGCGCCCCTTTCGCAAACCTTGTGCCGAGCCCTTGCCAAGAGGCTAGGACTCGCCAAGTGGGTAAGTTTGCTACTTTGATTGTTCGTGGTCGGCTTGTCTTTCAAGGTTACAAGGAGAAGGCATCTCTTTGGATGCTCTTTGATTCGCCAGACAGCGCCGATGGGCGTTCATGGCAAGCAAAGGACACCTTCTTTAGTGAGGTGAGCTGAAATGGACTTTTCTCTGAGTAAAATCACCCCTCGCACATGTGAACGCTGGGTGGACTCTCTGCCTCTCTGCCTCAAAGCAAAACGCATCTGCCAGTGAAACAGCCACGCGTGTCAACCTTCCGCTGGGTCCATCAAAATGACTTCGGAATGGTTTTGCAAACTTCGGAATGATTAAAAAGAAGCCAGCCCCAAAAGTACTTCTGACCCCTCATGCGAGCACTCTAAGGGACCCAGCTCCGGGCAAGCCACAAACAGGAAGTTGGAGCGTGAGGCCGAAATAGTTGGGATCCAATGTATAGTTGGAGTTACTGGTGTTTGAAAGCTGGACGCCTGACCAGTAGGACAGGCCACCGGAATCTGGAATGACCACCAGCAAGTGTCTGCGGCTAGCAAACTGATCGATAACTTCTCGTTGGTGCAGGGTGAAGTACCTTGTGAAGTGAGAACTGTCCCACAGGGGTCATCCAAGTACTGCAGGGCAGATGAACTGCACCAAAACTCGCGCCCGTGGTTCACCTCTTGACACCATGATTCAAGCGGGGCAGGATGCCCTCAGCCCTCAGGGGACGCCGAACAGGGCGTTAATTCAAAGTCCAGGGCGGAAACCGCTGGGAACCAGCACTCAAACAAGAACCAACTAGGAATCGCTGCGTGCAGCACATCGTAAAGTTGTTTATTGCTGCAGATGTGGATTACTGAAGTTTCAGCTTCTGCGAGCGGCTGGCAACACGGGTCGCTTTGTTTCCAGCTGCGACTGGCAACTTCTCCCCTTGGAACTGGTGTGACTGCACGTGCCCCGCGGTCGACGCTTCAACTGGAGCTCAGTTCGCTGGTCTTTGTGGCAGGCAGAGTTGGATCGACACCTCTCGAATCAAAGGGCCCAAGATTTGGGTGCGCCTGTGGCGCTGCCCCTGTTGGGTCAGCTAGAATCTAGAAAGGAAAGAAGAAAAAGAAAACCGCAGCTCTTCCAGGCTCCGCATCCGCCTTGTTTCGCAGGTTCTCGACCCTAGTGATCCGTCCTCCTCCACCCGCACAACTCGACGCGATGCCACCTCCGCGCAAATGCGAATGGTACTGTGTCGGTTGTAGCCCAGTGCTTCCAGTGGGTATCAAATAGGGGGTCTGGAAAGTGACAAAAAAAGATGTTGGCTTCTTTGGGGGGAAATGAACAATTGATTGGCTAGTCCAGGTACCAGTACCACTAAAAGCAAGTTGCAACTAACCAGTATGTCTTTCCTGGGTATGGCTATGAATGTTCTGGGAAACACAGTTTTCACACCCCCAACACTGGCGGACATAAAGCCCCAAGGGAATCGATGTGCAGGGAAGGGCAAGAGGGTGACTTGCGAGGAGGACAACTTGTGAGCTGAGCTAGTTCACCAGGCACTGAGGATTTTGTCTGCTTTGGGGGGAAACAGACCTTGACTCGTAGGTAGATCCAACAGCGAATAAGAGAAAGAGTGCCAAAACTCGGAATCTCAATCTGGCACGACATTTGCATGTTGGCTCATGTGTGTTTCTTCCGATTTGCGCGAAGGTGCCAAAAAGGCTTTAAGACCAGAGAGAAAGCAGCATGAGAGCAGGCATTGCCACTTTCCCCTGGCTTCCTTAGCTTCCCCAAGTCTCAGGGGAGCATCGGTTCCAGGTCCAAGCTGGCAATCAAAACCTACGATGATTTATCCGCACCCATTTCTAGTTCGTGTTGTGCCTCCATCTACCTGGGTTTTGGTTGTGCATGGTTTGCTTCCCCCATCAATCCCTTTCCATTGAACCATAAAGAAAGCGGTAAGAGTTTTCTGGCTTTACACTATCACACCTTGCTCGCAGTGACATATTCAGTCAAAAGAATTTGTGGAGTTGTTCAAAAGTGAGGAAACTGATTCAGGTGCCCGGAACCTTCAATTTTCGGAGCACCGAGTGAGCAACCCGAGTGCAGGTTGCCTGCCTCTTCCTCCGAGTCTTCGTCGAACTCAGGGTCCTCGTCCTCTCGAATCAGGGGCTCATGGCGGTACTTGCTGGGACCCCCCTTTCGGATGGTACCAAGAAAGCCTCAGAAAGCCAGAAGTAAACCAGCCAGTTGGGAGTCGTGAGCCTCTATTTTAGGAAACACAGATGTTTGCTTAGTTGCTTGTTTGCTCGGCTCTGGCTATTTGCAAGCACCATATATTGTAAGCAAGGTACATGGGATCAGCCAATCCATTGAGTTATCCCAACCTTCTCGTTAAGGAGATATTTATCTTCGCTGACATTCTCAGCTACGACTCAGGCCCCACGCCACGGCCGCGGCCCAAATTAAGAGGGCGTCTGCTCAACTGCTGCCAAGTTCGAGGTAAGCAAGGTATATTTTCTCCCATGCCTACTAAAATATAATACTTGCAAGGGCACTACAGGGTATATAAGTTACAGTATCGAAGGGCAGCTCCCCTGAGAGCACCTTATCTCACTTCTCTGAGGACCAAGGTGTCTATGACTCTATGACCTTGATTGACTGGAAAAACAAAATACCCCGCCCAATGTCCCGCTCACCGATTCGGAGATCAAGGGTTCATGTTTATGTACAGGAGTTTCAGGAGCCAAGCGGATCCAAAGACAAACTCGTTTGCGGCGAAACAACCATCTTCCCCCCCCCCACCCGCCCACCCCCCCAAAAAATAAATAAAAGGTCACACCAAAGGGCAAAACTCAATTGGCCCGGTCGATCGATTCATTCCTGTATTCAGCACCCAGCTCAACGCTTGCCTGGTCACCACGCACAACAAGAATCAGTTGGTCTTTGACACTGTTGATCCAGGTGAATTGTAAACCCCTTCAAACATCACCCCATGAGGCTCTGAATGGCACACACAATGTTTGAACCACCCAACAGGGAATGTAAAGATCCCGGAGGCCTGAAGGGTGGCGCTAGCCGCTAGCCGTTGAACGAGTCTGCGGACGCGTGTCTCGCACTCGCGAGTGACGAGCGGGGCTTCCGTCCTCCTCGCTGATTTCGACGTCCTAAGATGGAACTCAAATTACGGTGGCTTTCTTTTGGCTTCCCTCTTGAACAAGAAATACAGGGCACCCTCAAAGAACCACCCAAATGAGCAATGGAGAATATCACTTGGGCTTCCTCTTTGTGAGACCAAACATCTAGCGTGCTGCTCAAAATGAGCACACTCAGAGTTCAGTTGGCGCGAGTCTAAACCACGGAACTTGCAGTTGGCCGAGAGAGTGAACTCACAAAAATATGTTTCTCCCCCGAAAATAGGGACCCTCAGAATGTACATGTTCCTCTTGGTTTCCCTTTGCAAACCATCCAGTCTTTGTTTTTTGTTGGACACTCCCAAATGGACACGACGACAAAGCCCGCAGTCTACAGGGATCAGACCTCCCCCAGCTTGGCTCGCCGCATCTGACAGGTCACCGAGGTCGCCTCAAAGAGTGCCACCAAGGGACACGGCAGCTCAGGTGTGTGAGACACGGATGTTTCTCAAAATCGGGGTCTCCTTAAATACCAACCAAAAAAGTGGTTCGCCGCCCAAGTCCCGAGTTGAGTTTCAGCTCCGCTCCATGGTGCCAGCCCGAACCTTTGAGGGGAGGCTTCAACCATTCGTCGAACTTCTTGGGTTCGATGGTCTTTGACAGCAGTTTGGAGATTGAAGCAAAATCCAAATCAGGAAATGGAATGTTGTAAACTGGACCCGCGAATCAACCCCTGTTCAACAGAGGAGTGTCCGCTTCACTGGGGATGATTCACTTTCCCCAGCAACATGCATCCGCATGCATGAAATCTATGACCGCTGAGTAACAACAACCCAAAGAAATCCATCGAATTGATAGATCATCTCCAAGCAACCCGGTTGCTAGAAGGCCTAGTCTGAATCAGGCGGCGGGTCCAAATCAGCGTGACACGCATCCTGCAATTATGCAAGGACGGAAGCCCTTCTTAAGACGGCCAGTGTTCCAGAACTTCATTGGGGCCAGAGGCTGTCATCAAGCATCGGCCCCAAGCAAAAGCAAATGTGCCAGGCAGATGGCATCGGATGCACGTGCCTGAGTAGACCTCCGCGTCTGTTTGTCAAAAACCAGACATGACACACACACACAAAACACACACACACACACACACCGTGGACACAACAAACAAAACGCTGAATTGTATGGTCTACAACGCGATGCGGGTGAACTCGGGTAAGCACTAGCCGAGGTCTGTAGGGGCTTCTAAACAAAAATATGTAGCTTCGCCGCGACTAAGTGGGCGTTCTTTCAGGTAGGCCGAAATACGACAAGCAGTCTTGACTAAAATTGACCCAGCGATAGATCCCAGTGGCAACCAAAACACCAACAAGACACCGACGAATGACCACCTGCACTGACATATCCTTGTCCGGGCCCGGGCTCAATAAAATATCAAACAGCGTCCCAAAGATCTAAGATTAAAGGCCGGGCTCAGAACCCACCAAAGACCACTTTATATTGAGCAGCTGACTAGATCGTATGTGTACTGAAATCTGCAATGCTTGCAAGTAATCATTTCAAAACCTGAAATAGGGATCTCCGAGTCAAGGGCCTTCATCATGGGCTCGGTTTCTCTCAGTGCCGCCATATATATATATATATATATATATATATGTATATATATAGTGACACGTGGGCCATGATCAAAACTCATGAGGGTCCATTCTCTACCAAAGGGCTCTTCACCATGCTTGGTCCCTGAAATCACCTGTCTACTGGGATTGTCCACTATGTGCCATGGTCATATTTCCTATTTCCCCGAAGCTTCTACTGACAAACCAAACGCTCCGCTTTCCCCCGGCTCGGGCCGCGGCAGGTCTTTAATGCGACCCCGCCCCGGCGCGGTGGTGGCCGCGTCCTCGGGGACGCGCATCGGTAAGACGGCGACCTCTTGATAGGCTGCTCTGGCCGATTTTCAGGGTAGGTCCCTGGAAACGAACAACCAGAGGAGGCCATACCATTTGTCCATCATTCTGGCCGAGGCTCGGAGCAACCCGTGTTTTTTTTTGGTCGGGGACCGTTCAGCTCCCTCAAAAGCAAAGGGCGCAAAAAAACTATCCAGAGGCAGACCGCCTTGCTTTAGTTGGCGTGTCGTTTGCAAGAGACAGGGGGAGACAACCGCCACTTTCAACAGGTCCATGTGCAAGTGTTTGATGCCGCCGGCAAGAAAAGCAAATCTACCAATCATTATCAATTCTATCAATTCTCTCGAGCACAAAAGCAAGCGGAACAAGCAAGTCACATCAAGCAAACGGATTGACCCTTCAGACTCAAATGCCCTGACATTTTGTGAAGGAAGCACCAGGTGTTGCCGCGGCGAAGGATTAAAGATCGAAACCCTCGTGAAATTCATAGACTGCGGACATCGGAACTGAGACTTTGAGGTAAAAAGCTCACTGGTTCTCAGCAGGGAATGAGGGAATCGCCCCTATGATTCATCCCTCTTAATGGGGATACCGCTTCCGGTTCATTGCCAACACCTCCTGAATTCCCTACTCAGAAGCAACAAGAGAGGCAATGAAAGGACTAGGAAGGGGTTTCATGATGTGACCTTCAGGTCATCTCTGAAACCCTGGTCACTCATTTGGCCCAACCGCAAAGAAGTGATCAAGAGCTTTTGCAACTGAAGTCTGAAAAACCTCATTTGCAGGGCAACTGTAAAGGGCCCTGGATCAAAATCAACTCTGAGCCGTGACACGATGATGAACAGGCAGACAGTGTTGGGCAAAATTGGTGCGCCCAACCAAACCACAGCCCCCCCTCCCCCGCAAAAAAAGCAATGAGTATGTTTAGAACCATGATAGCATCTGAACTGGCTGTGAAAGCCTCCAATCTCTTCTTTGCGATGGCTTCAAATGGCCGTGCTTTGCAAAAAATGCCCCATTCGGGGTATGTCTCTAAATACTGTGGATGGGCGAAATCCAATTCGCACCTCTTTCAACCATGGTTGAAACCATGGTTGAAACGGTATTTCCAGGAGAATCGAATCAGAAACCAGGGTTTCTTTTCAGGATTCTGTCCATCCACAGGCCATCCACAGTAGGAGGACATCAAACACGGCGTCTGGTGGCTTAGCTTCAGCTTGCCCCGTCCTGGGATCCGAGAGCTGCGACTCGTAGGCCTCGATGAGGTGCCGCAGGGCGAAGTTCTCCGTGAGGTACCTGCACCATTTGTTGGGGGGCGCGGTGGCTTTTGGCGTGCCCGTTCCACCTTTAAAGGAAAAGCCACAAGGAAAAGCCACCAGGAAAACGCGCGTTCTTTTTGGGGGTCCCCTTGTTTTGAGACATATGTTGGTTGGAAGGAAACCCCGGAAGCCCCAAAGGCTGACGGCAAAACACATTACCCTGGTTGCTTGGAGGAAAACCTCCTGTGCCGCAGGAGATAAATGAACAGAGAGCTTCCGGCGCCATGTTTCCCATAGATGCCTGCACAAGATGTGAAAGGCGGTTCGAGAGAGAGTCACGGAGGGAAGTCTGTGAAGGTGACCTGGGGAAATGACAAGAGAAACGCAAAGGTCGTACAGTCTCCAAAGGACAGTGAAAATCAAGTAAGGAACCAGACCGGCCGCGACTCTGTGGTGAGAATGGCCCCTATTCACCTTCGATGTTTGATTTGTCTAGCCTGCAAATAGGCGAAAATCCGTGTTTCCCGCCAATGGGATTGTCCTTGTGATCAAAGCCGATGCTCCCTCGCGGGTGCTCGGCCCAGAAGTAATCCGGATCTCCAGTCAACGGACATGCCCTCCGCAAGAAAATGGCCACAAATTGTACATCCTGGATACGTCTGAATACCCATCATGTTAGAAGGCAAGCAGAGACCCCATCAATGTAAAGCCCATAATTCCTGTGGTAGATGGAACCGCTGGGAGATGTAAACACGGCAAGCGGAACAACAACAACACCTTGCCAAGCAAAGAACCGCTGCGACGGGCCCGCAGGGGAGGATCATGGCCCGACTATCTGAGGGCACCTGTGCTGAAAACTTGCAGCAACCAGTTGGCTAAAGCCATCCACCTATGCTAAAACCGCAGGCCAGCGGCGTTCTTAGTTCGTTGCCACTTCCAATTGCCAAAGGATCATCCAAGAAGTCTATACTTGGATGGTCTGCCAACCGCTAGACATATCCATGAGGACAATCAAGGGCGGGGACTGGGGTGTCAAGCCTGTTGACGAGTCCTCCCAGACCATGCTACCCTACTTCGAAAGGAATCTGCAGATGGAAGTCGGAGTGCAAATGTGGTTCCGATTCCTGAATGGAGCCAACAACAGTGTGGAGCGCTTGTTTCCCCCAAGAAAGAATCTCAAAACCTTGAGGACTAGCTGGTTGGAAGCCTAAACATGAGCACATGAGCCAAACAAACCCAAGATTTCCTCCAAGAACCACTGAACCACTGGGTGATCCCCCAGAAAGGTCTTGCTAGGACTAAAGTTCTGGCTGCTCAGCACCCAGTTCGCTTTGCTTTGTGACCGCGCTTGTGTTTTGTACGAACACACCCGGCTTAGACGACCCTTTTTGGCAACCCAATAGAAGGACTGAGGATTGCCTTTGAACAGCCCCGTTTGAATCAGCTTCAGGGAAGAGGGGTAACCCCTCAGAAAGGGTTTCTGATTGAAGATATACCTTTGAAGTCTAACTTCATGTCCAACCAAAGTTAAACACCAGACCCTTCACCCAGTCAAAGTTTGCCTTTTCCGGAGACCCCAGCCACTTTGGATCGAGACGTCCAACGACATTTTCGCCCAAGGGTTCAAACAGTGCACCCTGGCCCCGCACACCGCGGCGCCAGATGGGGCACCGATGCGCCAGCACCGCCCCGGTCATGGGGGAGGTGTTGTGCATGGACAGCCATTTCTCAATGGCCTTCAAAGAGACGCAGTGCTGTGGTTGATTACAAAATCCATTGGCACCAGTTGGGTTGAATGAAACCCTCCTGGGATGAACTACCGACTGGTGCAGGAGTTTGGTCTATCCACAGTAGGGTTGTGTATCTCCCAGCTAGGGATGTGGGCGGATCCCCAAGACAGGGGCCCTCCTTAGATCATTGGTTTAATTTGGGTCCCGAAAACCCGCTAGATGATTGCTTCAGCTGTGTCTGCGCTTGAACCTATCCTTCGAAAATGTGCCTGATTGAAGGGAACACCAGTGTTCCCGAGTTCAGGGACCGAAAGTCCGTGCTGCAGGAACCTAAGAATGGTGCTCCTAGAAGGAGACACACAGGAATCTGCTGGCTCCATGTCAATATTGAGAGCAGGCATCACCCAGTGCCACTGGAGGTAACCCTCCAAACAGTCAACTACCTTGCGATGTGTCCGTGAGCGTTCCATGACGAGCAACTGGCACAAATACAAAACAACTCTACTACCCAAGAGGCAGCAAATCCCTTTCGCACAACTCTCCTTGCTACAAAGAGGTGGATCACAACTATTGGACACTCGCCTCAAGTAGACATTCCCCTTTCCCATTTGGCCCCCCGCACCCCCCCCCTACAGAAATCAACATGGAACCCAAAAACTGGTCCCCCAACCAAAAATGTGTCCTTTTTGGGCCTCCATGTAAATATGCAGGAAGGAAAGCGTCAACTCCAGAAACTGGAAGTGAGGGAGGCCACGTTCAGCCAGCAGGCCCCACAACACAGGTTCGGTTCGATTAACTTGGGCCGAAACTTGGACACCAAACCTGGGGAATAAGATGTTGTCGCGGAAGGGCGGAACTTCCTTCGCCTCGTCCCTCTATAGTCCCCCGAGAGGCCGAAACGGCTCCGACGCCGAAACCAATCGGCCTGGCGCTCGTAGGTGAAGCCATCCGCTGCCAGGACCTCGAGTCAAGATCCAGTTCTCGAGTCCCGAAATCCGAATGCCCACGGCTGGAGTCGAGCCGCGGCCACAGTTCGAGACTCCTGGCGACTTTATCCCCACTCCCGCTCGCCGAGGCCCTTGGGCGCCCTTGGGCCTGAGGCGATTGGATCACTGGAGCGACCGAGAGGAAAGTAGAGTACAAAGACTTGCGAATGGAACCCTCCTATGAATATGGTCGTCAAACATATAGGATAAACCACCTACCAACTGGTGTAGCATGTTGCCCATCCACAGTATGTCTCTCTTGATTCGCACCGATCTCATTTTGCGACTTACGGCCATCTCGAGTTCCAATGTTCGGGGCTCGAGGGTTCCCGGTCGGGAACGGCTCTTCTTGCAACGCAGGCATGTGAATTCGGCACAGAAAACACCGAGGACCAGCAGCATGACACTCGGCCTCGCCCTCTTGGCAGCATTCACGCTTTGGCTTGCGCTTTGGTAGGCGCTGTAGTTGCAATCTTCCTTCGGGTTCTGAAGTTGCAGGATCTCCTCGCCAGTCCTTGCAAACCGGCAACGGACCGGACAACTTGTGTCTGGTCCGCGGTTGCACATGAGAAGGAACTCCCAAGGATTCAATGCAAAAAGGCCAGCGAACAGCTAGTTGCTCCATTGTTCCAACTCATCCTTTTGCACTACTACACAAAGACCATTGTCCATGTCTGGAAGGAAGGATCCCTGGAAAGCACGAAAGAAGTTAAGCTAGACATTCCAACTGCAAAATCGCGCCTTAGACCCATGGCCAAGGTTTTATGTGTAAAACTTCCTACGGAAGATCCAAATGGTCCGGCAGCTCAACAACGCATAAGGTGTGGATTGGGACCGGGCAAGAGACGAGAGCGCATGCGTGTGAAATGATTTGGTCCTTGTACCAAAGTGGAGCATTCCTAGGGTTTTTCACTTTCAAGCGGATTACCTTCGTACCACCCTGGGTTCCGCAACAAGCATGAGGCACAGTTGAGTGAAAGTAGATGGCAGAATTCACCCATGTTCCCTTAGATATGTCCTTTGCGGAATTGTGCCACCTGGGTATGTGTCAACGTAAGGGGCCCGACAAATGGGTGGCGTATCTTTGGGTTCCCTTTACAGGTTAAAAGGGTACCCTCAAAAAATGACACACGCACACACACACACACACACACACACACACACACACACACACGTCTACTTCCCCAGTGTAATTTGTACTTGGTCAGCTTCCCTGCAAATGGTGGCTTGGATGGGTGGTTGGTGGTTTCTCGTTTACCCTCTACAAGGATCCAAACCACCAAAGGCTGAGGCCCAAACCCGCAGTTCCTCTTGAAGCGAAATGGGAAGCCTTCCCATTTCTCCAATCCAAACCGCTCGAAATGGTGCACATCACAATTCGGTGATTCTCCACCAACTGCAATGCTCCGAGACCCGACTGGCCTCACTATTTTACTCTGATCAAAGTCACCCCCTAAGTGATGGGTTAAAAGGAAACAACCGATTCCATTTTCTGACTTTGATAACCCCTAGAAACGGTCAAAATCATGCCCCCAGCCCGAGTCACTGAAATTCAGCGCAAGTCTCAAGGCGACGGTGTCCGGGAAGTACTCCGTCTGGATGCGCCGCTCCCCGTCACCGATCCTTACGGAGCTAGGAGAGAATACAGGACAATCCCCAATTTCTCTTGGTTGACAAGGACAACGACCAAAAAACAATGAGCCATCAACAATCGGAACGCCAGGTGTGAGGACAGCCCATTTTGTTGTGACCACGTGCTAAACATAAAAGTCAAACACCAAAGGAAACCGCGTGTGCTCCATTGGTCGACAAAGCGGTCAACTTTGGAGGCCAAAAAGGCCTCTTGATCCCCTTGTCTCTCTGAAAAACCGTCACCGGACGACCAGGGCTCAGCAAATAGGCGTTGCCGGTGCATTGGGCCGCTTGCCAGCGCTCCGACATCAGCTGCGCGGGCTCCACCCCCTGGAAGTGGCGGTTTTGCGCCTCCCCGTCCTCACCGTCTCTCAGGCGGAGGGGGGTTAACAAGACCAGGGCACAGGGGGCCCAAAAAAAATCGGCGGTTCTCTTGCTTTGCCTTTAACACCCGCCCAATAGTACCTTCAAAAACACATCACCCTTTTTGGCATCCTTTACACACGGAAACCAGGGTCCAAAAAGGACTTGGCCATCTTTTTGAGCCCCCCCCACTTGCAAGGCATGGCTCAAAACCAAGCCACTAGGAGAAGACATGGGAAGAGGATATTGCGGGAGGATAATATGACTGGAAGAAAGTGTGACCAATTTGGCACTTTATTAAAAAAGAAAGGCATACCTACCCTAATTCCCAACAGTTCAAGCTTCGCACATGCGCAACAGTAAGCTGTGTGTTGTTTGTCAGGACAAGCATATGTACATGTCGCATTGTGATTTTGTTGTCCTCCCCTCAATGGGGACGATAAGCATCACTACTCCATGGCTCAACGAGCGAAAAGCTGGTCATTAGGCGTATTTTCATAGGGAAACCTTTGGTGGGCATGATTCGGGACATATCTTTGTGTCTATATTGGACCACCCCCCAAACAAAAAAGGAAAAGCGGAGAGGCGTGTTTCCGTTTAGCTCCCCGACCCTTTCCCATATAAAAAAAGCAAGCAATCGCCGTTTCGTCACACAGCTCGTTGCAGCCAAGCTTCATGCGCGGCGTCCTTGCCTGGGTAGCAGGCCCAAACTGCACCCCCTCCCTGCGCCGCCTCCGCGAAGAACCTGGCGATCTGAGCGCGTCACCGAACAAGCTTTTCAGCTTTCAAAGGGAAACCAAAAGGAAACCAACCACCTGGAGGAATAATTAGTCCTTCATGGAGAAACCAAATTCAACTTGGGCCAGGGCCCTTGTTAAAACGGTTAAAAAAGCCGTTGAAACAACCTCCTTGTTTGTGGCTCCCCGTCCAAGAATTACCAGGCCTGGCAATCAAAACCAATTCTGCCCCACGCTGGTCCTTGCGTCACCCAGGAATGTACAGGCTGCAACTGCTGTGGATGTACAACATCCTGCACCAGTTGGGATGGAAGAACCCCCGCGAAATCTTCCATATGGTGCAGGACGCCAGCCATGCAAAGATGTCCCTAACTGGTTCTCACATCTCCTGAGATGAGCTTGGCACCACTCGTGTGCATTTTCCGCGTTCCAACTTTAGGTTTGACAAAGGAAGGGCTGCGTTTCTAGGGATGGGTTCGGGAATGGGACCCCGTCCTCAAATGCCCAGTGGCCATAGGAAAAAAAGAGCATCCTTTTTTGTTGGTTGACTTTAAAGGGAAACCCTTCCCAAAAAAAAGTAAAAAAAAAAAAAAACAAAAAAAAAAACAAGGCACCACTGGGCAACTGCACGTCTAATCCCCTCTAATTTGACTCCAGTTCTTTTCATCGGCCACGAGGAGCAGCGCCCAAATCCGAATCGACTTGTGGTTCCCACTGGAGCGCGTGCGCGCGCCAGGATGGGAATGGAACAAGCGAAGTGCGTAAACCACGCTGATTCCGTACGAAGCAAAAAAAAAACAAATGTTGCTTTTGGTTGTGCACCCCGCTCAAAAGACCATTCAAAAAAGGCCCAGGAGGCTAGGAAACACCCATGTTCACCAAGGACGGTCTACTTGACAAACCCCCAAACATGTCGAACATACCTGCAAACCTAGCGTTGCAAACAAGAGTGGAGGGAGACTGTCTAAAAGCCATACCTACCTCAGCTTCCCCCATGTTGAGAAGCTTAAAACGGAATTTTCAAAAGAGATTCCAGACACGGTAGTTTTCAGCCACGGCATGGGGCATCCCTAATTTGTAATTACTCAGGAGCCATGCTACCTTCCTGTGAAATCCATGCCGCAACTTGATGAAAAACGTCTTGCCAGTGGGATGTATGGTAGGTCAAAACTTGCTGTGCTTGGCCCGCACGGTTTAGCTGGGCTCTCCACTGGCCTCACATGGGCGTTCCTCAAATAGACAGCCCAAAAATGCCTTTCGCTGCCCTTGAAAAGCCCGGCGGAAATCGTTTCCGACCATTCGGAGACCAAATTGCAAACCCCAAACGGACACACCCCAAAATTCTTGCTTCTGGGTTGTACCGGGCACGTACACCAAACTCCTTCCCCAAGGCCTGTCGGCGCGGAATGTCCATTTGGGGTATATAAGTTGGCCACTAAAGAGGCACCCTCCAAACATAGGTATATGTACATATGGCCCTGTCCCGCCCTCTGGCTTTCTTGGAGGCCCCTGTGCCCTGCACCTTGACAAAGTAAGCCAACACAACTGCAAGAAGCCCGAAGCCAATCCAAACCACTCCAACCAACCTACAACCAACCCTAGACTAACTCTCGGAATGGAGCGAAGATGGGGATTGAGCAGGGGAACAGGGGGCCTGAACCACATATAGTGTGTTACATATTTATCGTCCATGCAATTTTCCATATGCCTCGGCGACTTCAGCCGCATTTTCCGCCCGGCTCCCGCTCGATTCTCGAGCCTGGCGGACACCGCGGGGATGGTCCAAGTCTCCCAGTAGGGAAACTCCACCACGGCTTTGGCTTCCAAGGACCACCCGAAGCCGTCCACGAAGTTGGCGGTCTGCTGTAGGCCCAAAGCCTCTTTGGAAATGACTGGCGGGAGGGCTGGCTTTTGTCTTGCGCACCCAGTTTGGGGCGAAACCAAACAGAAAGCCAGCTGTTGGGGAATCACCTATGACACAAACACTCTGGTTTAAAGCGCGCTGCCCACAAAGAGAACCAAGGGAAAACGGAAATTCATCTTGCCGGCATACCCTCCCTGTCCTTTCCCCTTTTTTGCGACTATGCGATCTGCTTTTGGCAACTTATGGGTGCCCAAGTGTTTCCTAGGGCAATGTCATCTCGAACCCGTCTTCACGCCCCCAATGCCCAACAACTGTCCTTCGCCGGTTGAAGCCACTTGCTTCGAGACTCGACGCTCCGCGAACCCTCCGGCGCCTGCAGCAGCTTCTGCGTCTCTTGCAGGAAGCCCGGGAAGTCCGCGCCCGCCGCGGTGGCCTGTGAGCAAGTTCCAGAACGAAACACGGAACCCGAGAACCCCCCCCACAAGGGTTCCTAAAGCCTTCTCAAAAGGGCCCTCAGAATGGCTCTAAGAACCTTTAGGGGGGCCTCGTGTTTTTCCGTACATACAAACTCTCCTCTTCTGATCCATGGTTTCAATTGCTTTGGACATCCCACAAGAGACGACTCTGGTTCTTTAAGGTCATATACCCTCTTGGCCAACTATCATGGAAGCGAACAAGGGCCGTTTTCAAGAGGATGGTCTTCCAAAACCTGACCTGGTCCACGTCCGTGATTCTTGGTCCAAGGGCATACGTTTCTAAAAGGATGGGACCTTTCATGATGGCCTTGTGTTGGTTTGTCTCCAAAGGGCGACGCATGAAAGTTCAGGGCTGTCACTTGGTTTCTCTTCAAAACCCTCCCAATAAGGGCGCTCTCAACAAACCAGACGCCAATGTCCACCAGCATTTGAAGGTATTCCAACCACTTAAATTCACAGCTGGCTTGTGAAGAGGCCAAACCCATGCGGTTGATTCACCCCCCCTCTCTAAACATCGGCTAAAACCGGTGTTGTTTGGCCCGCGGATGGCATAGACGAAACAACTGGCTGTCTTTCTGCATTGTCTTCCAAAGAAAGGCTTTGGACCAGTAGAAACGTGTCTGCCGAAAAGGGTCGTGTATGCCAACTATCACGCATGGGCGAAACTAGATGGCACAACTTCGTAAAATGGTAAACAAAGGGGAGGATGGAATCGATGTGGGCATGCACCTTCCTGGTCACTCCTCACTCACCTTCTGAAACAGCAAATGGATCCATTGGGCGTGCTCAAGGTTCCACTTTGTCCTGCCTTACCATCAGTATGCATGGTGCATCATGGAAGCCCACATCCAAGTAATTCGGTTGGATGCATTTTGGGGGAGGCGTACCCGCAATAGGGGGACCCCCAAAATGGTGGATTCTTTGTGGTTTCCTTTCAATCCAAGGGACGAGGGAAGGACACGCACAAAAACACACTCACATTGTGCACTCCACAAAGAATCATTAAAAGCACGTCCTGGTCCCCCCCCCTTCCATGACCCAGCTCCCCCAGCCACCCCCGCCTTGCCGCCGTCCCAGTCCCCCAAACTATCCCAGTGAATCCCCGTAAAGTTCAGCTCCGCCGCAAAGTGCCCCCATTGCTCCGCAAAGCGCCTGGCTGCCGGCGCGATACGTTCGAAGGCTAGGCACCATGCTCTTGTGGGCAAGGGCGGAAACCAACGGAGCTCCATCTACTTTCCCGCTGTACACAATGTGTTGTGGAAATGGCACATGATGATTGTAAGGCTAGCCATGTGTGGAGGGTATATAAATTGCAGCAAACTGCACTACTGAACAGCAAGCTGGCATGAAGGTGCATACCGCCCGTACTGCTAGACAAGATACCAGTACGCGGTGGCTTGAAAGAAAAAACTGTTTAGGTCAAGCTCGCTGCAGAAGGGTCCTAATCTCAGCACTCTGAGTGCGCATGCGTGCTTGAAACATCAGCTGATTGGCACAAACCACTCTTGCAGACAGCTAATTCACATCATCAGAATAAGTCCCACCAGCTTAGGCCGCGCCATCGCCATCACGCGGCTCGCTACCAGTAAGCTTTTGTCATTGGCGTATGTGTTAAAGTAAGGGGACCCCAAGCTGAGCCGTTTCTTTTTGGGCTTCCCTCTGAAACAATCTTAACACAGGCACCCCCATTTCAGTCGTGAGAAGAGAGAGCAATCGATGTGTGCATGGCCGTGAGACATGCTCGTCTTCTCATTTGCAGGCCGTCTGCGACGCAAAACCTAGAACCTTTGCAAGTCCCGGCGCCCCCGTGAAGACAAATTGTCTCGGAAATCCAGGTGTGGGTGCCCCACAAACCTTAAGGAAATACGGGTTAAAAGCTAACAAATGATGGAACCTGCCTAGCTTGCCAGAGCTTCATGCGATAGTTGTAAGCAAGCAAGCCAAGCAAGCCAAGCAAGCCAGCCAAGCAAGCCAAGCAAGCAAGCCAAGCAAGCCAAGCAAGCAAGCCAAGCAAGCCAAGCAAGATAGCCAAGCAAGATAGCTAGCAACTCAGCAAGCTACTCCCTATCATGTTGCAAAGCTAATATGCAACCACTAGTTGGTGGATGCCCTGATTGTTGCAAGTCGGCCACAAGGGAAGCCATGCGCTCTTGCCAGGACAAATGGGGTGGTACGGCCTAAGCAACGAAGCCAGCGGTAAGCTGAGCCCTATGCTGGGCCCAAGTCTTGGTGGGTGCCACCACATCCAGCAGCGGCCGGCCGTCCACAATGTGCCGACCTCTGGGCGAGAGGTGTACCCACTCAAATGCACAGCTACCCATATGGGTGTGGGTCAAGATTAAACCACCAGGGGACCGCACGTCTTAGTCCTTAGCTCCATTTACCAGGGTTCCATTTTGGGTACCTATTTTTGACCCGCAGCCATACTGTTATTCCCATTGGGACTTCATCTGCAGAAACCCAAAGGTGGTACGGCCCCCTCAGCCTCTGAAAAGGGCCTCACCACCCTTTCCGGAGCCTATGAATGGGCGTGGTGTCACATGAAGCCTTAAAGCCTTAGTCAACAAACCCTTCAAGTACAAAAATTGGACCACAAGCTGCCAAAGAGGGTGATGGTGAACGGAATAGGCCAGAGCTTTCGATCATGTTGAAGGGCCTCGAAACGAAACGCTGCAACTCGTTGTCGTTGTGCTGTCGTTGTCGCTGCGCTTCTTGGTTGCGGTTGTGGCTGTGGCTATGTGTCTGGCGCAGTCTCGGCGCAGTCAGCACATATGCCACCAAAGGTACGGATTATTTGCACGCGTGCGGGCTTTGCCCATGGATTTCATGCGCTGAATGATTTACACGTCGAAAGCTCGCGTTTGTTTGTGCTTGTATGCGAGGTGCCTACAAGGAAGCCAACATGAAACCAACAAACCAAGCCTGCCAAAAGCTACAGGTCCTGCCATGGTGTAGGAAACCTGTAATATGTCAAAGGTCTAAAAGGTCTAATCATGACAATGATGATAATTCTAAAAATGCGACGGTGATCCTAATAACAATCATCACAAGAATGATATCAATTAACTCACAGAATTCGGGGACCTCTTCGAGAAACCTCCGCCCGCTTTCCAAAATGCATTCCTCGCTTCCCCGACTTTTTTGCGGCGAGGCGCCGATCATCTGGTGGCCGCTCTGCAGCTCAGCGTCCCCCGGATCCGTGGCCATGGCTTGCCTGTGGCTCAGGTTCAACCCTCGGGTGCTTGAGGCACCGGGGTTGGACCGGTCTTCCAAAGCATTCTCTTTCAGGTGGTTTTTTCTTCATTGCAGACCTGCACCCTCTTGTGATGCAAGCCCTATGACGGGACAAAAGTGGCCTTCGGCCAGAAATGTCAAGGCGATGTTGTATCACCAAGGTTCCCAGCTTGTGGGAACCCTGTTTTTTTTGGGCGGAAATGGCCAAAAGCGGGTTGGGTGCTCGCATCCAAAACAGAAAGCGGGGGGAGGGGGCTGTTCCCTTTGTGCAACAAGCAAACTAAAACTACATCCAGACTGTGTTGTTCAAAAATAGGGGGCCCTAATCCCAATCCACAATCCGTGGTCGACACCACAACAAGGCACCACCATCAGGCTAGGGGCCCAAGGATTTCCTTTCAACAACCTTGTCTTGGGGGAGGTTGAGGGTACCACCTGTTGAGACAAACGAAAGGTGGATGGGAAAACTCAAGGCATGAAAACCTTGGCTAGGGTCACAAATAATGCAGGCTTCAACAGTATCCAGTTCAACGATTCTACCAGAGACTTCACAATGACGAGACTCAAGGGATGGTGTTTAGATTCCGGCTATCTACTAAGAACAGTTGGTGAGCTAGCGGGAACTTGGATTTCAGCCATGAATTGACACAAAGCCTGCCATTCAAAGACAAACGGGAACTTGTTCTGCGGTATCAAATCTAGGACCTCCCCCCCCCTCCTATGTGTTTGCGCTCTTGTGCGTTTGGGTCTTCGCACAAATGGGGACCCCCCTGTCTGGCTGCTGGAAACAGCCGCAAACCCAGGATTGGCGACCCCACAGCTCGCGCTGTTGGCGAATCAACATGGACCTCCAAGTTCGCTTTCTCAGGTCTTATCCTCGGCTTCTCCAGAGATAGCCCGATAGCCCCCCCAGCCCTGGGAGGTCCGCGAAACGCACGGCGAGCGGCACATAGAGCCAGGATCTTCCGCCCGCCGCCCTGATGGCTGCGATGTAGGCCTCCAAGACTTTCCGGCTCACCCGGCCGTAGAAGGCCCCGTTCGTCCACTGCGCTTGGCCCTTCGCTGGCGGCCTGGAGTAGCCTTCCACCTCAACCGAACCGGACGGACGGCCACAAACTTCCATCGATGGTCAGCAACTGGAAGCAGCTTGTTGCCGGTTTTCAGGGTCCGTATGGCTTCCGGAGGCCGAGACGCTTGGAGCCCACGAAGCAACGGCTGTCAGTGCTGCGCATCCCAAAAAGGGGTTCCGCATGTTGAGACATACAGACATGTGTGCGAGTTTTGATGAGCACCCCCTTTCAAAAAGTTGGTGGACATACATCCCCATACAAATAAGGGTCCCCAAAAAGCCATACCCCCAATTGATATGTCTATGAATTCCCCAAAGTGAGGAATCAGTTCTCCCAGCTCGACCCTGGAACCAAACGAGACGCCAGCCCATCGCCACCGATCGCCACCAGACCGCCACTCCAGCGGCCACATTAGTTGCTAGGAACCATGCAGTCCTAAAGGTCCGGTCCAACTGTGATTGCTTCGGGTGTTCCCGGAACCTTGGGGATTACCCCGGCAGCCTGACGTCCTACTGCGACTGTGGATGGACGAAATCTTGCACCATTCAGAATTGAAGCCCCATGAACTTCATCAACTGTAGGAGGATTTGGTCCATCCACAGTATCTCACTCCGTCGCCGGCGATGCACTGCATCGTAGAACTGCCACTCCCGGATGTTGAGGCGGGCCATTTGCTCCACCCGCCGCGCCGCCTGCCCCGAGTTGGATCCGGATTGTACGAGGTCGACTTTTGGCGCTTGGATCCCAAAAACAAACGGGTGTCATGTTGGTAGGTTGCATGTGGTCCTTCTTAAGGGTGACCCTTAACAAGTGGGGGCGGGTGCTGTGATTTCGGTTCCTTGCTCGCGTTGCCAAGTGAGCAGGAAAACACGTCAAAACCTTGGCTTGGTTGAAGTGCGCCCATTCGTTGAAAACCGTTTTGCCAAAACCCCATTTATCAAAATGGTCATCTTGCCAATCAGACGCCATATCAGGGCTTGCCTAAAAAATGATTGTCCCGACTTGGGACCACAGCGGGATCCGCGGCTAGCCATGCTTCAATCCACGGACACCTTTCCAAGGGAGGAAGCGATACTGAGCTTTACGATCATCGTTGAGAATCCGACAGAATCATGTGTTCAACCACAACAATTACTTCTTGATCTTAGTGGTGCTTGGGGGCAGAACAGCTCGGCATCTTGCAGATCTTGCCAAAGTCTGGATCCTCAAGAAAAGAACTCGCAATGGGAATTAATGTGTTCGGTCCTCTCTCTGCGGATTTACATGCACGCCCCGCCTTTTTTGTAGACCAATCTCCTTTGATTCCAATTTGGAGAGCAGAAATCAGCATATCAGCCGTCTGCTTTTTAAGAGTAGGCTTAAAAGGGACTTCCAGGGAAGCCACCTGTTTTCGGGGTGCCTTGTTTTGACCTGCGTCCCTGGTTTTCCGTAGCGCTCCTCCTCCTCGGTGATCCCGTCGAACGCGGTCAGAAATCCGTACCTGAGCGTCTCGAGCCGAGCGCAAGTGATGGCTGTGTCTTGGTCATTGCACACCTCAACCTAAGATTCCATTATTTTCTACTATCGCTTTAGCCCGGAGTGCAGCATCATTGAATGATCAAAGCTAATGGCAAGCTGATGGCAAGCTGACGAGCTGATGACGAGCTGATCCCAGTCGGTTTCAATTGCAAGCAACTCTAGTAGATGGCCAGTCGTGGTTGTCTTTAGATTATACTTCTGATGTTCATGGTGTTCCAAGGGGATATCTACTATCATGGATTCACTCGAAGCATTGGGGATGGCAAAGACACAGCCTGCGGCTCATTGCCCAGAGGCTTTCCATGGGAAGATGGGGCAAGTGCCCTTTCTCCTAACAGCTAGGAAGGAAATTGGAAGAACGGTACGACAATTGGGTGCCACCGAAGAGCCGGCAGGGCCCGGTGTGGTCCCCAACAGCTGTTGAAACAAGCAAACCAGGAAAACGTCCGGTGCGAGCTTCTACCAGATTGGGCAACTGGCATCCATCTCAATAGGATTCCACCCCTCCCCCCCCCCAATCAAAACCAGGGAAGACAAACACCTGCAGCCCGGCGGCTCCCCCTTCAGCGTGCTCGCAGAACTGCTGCAAACCCCGCCCAGCGCCAAGCACAGCCATGGCAAAAGGAGACACATCCGGCGTTCCGCGTTAGGGGCGCAGTGCGGTTGGTTCGTTCCCTGCGTTTGTCAAACAATGCCCCCTTTTGCAGGTCAAGATTTTAGGGTTGGTTTTGCTCACCATGTCCTGACACAGCTTTCTGGGGCCACACTTTTGCAAGGATTTACCTGATGAAGCTGTCCAGTCTTTGATTGCCCCTGACACGTTTGCCCTACAGGCTGCGCGCGGGGATACCAAGACAGAAAAAATATCGTGTAGCTCATGAGGGTGGTCACAATTGCGTTGCTGACAAACAAAGGATGCGGAACGCCAAATTGGACGGATCATCACCTGCCGACATGACCAGTGTGAGTGGAAAAGGGCCACAGAAGCAGAGGCCCAACCTTTGATTCCCTCAAGAATCCTAAAGCCCTGACAACCCTGATTCCACCACTTGCATTCGGCCACGCGATTCCGCTGTAAAGCTCCTGCTTTCTGGAACATTTGCACGATTTATTTTCCCTGACAGTTCCCTATAATCCCCCTTTTGGTAGCTTTAAACATCACCGTTTGTGCCAACTCAAAGTGAGCGTCCTCTTGGTGAAGTGACAAGCCGGCCAACAAGTCGAAAAGCCACCGGAGGACTGTGAATCGGATTCCTGGCCAGTCCAGTCAAAATGTGCCAGGAAGGTGCGCGAACCTATGGTAGTCGCGCCCAAATGGCAGCTTAAGATTTCTTTTGCGGTGGCTTCTGAGACGGTGTGTTGAAGCGCACGGAGTGCCCACAAAAATAACCACTGCCAATGTTTCTCCACTGCAACTACGGCTTTTTCTTCCGGTTGTGTGGGAGTTTTGGCAGACTCGCTTGCTTTTTAGATGGTTCCAGCTTTGAGATGATTGGTTCTTTGGAACTTTGAAGACCTGCAAAAGCGGCAGGTCGAAGCAGGGACCGCTCAGCCTTCCGCCTGCCACCTTCCACTATCGAGTTGAACCCCCCCTAACCCGGAAGCGACCAAACAAAAACCAGGGATTGACGAGAAAGACCGGAGCCGCAACGGGTTTGGGTGGGGACGGGGCCCATAAACGAAACCTTTCGGCGGACTTGCTGGAACCGAGGCAGCAGCCGGCACCTTCATCCTCTCATGCAGGATGGGGCACCTCGAGTGCACGCATGTCTCAGTATACACTACTCATTCTATCGGAGTAAAAACAACATGAATGGCTTTCCTTACCAGGGAAAAAGTGGAGATGAACACCAAACAATGCCATGTTGCATGTACACTCCCCTCACAATAGATGTCCCGATGAAGAATAAACAAGACAAGCTATCTTTTGATTGACAAGCCAAGCCCTTCTCTATGTAAGCGATCCGCTCCGACTGCACGACTGGCAAGCAGCAGTGTGAAAGAAGGGCAGTTCAACCTGCACAACTGCTGATGTAGCGCGGCTAACAAACTGTGGGCAGCTTCATCATTCACCAACCTGAACTAGGGGGTCCGTGTGAGCGGAACTCACCTTCATCACAGATATGGTCACAAACTAAATCCCTTGGAGAGGCCGCTGTATCGCTTGCATGTTTGAGATACTTCAAAAACCTGACGCAAGGGATCCCCATACAGAGTGCGTACGAGTACATCATAGCTTTCGCGCGTGTTGCCCCCGATTCGGTGAAAACCGCTCGCCAAAAATAGGCACATACTAAAAGGGCCTAAAGCAAAACAGTAGGGTTGCCGGGTACGTCAAAGCCAAAATGTAGTCATGATATCAGTAGCAAATGTGCTTGCAACACTACTCGCCCTAGGTTTAGAGAGTTTCCGGTGGTGTAGCCTTGCGGAGCAACCCCTCTATTGCTCAGCCAACTAAAGGCAACAAAGAAAACAATGCCATGAATTAGCACCTGTATAAGGCCATGTAATCCGTCTTCGAGCGCAAGAGCGAGGGAGCCTTTAATCTAAGGCAATAATGGGAAAGAAGTGACCAGATAATCCTAAAGTTGACTCTATCATTGCCACCTTTCTATTTCTAAGATTTTATCATTGGGAATTAATATGAAGAAATCCCAAGAGAAATAGATTGTAGATCCGAAGACCTTTCCATCTCCCGTTATCTCCCAACTAACCAAAATAAGATCATAAATTCTGAATTATAATTGTAAAGAAAGGGAAATGAGATGATATGATGTGGTTAGGTGTAAGTGAGTGAGATTAGATGGAGCTGTATATCATGAACCCTTTCTCTAAGAGGAAAGAGGGAAGTGATTGGGAATGAAGGAGGGGCTCATGAGATACAGCTCCATCTAATCTCACTCACTTACACCTAACCACATCATATCATCTCATTTCCCTTTCTTTACAATTATAATTCAGAATTTATGATCTTATTTTGGTTAGTTGGGAGATAACGGGAGATGGAAAGGTCTTCGGATCTACAATCTATTTCTCTTGGGATTTCTTCATATTAATTCCCAATCATAAAATCTTAGAAATAGAAAGGTGGCAATGATAGAGAGTCAACTTTAGGATTATCTGGTCACTTCCTTCCCATTATTGCCTCAGATTAAAGGCTTTCCTGTCAGTCATTACATCTCCTGGACATCTATTCCTTGCAAATATTATCTCTTTTCCTTTGTTTGGAGTCTTCTTTAGAATTATTGCATCATCTTAATATCTACTTGTCTCTGAGATATAACCGTGAGACATAATAATTCTTGGAAATTCATATATTTTATAATCTACAAATTGGGAATGATAGATAATTTGTAATAAAATAGTAATTCCTAAAAAAAAACTAAGAAAGACAAATAAAAGCAAATAATATAATCCTATATCCTAACCTCAATAAAATCCAGGATTTACAATATAAAAATGAAATTCTAATAAAAAGATAAGATCCCAAATAATCTTTCCATGTCATATCTGTATTTGATGGTTTCTTCATAATATGTCCATCTCTTTTCATCTCTCACTCCTGTCTCCTTCATGTCGCCAGTTCTCTTTTGCGTGCGTGTTTGCGTGCGTGCACACGCGCGCACGGTGAAATTGCCTACGTACAAGGAAAAACAGTTCCCTTTCGCATGCCAACAGTGCTTTTTCGACTGCCTCGATGTCCATCATACCCGCCCCAATCCCCACGGACCCCCGGCATGAAGTCCGGCTCCACCGCCTGCTTGATGGCCGCCTGCACCTTGCGCTGCTCCACCTGGAACTGGAAGCTATCTGAGGCAGGCGTCCTAGTGGAAACACTTCAGACACGCTCGTGCGGCCGAGCAACACCCGCTGCTCCCATTTACGACCATCAAAGGTGGCTGAGGGAAACCGGGAATCATAGTGAACCCCAAGGTTTTACAAGATGGCTCCAAGTGGAAGCTCTGAATGTTGCTCAGTGAGATGCAATACCGCCGTTCAAGGCTGGTCACGTTCGCTTGCACCCAGCGGCATCAGTCCCAAAGAAAACGCCTCTGTTTGCAGATCAGACAATTGAGACTCCGTTGGTCGCATCAATGTAAGGCTTGTCAACTCATCAGAAGAGCAAACAAGCCCAGGCCACTAAACAATGTATCCAAACATATCCGACCAGATTTGCAAACAACTTGCAGCAAACACCATATGCATACAATGCATACAATGTATACATGCAAGAAATGTGTATGCATTATATGCGGGCTCTGTCACACACTCCAAACATGATCCAAAACACGTTTTTCACCGCCTTCCGCAGCATCTTCTCGTGCTCCGCCTGGGACTCCGTGGCCTCGAAGGATGGGGCAGCCCCGTGTTGGGGTTTCGGACGTATCCGCATCCCCAGCTTCGTGGCATACCCGCATCATGAAGGGGAACAAACCAACTCGGCAATCCCACCCGGGAGAAATATGTTATTTATTTATTTGTCTTATTATTATTAAAACAAAACAAAAACTGTCCAACAGCTGGGGGCCCGGTCCACAGCCACCATCTCCTCGTGGAACTGCTGGAGCCTGCAGTGAGCCCTCCACGCTGATCTGCACTAGGGATGCATGAAACCCTGGGATAAACGACTGGTGCGAAGTGGATTTGTCCAACCACCTGTTGGTCTCACCTGCTCTTGGAAACAAACATGCAAGCTCCAAAAGAGCCCCTTTTTCAAAGAACGTAGTCTTCCGCAGACCCCCATGCAGGTCCGGTGTTGATTCTTGGGAAGGGGCAGCAACATGTTGGTTGTTTGAGTAAAATGGATCAAAATAAGGGGCAACAGATTGAAAGGTCGGGCTGACAGAACTGCATCTCTTCTGACAACTCAACACCGGGGTGCGGTGTGGGGCAAATGAACAACATATTTACCAATGAGTCTTTTCGGGTTTCACGTGGCTTTCAGCTGTGTGTTACCTTCGTCACATTGGCCAGAAGAGGGTGATGAGTTCGATGTCTTCTGTGATCCGCCGAGATTCGTAAAGCCCAGAGAACATGATCCAGATCACGCCCAGGAAGGTTCGCACACTTTACTTGTTTACATCGCCAGGGCCTCCGCTTCCATCTCTGGTGTGGTTCCCCTCACCAATTCTGCGATTGTTCGCATCCGGCCTAGGGTCCTTTCCGAAAAACAGATGGCACTGGTAACGACTAGAACCGGACTGAAATCAGCGCCGTCCATCTTCAACCAGACTGATCAAAAAGAACGCCAATCGTACCCAGCAGTAGGACTACCGGGACCACAGAATACGAGCAACAAGCGCTTGGTACCAGCAGCAGAACCTTGAAGCACAATTACAAGTCGTTGCGCTGCTACGTGGGCTGAAAGGAGCCAACAGGAAAGCAGAAGCTGACAGACCCACCAGAGGTGGCCAAAGCATGGCTTGGCCCCTGAGTATGATTATCACCGAAATCCACACCTACCATTCAAAGTAGATGAGCTTCCATCCGAAATGGACCCCTTTTGGAGTTCAGTGTAATTGCTTCGGGCAAACCGAAAGAAAGCCACTTTTCCTTTTTCTGTTTCCTTTTCTTTTATTTTCGTTTTTTTGCCACGGGGGGGTACCCCAAAGGAAGTCAAGCAGTAAAATGTTGGAGGGTCCCATGTTAAGACATATCCCCATTTCGGGGGGGGCAACTTGAACCCTGCTGGGGATCCTATGCCTTTAGCTTTCGTGTTGCGTGATTGAGGCTTCTCCGAGCTTCCGCGCGTGGCCAGCTTCAAGGCCAGGCGCTCTTCGTTGGTGAGGTGGGGATCCCTCGCGACTTTCTGGCTCGGTCGGTCTCGTCCCCAGGACGAAAACCGGTGCCGGTGGATGGTGCTTGACAGGGTTGCCCTTTTTCCGCAGGGGCAGAGTGCCATCCGATCCCAACGCGCGTTTTGAACGTGGAGCAGTTGTTTTCTCTTTTTGCTCTGTTCAACAGGGTTGCTCAAGAAATGTGGCTTGACCTGGTGGAGGTCCATCTGTTGGTGGGGAAAATGGCAAAAATTGGAACCATCAGCTCTCAACGACTACTTTTTGGACACCAATGGATGATAGTTTGATGTTGCTCAAGGAACAACTTGCGGATGGACAAAATGCACAATTCAGGGCAGATGATTTAGTGTGAAGTGGATTTTGTCCATCCACAGCATGGATGGTGCTTCCCAGAGTTGATCCCAAAACCCCGGCGGAAACCGAAGGATTTGGACCGCATTCGTGCCGGAGCAACTCTGGCCCCCCAGGCTCAGTTCGCTTCGAGCTGCGGCTAGAAAGGAGTTGTTGCCGGAGCATGCAGAATGCGCAAATCGCCTGGCGTGATATCTGCGCGGCCCCGAGCACAAACTCGACACGGCGCGTCACGCAGCGCCAAGTTGGCTTACAGCAGCAGGCTCCAGGGACGATCTTTCCCCACTGTGCAGCGCCAGGGACCCTGGGGTGCCTGACCACCTTTCTGAATGGGTGGCGTTTGGGTGCTCGGAACCACCTTCCACAGGGTTCCAAAAAGTTGGATTTGAAAAATGACAGCTGCAATGATAGTGCTCAATATGATGCAGGAAAGCAATGCGTGTAAAGTTCGCAGGGAGTCTGAGCGGTAGGTTGCACTTCCGACGGTTTCCTTTGCCCAATATTATATTGGTACAACAGTGGGTCTAAACTCATTGAATGGAAGAGTGTTGTGACAAACGGCTTTATGCAAAAAAACGTGGGGAACCCTGCACTGATTAAACTTGCAGAGGTAGATCTGAACGCTGTCACCACAAAGGAGGGCCCAGTGGCTTTGGGAATGTGTCGAAATGGGGGAACCACAAACATGGTGGTTGCGCTTTTGGTGTGCCTAGACCTCAAAAACGGCACTCTCGAAAATGGACACCCAACTAAAGAAAGGTTGTGCGCCTCTAGGTTTTGGACGGTTCCCATTTGCCTACGGTACGCTGATACCTGGAAGCCTCCAAGGAATGGCCCAAGTTCCGTCTGGCGAAGAGGGACCCATGAATACTGGGAGAAGCCACCCGACCAATTGAAGGATTTGTACCCGACAGGTTTGGGGCAGCATCTGTGCCAGAAGAAAGCCAACCGAGGGTGAAATAGGACACACAATCACCTGTTGATACTGTGGGACTCGTGTCTTTCCCAAAAGGGGACCTCTTGGTTTCACTTTCAACGCCCGTCCCTTGCTTCTGGCAAACCCCCTTCGTACAGTAGTAGGGTTCCCTATGTATGTCCCATTTAAACATCAGCCACCAAACTGAAACCCCCTTCCACATCACCCACCACAAATCAAACCCGCTTGAAAGGCCCAGATGGCTGTTTAAACCCGCTGCAAGAGGGAAGCATAGGGGTGTGTCCGAAAAACTGCAATAGGTGACCCGCCGAAAAAGTGAAGGGGGTGGCAAGGGCAGCCAGCCGAGGCTTGGGCACGGTCAGGGAGTCCACCGGAGCGGAGCTCGCAGTACCGGACGCCTGGCGAATCTGCAAACGCGCGGCCGATGCCAAGCTTTGGGTGGTGCGGTGCTTCTTTGCGCTTTGGCTGTGTGGATCTGTGTGTGTGTGTGTGTTTGTGCTTGCTGCGCGTTGGCTCCCCAAGGTAAACTCGTACACCCTCCGAACTGGTTGGTGGACTGTACTTCTGACCAACATTTGGAACATGCTCCAGCTGAAACCAACCAGGCGAAGCAAGGACTGTGTCCAACTCTTTCAGCGGGGGTTCATTTGTTTGGCCAACAATTGACTAAGGTAAACCCTCCATCCAGGCCCAGCTTCGCCCGAATGACACCACCACCAATCAGTGTTCTGAACAAGACATGTCAACAAAGGGAACCCCTAGCCAAGGGAAACCCTGAACAAGAACCGCCGTTCCTAAGCAGACCCAAGGGAAACCCTGACCCAAGTTGGTGTCCCTTGAGCTTTGAACACCTGGCTCCAAACAACTCACCCATCCCCCCACCCATCCCTTCCGCCACCCAAAGTCGGAGGCTTCTTCCGCCTGGTGGTTCAGCTGCAGCGGCAAGCTTGCCTCCGCACCCTGAAGCCTGGCTGCAGGCCGGCCAACGGACCAAAGGCGAGGAATTTATGGGGAAAAGCCCAGGAAAGGAGCCGAAATCAAGGGAAGCAACCGGGAAATCATGGAAAGGGGCCGGTCCCGCGGGAATTGTAGCTGTTTTATTTCCCAGGGGCGGTCTCTCTCTCAAACATGTTCTTGGACCTGTACCTTGCTGATGGTCGCAAGAACTGATGGGTCGCAAGAATAGTCCCAACAAGACCCCCCGCCCCCTTCGCTTCCTGAATGGAACCTGTTTGAGGCCCACTGATCAACTGCTTGATCAGTGTCTGATGGGAGATATAGCCCTTTCAATCGGGGCAGTTTCCTTAACGCTGATGTTCTTTTGGTGACACTTGTTTCTTAAACACAAAGTGTCGTCCAAAAGTTGGGTCCTGAATACACATGGTAAATGTCCTTTCGGCTTCCCCGTCAAAAGCTGTCCAAAGCTGTCCAAAAGTCAAGCCTCTATACATGGCTAATGTCTTTTTGTTGCCCCAAGAGAAAAAAAAACTCCAATCCACATGTTGGGCTATGTGTACATACATGGCTAATGCCCCTCTGGTGTCCCAATTTACTGAAGCCCAAAAACCAAGGAGGCAAAAACAAACTTTTCAAACGGGGGGTCTCCTATCTTCGATTCGTTTCCTTCACAAGGGACGCCCAACCCACCCCAAACCGAACCCAGCGCATCGCAGGCTTGCCGCTCGCCTCCTCTCGGCATCCCGCAGCTCTTCCTGCAGCGCTTCCGCCTCGGAAAGGCTCAGCGGCGCTAGGAAGCGGGAACCCTTTTTGGGGGGGTTGACGATTTCATGTGGGGAAGCCGCCAACTAAAAAGAAGTCCTAGCAGAATCGAGCTCTGGATTCATAACCGATGCAAAAATTAACATGGGGGGGGTTCTATTGTAGAGGGATCTTCGGCCTTTGGTTGATCAATCCGGGGTCGACGTTATTGCAAGTGAGCCAACCACAACACACGGGCAAGAAAGGCGCCAAATTCACAATACTGTCCGTGCACCCCCGCAAATTGAAAGGAGTCCACACTCCTTTCTCAGCCCCGAGGAACCTGACATCAACAACTGCTTCGCACCTATCGGATTTCAAGATCATGCGAGTGGTAGGCAGGTGGCAAGTGGTTCACTCACCGACTCCTGTCCATCCCATGGAAGGGGGGTGGGGTACATGATTTTCCTCCTAGGAAGGCATTTGAAGACCTTACTGTATCAACATTTAAGGGACGGTTCACAGGATGGCCAAAGGGTGAAGCAAATCAATACCTTCAGGTCAGGGCTGTCCTGCCGGAAATCACCGAACCCAGCTTTCCCAACCCTTGGCGTGTTGGCCAAACATGTTTAGGGGGTACTCCGCCCAACAAAAAAAAGGAGTGAAGGATCTACTCTAAAACTGGGACCCCCCCTACTGATCAGCCAGGGGTGTACTGATCTGGGGTGAACATTAGCACCTACTAAAACTGAGCAGAGCCGACAAAGCACAACTCCCAAAATTAATCAAACACCAATTGTATAAAATGAACCAAGCATGGCAACAACAGTGAAGACGCTAGCTTGTGATGCATTTCTTGTGTGGTGACAGGTGGATGAAGCAACCAAATGCAAGATTACGTACGCATTAGCACCATAGATTACCACAACTGCCTGGCGGAAATCTGTTGAGTCAACTTTTGCCCCCATGTCCGAAGTGTGCCTTGTGGCGTCTGCTCTGTAGTAAGTGGCAATGAATATTGACCGTTGCTCAACTCCCTCTCTTTGCTTGTTGCTAGGGTACCTCTGAATGCCACTTCCCGGGACGAGCCTGCCGGTTCAAACATGTTCCAAGCACCGGTTGTTTCAGCCCCCCTCTTTTAGACTTCCGCCCATGGCCCCAGGGCTTCTCATATTCTAAATCACCACCCGCCCGAGGACGCTCGCTGAACAATGATCAAGTTCATGTGATCGCTTCAAAGGGACGCATGGGTGCTTTCTTGATGGTATTCGATTCGGACAAGTTCGCAAAGGAAGCCAAGGGAAGTCAGCCTGGGGGCATTGCCTCCGCGCTTATGGAGCGTCTGCATCAACTCAGCCCGTGGCCCGCTTCTGAGCATGTGCCACCCGAAGCTCCTCAGGCGGGTGGATCTCTTGACAGGTGAAAACATGCATCCGCAGCGGGCAGTGGCGAATCCCATCTGTCCATGGCCCAGAAGCAGCGTGCGTTCCCCTTTTGCTTTTGCCCCTTGGCACTTTGAATCTGTGAATGTTGAAGCCAAGGAGTGGATTTCCCTTGCGAAGGGTGCTTTCCAAGCATCAACAGGCTTGCAAAAAATAGCAAAGGGCCACCAGCCCCCCGAGCAATGTGCACTCTTGCTGACAGGCGTGCCTTTTTCAGCCCAACCCACGGGTGGGGGGCGCTGCAGTTAACATGAAACCCAAACAGCCATCATGATCAATCAATCCTTTTGGGGGACCCCCCCACCGTTCGTCGTGGTTCCACGTCAATTGCATGTGTGGACCAATTTTGCTCCGGGAATCTGAAAACAGTATTGTCCTCGCCATGGCCCCGGAACAGCCAGGAAGCTTTCCACTGATGGATGGGAACAAGGATCGAAGAACCAGCAACCACAGTACGAAACCAAGGGTGACCATAATGCACGGCAAATCCAAAAGGCAAACAGCCATGGGTTCCACCGTGGCTGGAAGCACTGAGATATGGTCAAGCCGCAATGGTATCTTCGAGCGGTGCAAATAGGCGGGCCCATCTTGCAAGCCTCTAGAGGAGTATGAGAGGACCAGGCCACTGGAGGGGGCATCTGTTTGTTAACCACGGGAGGATGCCCCAATTGTTTGTTGCACTGGCATCCCTGCTTGTGATCAAAGCCAACCAGCTCTATCCATCATATCAAGGTGCGCAACGGACAATATAAGCGGCTAACGATATAAGCGGCTAATGGTTCATTTGGAAAGTCCCCCATGTCCTCCCTAAATGAATCATAGAGTACCAAGCTCTGCCTTTCATCGAACTCTTGCTTCACCAGGAAATTGCAACATGCTTTTCCATACCGATGCATCGGACATCACCAGGGACAAAACACAGGCCAACCCGGCCATGCCCTTCCCCATACAAGCCAAGTGGGGGCCGCTTAAAACTGCAACAAACCCTCACCCCCCTCCCCCAGTGCCCTCCACCCTCTCCTCTCACCCCGTCCCAGCCCATTTTGCCCCTCCAGAAAAACCCACCCGCCCCACTGCGCCCCCCACGCACTGGTGCTCCAAGATGTACCCGGCCGTGGCCGCCTCCCCTCGGCGCTGGCTTGACGCCTCCGGACGGGTTCACTCACCGGTGGGATGCAGCTGGACGGGGCTAGCCCCGCTGGCCGCTTGGGTTTGGGCTTAGGTTGGTTTTGAGCCGTGACAGCGGTGTCAGCCATGTGGGCCATGGTCAGCCAGTGGATGAATGTGTGTGTGTGTGTGCATGTAACAATGCAGAAGATGCTGAGAAATCATGATGATGACGACGACTGCAATGACTGCTGCTCATATTCCACGAGGTCCATGCGTGAGACATGTGAGCTGTGGGACCGGGCGCAAGATCAGAACAGACTTGGGCATGTCCGAACATCGGACACCCGAAGCGGCAACAAGTTCCCTTGTACTTCCCTCTAGACAGTTCCCCAAAGACACGCCACTCGACTCTGGCCTGACGCCGCTTCTGCTTGCGCAGCTCCGTCTGTGCCTTCCAATGGGGCGGCTCAACGAGAGAGAAACACGCTGAAGCGCCCATGTGGTCGTCTCCTAAAATGAGGCACCTCGCTTCAGCAGTGAAAACATGTCAGGGGAACATTTGCCCACCCCTTTCAGATGTCACAAATGCCCAACCGATCCTTGGCAAGGGTCGCCTTGTTTGGGAGGCCCCAAGTGGACGGGGTGATAGCCGAGTGGTGGGTAACACTTTGCTGCAAACCCTAGGTTTCCTAGGATGATCTAAGTAAAATCGGGGGATGGTTCAGCCCCGTACCAAAAAATGTTCGATTCTAGCCAATATTGTGTGAACCTGATTGAAAATAAGCTGAAAAGAGATCCCATTGCAGAGCGGCCTTGTTTGGATGTGAGCCCACGCCCGATGAACCAGAGCTCTACCAGTAGTATGAGTATGCTTCATCCAATTTGTGGCAGCAGCTTGCGATTCAGTTTGGTGGAAACCCGAAGGAGTCCGTGTGAAGGTATGTAGATCTGCCTCTAAATGAAGAACCCCCAGCATGATTTCGCCTTGCTGTTGCTTTAAAATCGGCTCAAAAAGAGGGCCACAAAATGACACCCGTATGAGAAGTCATGGCCGCATTTTCCCATCCAACCATGTCTAAGCAAACACACTATTTCGCCTGCAACCTGCTGCTTTGGGCTCTGAGGAACCCAATCAGCACTCTTTGGTGAATCAAAAACTACATGGCATCCAGGGAAAGTAAAAACACCATTTACCCCCACTGGTTCCGAACGGGTGAGAAAACAGCATCGCAGACAGGGCAAATGGGGCAAGGGGTGTGAAGGGACTCAGTCTCGCAGCAGCAGGAGAGTCCCTTGTTTTAGGGCACTGCTGGATGCTAATGTCCGCTTCGGATTTATAGAAAACCCCTCCAGATTCATCTTGGGTGGTTTCCCATGTAGAAGGGTGAGGAAACAAAAAGGTTCCTGAACCGACGTCCACCCCTTGAACAAGTTGGTCAACTTCCAAGACTCGCTCTCTGCGAGCACGAGACCCTCCTGCGGCTGTTTTGGGCGACCCGCTGTTGGCTAGTGTGCAAAGGAAACCACAAGGAAACCAACCATGTGCGCTCCCAATATGGCAAACACATCTACCCAGGGTCCCAGACCTCTGCCCTTCATATGCTTGGTAACTCCGCGCCCCAAAGGTGTCTTGGCAAAGCTACGGCGACGAAGACTTATTTCAAGAAGTAAGCCTCTTGCCAAACCGGTCTTCATGATGCTAACAATTTCTACCAATTTCATGGGGCTCTGTTTTTATCTGTTTGTTTGTAGAAGTTTCTACATTTATCATCGCAACATCACCTCGTGGGCAATGTGCAACGAAGGTTTGGGTGGCGTGATGCTTACAATAGAGAGCCTGTATTGCATCTTCCTTTTCAAAGCAACCCAAAACGGCATCCTTTTTTGCCCCTCCCTCCTTCCAAAGGTGCCAAATGGAGGTGTGTCGAAATAGGGATTTGGACCCCAGAACGTTGGTTTGCCCATTGTTGTCCCTGTAAAACGTCTAAAGGAGGTCCTCCAAAAAACCACACCGCCCAAATCGAGATCCACACCGATCGCCCGAAAGCTCCGAGCTCTGCACCGTGTCCAACTCGTCCTCCGCGTGCATGTGCTCCTGGGAACCCACCGCAACGCGACTTCGCTTGTCCCCCGAAATTTGTGCAGTAGGTGTGACCTCCCTAAAACAAGCCCGAAAGGGGAAATCCCAAAAACAGGCACACCCATTTGGGAGGTGGCTAGTTGCAAGTGGCAAGGAACCTTCTTGGCTTCGCCGCAGAAACGTTTGATCCCTTATTTTGGGATACAGAAGTTTCGGTGTGGTTGAAGTGTTTGGACCATTTGCCGAACATCATTTACATGGGCAACGCCCAACAATGTTTGAGGGCGTTCCCGGTTAGATTTCATGGCCAGGTGACCCCCAATCAAGTGAATTAGGGGGGCGCTGGGCTGCCGAATTTTGGACACCACCACTCGGTAAAAACAAAACCTACCCGTTTGTGCCACTCAAATTAGTGAACAACAAAATGTCCCCTTCGTTTAGCGTGAACCCACGCAGGCCTTTAAAAAAGCAGCCTCCCCCTTTTTGATATGAAACCGTAGCTTTTTTGGGGAACTGACCCCCCTCAAAGCGTGAGAAAATAATACCTTACCTGTTTGGAACTCTGGCCGAACTGGGTCCAAGTCACATCCCCAAACTGACCGAGCTTAACCCGCCGTACCACTCCAATGGCCCCAGCTGAATAGGCATAAAGTGGCTGCAACAGCCCGAAACAGGTTGTTTCTCTCCCGTCTTTACCAGCCCCAAAAATGGCAATCAACCCAACCCAACCAACTCAACCCAACCCAAACCCTCCAGCCCGGAGGCCCAAGTCGGCCGAGTGCGGGTCTCCCGCTCGAGGAGCGGCAGGCGCTTCCGCAGCTCCAGGGCCTCCCTGAGCTCCGCGCGCTTCGCCTCCAGCACCCGCAGCTTCCTGGCGGATGGTTGGGCTTGGAGCGGTGGGGTGGGGGGGTTGGGTGGGGGTTGGGCGGGGGGTTGGGCGGGCCAGCCTGCAAGGCAAGCTTGTGATGTGGACATAGACCATGTGGTATGCGCATTGGCAACATCAACTGGCAGCAACCTGAGCACCTCTATTGTGAAGGCTGTTGAGAGAGACAACTTGAGCACGAAACCCTGGTGTTGCATAAATGACTCTGCTCAGATTCAGATGTGCCACTCAAAAAAAATAACTCGTGTGGCGGCAACAAACATGCGCGGGTCACCGGCTTGAACACGTGCAAATGTACAGCGTATGGTCAAAAATGCTTCGGGAATGGCGACCTTTACACACGTGCCCTCAAGCAACAAACCAAGGGACCGCAAGCAAAGGACTCAGTTGTACGAGAGTTGCAAGTCATCCAGGCCGGGGCGGCGGTACAAGTACGCTGGTCCTCAGTAATGACTCTCACCTCCCAAGAGCATCAGTCAAACACGTCTGAGTATCTTCCCCAACAGCCACAGGAGCAGTGATTTCTGCAACTGGTTGCATTTCAAAGTCACCCTCGCGGTTGCTTCTGGCGGTCTCCCTTTCTTCCAAGCTTCTGACGACAACATTTGGAAGCCACTAGGCATGTTCAGAAACGTAGGCTTGAATGATGGATCCCCTGGACCAAAACCGATGGAGCGCTGCTTCTCATGTGGACCAACCCTTTGATAAATGGGACACTTCTCGCCCCATGCGTCAATCCAACTTGACGTTGGATTGACGCCGTATCTTGACCACAGCCAAGGGCCCCAAGGCTCAATTGTGTGAATCCAAAGTTTGAGCGACGTGTGCTCGGCACAGCTTCAGCGGGCCACAAACCGCCCCAAAGACAAACTAGAACAGCTTGATTTCCATGTCGTTGCTACAGAAAGTCCAGAGTAAAGTAATCCATGAACAGTTGGAGCGAGTCTTTCTGTAGTTCGTGGGCATCTGGCATGTGCAAGGCTCCGTCAATACAACTGACAAACAACACCTGCAGGCGTCCGAGAGGCTGACATCAGGGCCTGATACCTATCTTGGGGGCGTCGGGGCCCTGAAAAATCCTTCGATATGTGGTTATGATTCGCTGTAACATTTGTGCTTGATTGGCTGCTTCAACTTTTAGCCGCCAAGTGTAAATCCTGACTACCCGCTTGATAGCTCCAATCGACGAGCTCAGCCCCTGCAAGCGCCACAGCTGGGGCTCCGTCCAAGCGACCAACCTCGGAGTATTGTGAACTTGGGACCCCTTCCTATCAAAGAGATGTTCAACTACCCAAGTGTCCATACTTGTATGCCTGTATATGTACAGTTAAAACCAGAACTAAAAACAAGTGGTTACATCCAAGTTGCCCCATTTCCCCTGGCAGAATGTTTGCCTCATCATATGTCAGGAGTTTCCTGGCCAGCCATGAAGCTCCCTGTGCTTTTTTGAGGTGGCTGCTTCACTTCGAAGAATCCATCGGCGACAAAGCCACAGGTGCAACAAATTTCATGCAGAAACAAGACGGTGAAACGGCTTGGAAGTGATTCGAAGCCAGTACTGCCCCACAAAACGAGATAGACCCCGTTTGCTTCACATGGCCAGGTTCCCAAAGCCAATTCTGCATACAGGAACACAGGTGTCCAAACGGCAATTTGCTGAGTTGCCTTTCAAAGCCATCCGCCCAAGTCCCTGATTTCAGGACACCTCTTATCTTTGGAGAATTCTCTTTTGAGGTTCATCTTTAAACAGCTTGGCGAGTGTCAATGCCTTTTGCGGTTCTTTGACTGGGCTGCAAACCTTGCAGTGAGGGCCTGGGCAACTTGCCCAAGGAAACTACAAAAAGTGACTCCAAGAATTAGGAGCCCGCATTTCCTTTTTTGGGTTGGACTCGGAAAAAGGGAAGCCTTGTAGCAAAATGTTTTTCAGTGAAGAACCCACCGCTTGGAGTAGAGGGCGATGTCGCGCCAAAGCACCACGCGGGGCTGAATCATGGGTCTGGCAAACTTTGAAAAATGACTAATGACTGATGCCTTGTGGGTGTCCCTTTGTGTGGAACTAGAAGCAACCTGCCATTGGCCCAGCAAGTCAATTCTGCCAGCAGAAAGGCAAGCAAATATTGTGAAAGACGTGTTTGACGTTTCGACACTCCGGAGACCTTGTTTTGCTCCGTTGATAGGCCCTTCTCTTCATTGGTTTGACTTCCAGCTTCAGGTTTCAATCATTTACATGGGGATTTCGGGAAGCTTATGCAACCACACCCAACTGTGAGGGTGTTCAATCAGGGTTTCCATATTTACACGTAAATCTATACAACCACCCCCCATGTTTGAGGGCTGGCAGGCCATTTGTCCTCAGTACATAAGCCTTCAACACCCCTTGCTGGGCTTCCCAGACTGGTTCGCCACCTCTGTAAAGCGCTGCGCCGCCTGACTGCGGATCTGGTTCCTGTTGGCTGGCCATGCAAAACAGGGACTTGAGAACCATCGCGCCGTTTGCAAGACAACTTCGGTACGTGGGAAAGGTTCCTGTCCACCGAACCATGTTTGCGGGAGGTGTGCCCTTTGTTTCTGCACGGGAAAGATCGATTTCCTGAAGGGACCCCCTGTCAGGCACCATGCTAGCAGGAGGTTTGGCTGACATGTGTGGTGTTTCTGCTTGGGGTTTCTCGGCTCGCAAATTGCTGCTGAGTTTCTTCGCGGAAAAACCATGGCTGCTGACCACCTAGCTGACATCTGTCAACCAGTGAAGGGCCGCAGTTTACGCCAACTCCTCGATCCGATTGAAGGAAACCCTCCACGCCTGGCTGAACGCCTGCTCATGCCGTCGAACCTGCGGAGGCAATCAGGAGGGGCTCTACCAACCACCCACCCAACAAAACTGGGGCAAAATTATCGCGGTCTCATTCTCTCGGGGATGCTTTTGGAATCGGTCCAAAGTCGAATGTGGGGGGACCAACTGCATAGGCCATGTTGGTAGGTTTCCTCTTGGATTCCCTTCGAAGCCAACCAAAATGGGGTTCCAGCCAACAGAAATGCAAAAAGAAAGTGTTTCCAGATCATGGCTTTTGCAACCCCCTTTTCAGACTCAAAGGGAACCTCAAAACGGCGACTAATTGGGTTGCAACCCCTTTTTTGTAAGAAATTCCCAACCCCCAAATGGAGGTTTCTCCAAAGGAGGTCCCAAACTGGCCCAAAATTTGTCCATGCTCAAGTCACCCAAGTGGTATGTTGAGGTAAACCAGACCTAGTTTCTGACTTTCACTGTCAAACCCCAGCCAAATGGGCTTGTATTCTTGAGGGTAGCCCTTTCAAGTTGGAGAGAAATGTTGGTCCAAACCCCTTGGGCACATCCCAAATGGATCTCCGGCAGCCCGGCTCATGCATCCAGCCTGCCGCCGGACCTGGCGTAAGACTTGCCACTTCCGGATGTGCGGCTTGCGAAATGCATCCCACACTTGCCCCTACGGCGCTTTCTGGGGAACTTGCGTGTTTATAGGCGATATGTGTCTCCAATTGATGTGGAACGCCAAAAGAAAGTGGAGGTTCTCACTGGGCTTTCTTGCAAACAACCCCAAAAAGGGTGCCCTCAAAAAGAAGCCCATGTAGAGGTGACACATGTTAGTTTGTATGGGGTGTGAGAAGTCGGCAAAGAACTTGTCATCCAAAGGAAGCCTAGGATTCATAAACCGGTTGACTCACAGGCTCCTAGCCGCAGAGATAATCAATGAATTAGAAGGCATTGCCGCACTGTGTTACAAAACAATTCCCCCCCACATGAGGAAAGAATGTGGGCCATCAATGCACAGTTGCCCAAATGGTAGAAAAAGAATTGGAACCCCGTCCAAGTTTGCGCGGAACCACTCGGCTTACCTCAAGCTTCCTTGGAGTTCATGAATCCCTAGGTAAAAAAGCAGTTGGCTTGCTCCCTTGTGGGACCCGCCCGTGTATCGCCAACCATCCCTTCGTCCAAGTTCGTCCACCCGCCTCCCCGCTGCCAGAAAAGGACTGGGCCCCCAAATGAGGCCTTCCAAAAGGACTTTGTCCAACCCCTTTTGGGTCCCCCTAAGGCACTGAGCAACCTTAGCAACACAGCTGTCACACGGATCTGATCGATCTCACCACTAGAAAAACAAGCGCAAGGAATATCCCGACCTGAAACCTCTTTGAGCACGCAGGGATGCCGCAACGGATCGGCACTCTGAATCGTTTGCTGTCACTGTTGGGAAATCATACAGTGTGATGAGCATGTTGTATTTGGACTACCCTTCTCACCTTGGTTCAAAGGGGAACCAACAGCTACAAGCGCCATGGTTGTTTTTTTTCTTGACACCTCAATGGAAGCCAGGGCTCCCAGGTTTGGAATCGGACCCCTGGGTCAAACCCACGCATCGGCCTCCTGCAAGGACGCCCGGCACGAGGATACGCGGCTGGCGAACGCCTGGCAGAATGATAGATCCCATGCAGCGCCTCTTTGGGGGTCGGTCCGGCCATTAATTCGAAGGCATGTAAAAACCGAAAACATTGGATTGATACTGTGCCCTACCCCGATTTTGATGGTAAGAGCATCCCCCTTTATGCTACACACACGACCTTGTGACCATCTCACTTGCTCAAGCGGATGGCTGCATTCTGGTGCAAACTTCCAGAATGATGCGATATGGATTCGAGGACTCGTCGCAAGTCCAAGAAACACCCGGGCCCGCCTCGTAGTCTTCCATGGCCTGTGACCAGCACTCCTGGGCCACGGACGCAAAGGTTTCACTTCACGGCAGCAGAACAGGATGTTGGATTTGTTGAACAGGGCCGGTCAAGCGGGAGCCGCCAAAAACGGGTGGCTGGCCTGTGGCCGCCCTTCGAAGCAACCCGGCAGCAACTACCGGAACCATTCCGGAACCCCTGCCCAGCCCCGGAGCCTATCTGGCCAGCGACCCCAAAGCTTTCAGCTTTTGGGGGAAAAATCCTTCCTCTTTCCGCTCAAGTAGAGCAAGCCAAAATACCATGCACAACTTGCTGCGCCCCTTGGAGTCCGACATGGAAAGTGGGCCGGTGCTTACGGAATCCAAAAACCATCTGCTCACAGGGAGATCCTCTAGATTTGCTTGTTTGGGAGCTTTGTTGACTGACCCCAGCTGGTATCCTTTGGGGACCACGCCTTCTGGTTCTGTAGAAGGTCGCCGGCCACTTGCTGCACTCTCCAGAGAGACTCCTGACGAACCATGCGAAAATGACCTCCATGTCTCAATGAGTCACAAACATACTCACCAAGCCTTACCGCAAGCGTGGAATTGTGGAAGCAGCCCATCCGGCAGGCAACGCCCATGGCGCATCGCGCAAGCCACATACTGCACCACGCGAGCAATCTGAATGCCCTCAAAAAAGCTCAACTTGGCCCCTAAAAAACCGGCTGTAACCCTTCTGCCTGGGTCACCCGGGCGAGCTCCGGCCTCAGTCCCCACTGGCAAAATTAAGACATGATCCATCCTCTTGTGGTTTCCCTACGGCAAGCATGAAAATCCGGGCTTGCACCCAGAAACGGGCAGTCTTCACACCAAACGGGAACGCGCCAAGAATGGGGATCTCTCGCAAAAGGAAGGGCACAGCTACTTGAAGCCGGTTCCCAAACGATGCTGATGTGAACATGTGGTTCACACACACACACATGCCAATGGTCACTCGGTTCCTGCAGTAGTCATTATTCCCTTACTAGGAACCCATACACCATTTTGGCTACATCTTCCTGGGGTGACCATGGCACAAATGGGTTCAAAATCAAGATCGAGCACTCGGGACCATTGTTTTCAGGCCGCAGCCAGTTTACAGAGCTTTCCTCAACCATTACCCAGCCACAAATAGTTGTGGCTCAAAACCTCAGATAGACATCGCTCCCATCAGGATTTGTGTCCACCAACGTTCGCTCAGTGGTGTTCCAACTACAAAAAGTCACGCTGCACATGCACAAAGTCCACGCCAGGCAACACTTGCGGATGAGAATTAATCCCTGCGAAAACTGGGTTTCAGAGCCGGGCCCACACAGATCTCAGAGACTCACTTAAGAAGCGGCCTGGAAGAAGCGACCTAAGCGCTGCTCTTACGATCACAAACAACAAATCCGATCCAAAACGAATCGCCTAGCTTCGGCCCCCGGCCACTCGGCGCCCGAGTGCTCCTCCACCTGCGCCACGAAAAAGCCCGCCTCAGGCGCCAGGAACGCCGACGAGGCCCGTGAAACGCGTTGGGGCAAGACCACTTGCTGGAGTGGAGGGAGTCCTTCGGTTTTTAGCTAGGTGTTAGCTTCTGCCATAATACAATGATACAAATTGAGATTTCTTGAGTCCGGGAGTCCGGGCCAGGTGTTTCGTCGAGAGAGAAACAAACATTTGAAAGAGGAGTTGCCTGGTTGACAAGCCCTCTGGGGTAGATCCAACTTAAGGGGCTCATTGTCCTCGAACTGGGGTCGTCTCAATGGAAGCCACACCGGCGCCGTTTGGTTCCATCCCAAAGATGGCTCTATGAAGGTCAATATGAGCCTTGCTAAAATCCCCATGCGGGTAGAACCCAGCGCTGAACTTGCCAATGGGGTTGGGAGCTGCTTACGCGAGGCTTCAACAACTGGTCAAGCAAGCCTGGTCAAGCCTACGGGCATGCCAGGAGTGCACTGGGGGTTTGGGAGGGGATGTCCAGCTTCCGCAAAATGTCAAGCACATCTAGAAACAAACTGGCTGTGGTTTTCTAGTTGCTCCATGGAAAATTATAGTTTTCGGGAAGAATCCAAGCTGTTCACGGAGACTTTCGGCGTTTGGGCCCGTGTCAAACCACGGGCAATCATGTTTCCTTTCTTTGAGGTTCTACCAAAACACCAACCCCAAAAAGGATACGAGTTCGCAAAACACACAACACATACACACACACACACACACACACACACACACACACACACACACAACACACACAGACAGACACACCTCCAAAACACCAACCCAAAAAGGATGCTCTCAAAACAAACAACACACACACACACACACACACGCAGACACACGCGCGCAGACATGTTTCTTCCTCCCACCTTGGCCTCCCCGCTGTTTCATGGAGCTCCCGCGCCACGCGCTGGCACTCCTCGCACCCCACCCCGCAAGCGGCTTGGGCCGATAGGCAGGGCATGAGTTGGAAGGACAAAAAAAACTGAACCATCCCTTCTGGAAGGGAATCTTGGGTTGCCCAACACCTCGCTTCTTCGGTTCCACCAAAGCTGCGGTTCCCCAAATGGAACCGCAACAAGGTTGCAATTTCAACCAAGGTGCTTCGCAGTTGCCCAAAAGGCTCAGCCAGATCGCAAAAGGTGTTTGGCAGTTCCCCAAAAGACTTTTGGCTAAGTTCCGAAAAGCACTTGGCAGTGGAGGCTTCATGGTTCCCCAAAAGGAGGCGCCCAAAAAGGAGGTTAGCCACAGAAATAGCGACTTAACCAAAGGGTTGTCACGATTCCCCCAAAGGAGGTTCCTTCGCATAGGGAGTGATGATGGGATCCAGCTCATGGTGGGAGGAGACCCTTGTTTCGCCTTTTAACAAACGTTTGCTTGAAACGGAACTTTGGGAAGATTAACGGAAGCCTCGGTGGCTCAAGAGGTAAGGAAAGCCCTCCTTTGCGGAGTCCTAATCCAAATCAGATCAATACCGCAGGTCCATGACTGAAGCAAAAGCTTCTGGGTGGTTCAGGGATCAACAAATACAGCAACCTCTTTGGAACAGGACGAGTACTTGCAAGCATGAAGCTGTGATGCAGAAACATGGGACGAAGATGGGCCCAAAGAAAGGAACCTGCACAACATCCCGCGCCTCCGTTTGGTGCCTCTGGATGGCCTGCAGCTGAAGGTTCCGAGTGAGACACCCTGAAAATGGGCCCCTCACCGAAAAATTGGCATGTTGAAGCTGGCTGGTAAAGGTGGCTTTAAGCAGAAAATCTGGGACCTAAACCAAGAGTTCTTCAAATTGAAGGGTCAGCCCATCCTAATCCATACTATCCATAATCCCTATGGTGAAATGATTGCACAAGGGGCCCAACCTCATGGAACCAAAAAGAACGTATCAAGGATTGTCTTGCAGGCACTATGTCACCGGAATGGTTGGCCAAGTCCAGCCCTCGAACAAGCCAAGTGAAAGACCGAACTGTCTGGCCCTTGACTAAAGCACAGTCGGGGAAGAGTCGAGGAAATGAACCAGCGGGGATGCGAGAGATAGCGGTGGAGCCACCATCCCTACTCCCATATCCCTGCTCCCAGATCCCTGCCACTTGGCTCTTCTGAAGAAACACCACCGCCACTATTCAACCATGGGCAAAGTCACCTGCGGGGTGGAGGGTTAAAGGTACTCAAAACTCGAAGTTCGGACAGCCTTGGGTCGAGAAGAAGAAAGCACCAAGCGTAGCAAAACAGGGTTCCTTCCACGATACCGTTTGGTCAAGTTAAATATCACCTTACCAGCTGTGTCAAACGCTTTCTAAATGTACCAGGTATTTGGAGGTGTTACCTTTCAGGGACCCTGGACAAAGGTAAGTCTCCATATTGAAACGAAGCCAAGCTCTTCAATGTTACTTACAGTCTTGCTTAGGGATGTTGTTCCTTTCGATTTCTTGCACGCCATTCCAAAAACAAGGTCACCCCTTTGTTTGACATGAATGGGTCTCAAAACGGAAACCAAACCAAACAGTTTGCCAGTCGCAGTACTGAAAACCCCACGCCCCGGTCACAAGTCAGACCGCTGAAAGGCCGCCAATTGCCAGAGATTGAATCCCCAAGCGTGTTCCACAGACACGGCATGATTTGGCGGGTGAATTATGGAGCTCCAAAGCTCCAAGCACGTCCCGATGCCCCGCTGCTTGCTCTTTCTCGTCAAATGAGGGTGCATGGCTGATCCATCTCGTATGCTGCATGGTTCATGGCGCCCCGCCATTAAAAATATAATAAAAAACATATGCAATGCTGAAAGGATTTCACATCCCTTGCCAAACCCCAAGCAATCATCTGGAATCCATCAGTGTACGGCCCCGGAAACCACTCCATTCCCAAGGAGCGGCGTTGCGTTTTTTGCCTCAGAATATGCAAATATGGGCACCTCGTGCAAAAAGGCTTTCGGGTACCCTGTGGCTTGCGGTTCAACCAGTCCCAAAAGGCTACCAACTCTCAAACAGACAGGTTTCCAAGAGATTCCTCTTCCACACCGATACCAAGCCTCAACAACAATACTCCAGAAAAAATCCTGTCGGGTGTGCGTCCAACAGAATGGGGAATCCCACAAAAAGGGTGATTTTCCTTCAAACCACCCCAGACCCTTCAAAAAAGGACACCGCCAAATAGACGGTCTTTGAAAAGGCTATTCTTTTTGGGGTTGCTTCGGGAAAGCAAAGGGAGTCCACATAGGCCTACTAATACAAAATCAACAAGTCTATTTGCAAGTGTTTTTGCCTGGATGCTTGTTGTTTCTTGGTGTCGTGTATTGGTCACCCCTTTGGTCTGACACAAGCCCCGCATCCGCCTGGCGCTCTTGTAACGCCTCCTGCCACTCCTTCGCGTGCCTGGCGCCGGCTTGGGGCGGCACCCGAGCCTGACCTGTGCCTTGTTCGAGACCCAAACCGTTGCCTGGATTTTTGGTGCATGGTGTTCCACCCCGTGTTTTTTTTTTTTTTGCGGGGTGGGGACGGGGGGAGGGCTATTTTTGGGGGACCTGTCTTCTTCTTCTTCTTTTTTGGGGGGGCTACTTTTCGAAGGACTGTTTTTGTTTCTGTTTTTTTTGGGGTGCTTTTCGGGGGGCTGTTGGTTAGGGGCCTGCTTTTTAGGGGCCCCAACCTGAATAAGCAGATTGATCGCGCCATGGCTGTTCACGCAAAGGTAGGCACGTGCCCGCATTTTGAGACCTATGGTCTCCGGAGCCCTTCAGCCTGAGCTTTCCCTTCAAACTGGTCCCCTTTCCCCACCTGGTCCCAGCTCCCAGCTCCCAGCTCCCAGCTCCCAGCTCCCAGCTCCCAGCTCCCTCCCCTGCCTCAGGTGCTTGGGCCCCTGCAGCAGCAATGCCTCCCAGAGCGCGCACGCGGACTGCTGCAGCAGCGAGCGCTCCGCCGGCCAACTCTTCAGCGCCCCTTTGGCCCGCTGCGGCACCAGCACCGTTCGGAAGCTGCTGCCGGAGGGGCCGTCGCCGCTGGTGATCTCCTGTGGGACCCAAGTGGGGGGAAGTGAAGTGGCCATGGGTCAAAATCCCGGTGACCCCGGGGAACCGGAATAAAGGAAGGGAAGGTGCTTTTGCACTTTTTGGGCAAGTGTCTAGTTGCGGAAAATTGGCTCTTAGGATTTGGTGATGCGAAAAACATACGTGCTATGTTAAACGTCTGCGGCAGAAAGTCAAAGGAAGCTTCAGTGAGAATTGGTCGGTGGGTACATGGCTGGGCGAGTCGGTCAGGCGTCCAGCCCTGGCCGGCTGGTCGGTAGGTCTTCTGACATGGTTAGTTCCTTTCGTTTGGCTTGCTTTACATCAAAGATTGCCTGTACTAGGAGTTCATGTTCCATGGCACAGCACTTGCTGCGTGCAAACTTGGGGAGTGAGATGAGTTACCTGATCAATCTAACCAAGTTACCCACCATACACTCGACAAGCTTCTTCGCCGCTGGTTTTTACAGCGTTCGTTTAGCGTCTTGGGGCAGGAGGGTTTGAGGCTACGGTTTCGGGTTGAAGTTTGTGTCTCGGAGGGTTCGCACTTGGGTGTTGTGCACGCACGGAGGTCTGGTACGTTTCCGAAGACCCGGACAACAGGTCCTGGGAAGTTGCTTGCCTTTGGTAAGCAAAACTGGTAGATCCTGGAAAACGGACCTTTCAACAGACCTTTGGCAACAACTCAACAGTTCAAGGATCTACCAAAGGACCAGTTCCACTATCATATTCAACAGACCTTTCCACTTCCATGACTTGAAAGGCGATGTCCATCCTCAAGCGGGCAACTGGAAGAAGACTCGAGAATGCCCCCAATGAATACGCGGGACTGGACTTGCATCAGATCTGACACCCTGTATGCATCTACCCTCTGGGCACATGCTCCAAGGATCGGTTTGAAACAAAGACTTCAAAGTCGATTGCCTCAGCCGAATTTTGCCAAAGCAAGCCAGAGAGCTTTGGCAGCTCGCTTTTTCAGCAAACACAATACACGGGTGATCGTTTTGGCACTGCCACCAACTTTCGAGGTGGAAACCGGGGCTCCAATGGTTTACCGTACGGACTCTTCGACCCTTTTGACGGAAAGGGCGGCGTGAAAAAGCAAGAAAGGGGCCGATATCACCTGCCAGAATTCTCTCTTCGTTCTCTCCAAAACAAAATCAGGTGTGGCTCCTAGCAAAAACACAAACAACTCTAGTGCTACCTTCCCCCATTCTTCCGAGGGATCCTCCTTTCGAGAAAACCTCCGGAAACCCAGGGAAACGGCAGGTTTTTTAAAAGAACGATGGTTGAAAAGAATGGGGAATCAATCCTTAGAAAAGCTCTCAACTCGATCCCCGAAGCAAACAAAGGTCAACTCAGCCTTCGGTGGCCCGCCTTCAGGGCCTCCTCCAGCCAGCTGAGGTACCTCAGTTGCTCAGTTGGCGAAACAGGACACCAAGGAGCATGAATCAAGCCCATTTGGCCTGCCCCCCCCCCCCAATATATATATATATATATAGACATATAACAATAGGACAAAATGGAGGGGTGGTCAAAAAGCGGCCTGTTCCTTCTCAGCCTGCCCCTAGGCTACATGCTTTCACCGAAGTTGCCCTCTATGCAGCGGTCCAATTCCGACTTCTATTTGATAATCCTTATTGGTGTTGGGGGAAACTGACCCCAGCAAGGAAAGATAAACGTGCTTGCCTGCCAGCCAAGGCTTGGCAAGTAGCCTCAGGGTGCAAACGGGAGGGATCATCAACCTGGCCTTTCCAGTGCGCACTCAGCGTGGTCATCCAAGCAACCCACACATCTGGGTGTAAATCTCTTCTTGAGGTGCACATGTCAGCATTGTTTGAAAGGGAAAGCCAAGGAGAAACCCCATTTGGAGGGTCAAATGTCTTCTAGCGAATGGTTGAAGAGGCTGGCAAAAGATTCTCTTCCAGACCCACATAGCAGTTTTCCGTCGGTTTCTCTTTAAACCAGCTCATTGGCGCCGACTTGTAACAAACACCCAAATCCAGGACTAACTGTTTTCAAAACTCTCATAACTCCCAACATTGGAAAGAGTTCAGGTCATACTCACTCCCAAGCAGGAAGAAGAACAAAAGCTGGGCCTTCTTTTCTGGGGCCCTTTCCCCGGAACCTGTCCTTCGGTTCCTTCGGTTCCTTCGGTTCCTTCGGTTCCTTCGGTTCCTTCGGTTCCTTCGGTTCCTTCGGTTCAGTCCGGTTGGGCCCTGTGGCTGCAGCAGCGGCAGCGCGTCCGGGGAGTCCAGGAGCTGCAGCAGCCGCTCCGGCGACAGCAGCGAGGCGTTCCCGGCGCCGGAGCCGCCGGAGCCCGCGAGGAGGCACTCCACGCAGGTCTCCATGGCCTGGCCCACAGCCCGGGAGCGGCGGTCGAAGGGGGCGGCGGGGGGTGAGGAGTTTGCTGCGCCCGTTTTGGAGACTGGGGAAAAAAAGGAGAACCAAAGGGGAACTTAGGGGAACTTCCAGTTGCAAGGGGAAACCATCCACGGATGGTGAGAAACCATAGGTAAGGGGAAGCCATCCATGGTAAAGCCTAGAGGTAAGCTGCGCGTTTTGGAGATGGGAATTTTCAGAGAACCAAAGGGAAACTCGGGGAATTTGGGGGGTGATGACCTCAAAGGTGCAAGTTGAACACCCCGTAGCTTGCGCGATTTTCACGGCCTCCCAACGGCCGAGAGCAACGGCCAGGTTTGCTGGGACCACTTTGAGGTTGACCCAAATGTCGATCAAACCTTGGGAAGTTTGGGAGCCGTTTGGGCCCCCCAAACCTGCCTGCTGGAACCGTGCGGGGGGCACGAAGTCCGGCTTGGCCGCCAGGTACAGCAGGTGCCGTAGCCTCAAAGCCTCCTCCCAGGTGTTGTCCAGCTCCGTCCACTCCTTCGGCTTGGACGGGTTGCAAAGGGGGGGGGGCCTCCATGGGAATGTGTCGAAAGGACTTGGACTCCAAATACGGTGGGGGTCCCGTGGAGTTTGCAACCAACCACAAAACAGATAGCAACTTCAAAAAGACACCCACATGAAGGAGGATGGTCTTCCAAGGAACCCGCAGTCTCGTTCCAGGCAAATTGGCGGAACCCCTTGTGAGCTGGAAGGAAAAGACTCAAACACCAAGTCCTGAGAGGGGTCCAGTTCCGCCTTTGCAGCCAGCCTTGGGATCCGGCCTTGAGGACTCCCTGCATGGTTCAAAAGCCAGGCTTGCGGCTTGGAAAGTCGCTACCATCCACCGTCACCCAACAGCTTTTGGCGCTGGTGGACTTGAGAGTTTCAAACATCGGCTGTTGCTTGCCCAATGGAATTTTGAGGGATTGGGCGGAGTGCTAAAGGCTTTTGAGCCCCGGAACCATTTTGGAGTCAGCACTTCATCCAAGTGGGGTGCGCCAACCCCGTCAGGCAGCACAAAGCACAAGAAGTGGACGGGGTGAGGCGGGGCTTAGCAGTGATGGGGTAGCAAGCGCTTGTCAACTCCTATGAGTAAACCTGTTCCCACTTTTGTCACTGAGGCCTCAACCTTATACCCATGACATATTATATATATATATATATATGTATATATACGCACATTTGTGTACATGTCTGCAGGTACATGCTGGCTAACCCTTTTGTACACACAATCCCTTTGTACTCTGCTTGCGAACCCCCCAAAAAATCCTCCCGCTGTCCCTCCTCCTTCAGCCTCGCGCATTGACGCGCGAGGTCCAGCGCCTCCTCGAATCAGCGGCTGTGCTTCACATGGAATGGACTTAGGGACCCGCCGCCCCCCCCCCCCTCCGGCTTAGGGACCCCCCAAAAAAAAGAGAAAAGAAAAGAAGAAAGGAACGCCCACACATTTGGGTGGTCCCACTTATCCTTGCTTGACACATACCCAATTGAAAAGGAAACATAGTGGCATGGTTTGCGAGTGTACTAGCACTCCTCTTGGCAGGTCAGCAGAGAATGAACTTCTTGATGGTTCCCACTTAGGATCAACCCCTATGGCTTCCTTGCGTTTCCCGTTCAACAGAAACTTAACAAGACAACCGTCAAAACGCACACACACACACACGCACAAACGCACACACACACACACATACATACATACACGCGGAAATCAACGCCCTAGAGACTGGGGCGTTCGTTTCCTCCAGACTCTCTGGGCCGAACTGGCGACGCTGCTCGGTGGCCATGGCGCCATTCGAATGGATCGAAATGGATCCACGCAACCACAACTTGGCGCGGGAGACGTCCCCGGGGTGAGGGGTGCTTGTTGGGCAATCTGGTAGTCTGTGGGCATGACAAACATCGCAAAACAGGGATGGAATATGTGAAAAAGAAGATGTGCTGGTGAAATCTCTATATGAAATCAGAACGATTGCACGTAATCTCCAGGAAGAAAAGCTTCTGTCGAACGAAAGATCATTCTGCCGTACTGCCCAGGTCAATGCAGCGAAGCTTCCAGAACTTTGAAGCAATGAATTGCTCTAGTAAGATGTTGGCGAAAAGGGGTGCCAAAATGCATGGCTCGAGTCATACATGTAAAGCTAAGGGCATGTGTGTGGTCTAAATCTTGCCTGATGCTTTGTTCCCCTAAGCCTGCTGCTGCTGTCGGGGTGGATCAAGTCTCTGGCTTAATGTGAGCTTGATTGTTTATGGAGGAACAAATGCTCTGTGGTATCCGATGAGCTCGAAGTTGAAAAACCTGATGCAAATGCCCCTGCATCACTGAAACAGCTCCAGACACATATGTCTGGCGCTTGCAGCTGTGCAAGCTACACTGCGTGGAAAGCCAAGGTCGCCAAGGCCTTGGGGGGATCAATCCTCAAGGCGGCTGCAAGCTGAAGAAACACGTGGCCAACGTCGAAACAGTGTGGGATCGTCTCGAAATGAGGATACACCAAAAATGGTTGTTTCACTTTGCCCTCCCGCACACATGCACAGCCATGGCACCAAATGTTGCGAACATATATCCTCCGTCGTCACTTGTCGCATCCTCGGCAAGGCATCGTGCTTTGCTGCAAAGGCTCCGTCGTGCACATACTCTCTCAGTTCAATATCCCTGGCAGGGGGCTGCATCAGCGCGCCAGCATCGGCCATTTTCTGAGCCTGCCGTTCAACTCCAAGAAGCAGCAGGATTCGAGGGGTTGCTCCGATGACCCTAGAAGGGGTGGACAATTGGAGCATATGGAAGGGCCTCTGCCAATTCAAGGGACGCCTCAAAGTTTCACGCTCGACTTCTGCTCACTCGGAACAGCCCTCGTGGAGGCATACGACCAGTAAGGGCTACCAGCTAGAACGGGCCTGGCCAACAAGCATAAGTTTTATTGTCAGTTATTGTTTTCCAGAAAACGGAAACATCGGTGCATCCTGGGTGAAATCAAGTTGCAAAAGCCACCGTTGTTGAACCACCTCGGGTTTGTCTTACTCGTCGTATTCGATGTGGACCTTTCTTCGCGCGTTGCACTCCAGTTTCACAGCCCATGCAAACAAAATAGCTGCAATTTGAGATGGGTGTGTCCAACGAATAGAGGGCCCCCCGGCAAAAAGGTGGGCGCTCCTTTGACCCGAATCCAGAGAAGGGGGTCTCCAATTCTTGTGACACACCTAGATCAATGAGCCGGCTGTGAAATCGGAGAACCCTCTGGCAGCTACAGAAGGTTCTTGATCCAATTGCCGTGCTCCTTGTCGGGTGGCCTGGCGACACCAGATCTGTCGGGTCTCAGTCGCTCTCTAAAACCTGCCACGTCCATCCGTCCATCCGTGCATCTGTCCAGCCGTCCATCCGTCCAGCCGTCCAGCCGTCCATCCGTCCATCCGTCCATCCGTCTATCCGTCCATCCGTCCATCCGTCCATCCCTGTGTTCAGGGAAGAGGGGAGGTGCCCCAGTTCGGTTCTCTTGCCGTTCCTCCAAAAGGGGAATTAAGACATGAACTCAATTTCAGGTGTCAGGCCTCTCATTCTCCCCTCATTCTCCGCCATCTACTTCTATGCTTTAGGGAGGGGGGTTCCCAAGCCGAACGCGGGCTTCAGCCCCGGTACCATCATTGGCCCCAATGGAGAAATCCTCAAACGGAGCTCCATGAAGCGCTCTAAGCCCGATTGGGAGGACCCTCAACTGCAGAATGGGAGGGGCACGGAAGTAACCTCTGGCCGTTTGCAGAATCCAACCTCTGGTAGCATCCACGTCCGAAAGGTACTGGGGATGACAGGCGAATAAGATCGGAGTGTTCCTCACACCAAAAAAAACAAAACTACTGGCCAAATTCAGTATCCCTTGCATTGCTGCGTTCCCTTCCTTGCAGGGATTTTTGTCGGTAGGATCACCTGCGATCCCAACCTTTCCAGGATCCCGCAAAGAAGACCATATGGCCTGTTGGATCCCAGTGACAGTCCGCAGGTATCTTCGATTTGAGCTGAATTGTGGCGATTCTTATCTGGCGCGCTGGGTGGCTGAACAGCTTGGTCTGAGCTGTTGAATACTCGCTGGGTGGCTTAACATCGTCAGGATTCCACGGTTTCCTAACCCGGTAGACTGAACCCCCAGGTTCCTACGTTTAACTCTGTAATCAAAAAGCAGACTCCGACCGTGATCGCCTGGCTGCGGCCGTCCGCCTGCTGCTCATCAGCCCCTGCCTGTGGAGGGCAACGTGTTAAACGGAAACCACAAAGCAAAGAACAGCCGGGCCCCCGATTTTGGCACAGACAAACACCAGTGTAATAGAGGGGAGAAGTAAATAGAATGACATGGTGAGGTATGTTCCAATTCCAACTCTAGTTGTTTGTCTCCTGCCCCCATTTTGGGTGAAGTGAAATGATTCCGCAACCGGAAAGAAGGGGCTGGAACCTTCATCACGGGTCAGGTCGCATACCCACTTTTGCGAGGTCGCTATCATTTAGACCAACAAGTACTTCACCATGCTCAATGTCGCCCATAAGAGGAAAGGTCAGAGGAAAAACTGGCGTCTGCCTATGCCACAGTCAACGCAACGCCTTCCAGAAAGGAGTCCAACTCCTGCTGGCACCACTTGGAGCGTGTTTCATCCATCCCAACAAGTGCAAAGTGGGTTTTGTCCATGCACGAGAGTTCGGCTGGTTGGACTCAGCAGCCCAAGGCAGAAAGCCATGGGAATTTTGAGGGTGCCCTCCCCCTGATAATTTGTACATGATTGTCCTTTACAAACCTCGGTTGCGAAATCTGCTCCCCTGCAAAAAGTGACTAACTTGTAGTGGTTGAATACGGAAAACCTCGTTGGCAAGTCGAAGTCCTAACATCCCTTGGCAAAATGCGCCAAAGAAAAACGGCACCGTTGGATGAGAGCCAGCGGGTCGCTGAACTGGGCCCTTCGTTCTGGGCATGGATAAAAATTCAGGATTCCTTAGATGCTTCGTTTAAACGCCTCACCAACAAAAGCTCTCTCAAGATTGGTCCAACAAGTGTTTAAAAGCTAATAGGGAACCCTGTAGATCTTCACCCTCATCGAAATTGGCGCAACAAATGATGCGTCAACCACCAACAGAGAGGAACTATAGAGACTCCTTTTCTTCCAACAGCTTTGGCATAAGATCGCTACGGGCATGGGGACCCTCAACATGTTTTCGGGCCGGGTGCAGATTTATTCTTTGGAAAATATGGCTACGTTGCAAAATTAAGAACTACAGGGTTTGGATTGCTCCCTAACAGCAAGGCCAAGTCACTCTACCATAAAGGTTTGATGTTTTGGGAGCAACAGGCATTGCAAAGCGGACTGATGTAGAGAAAGGGCCGTAAGAAATAGGCATGCCTTTTTTAGGCAAGCTGAACTGTTGCGCACTCTGCTTTTGAAGCGGCGGGGGCCGAGCTGGGTCTGTCTCAAAACAGGGGACCCTGAAAAAATGGGCGGTATTCCCTTGGCTTCAGCGTGGGAGTGGCTGAAATGTGACTTGGTCACAACACAGTTGAACCCAAGCTTGGTAGGGACGGGTCACCACCCTCAAGAAAAAAGAATTGTGTCAAATACAGGGATAAACATGTGGGTTTCACGTTGGTTCAGCCAGGATGAGAAGGACACCCTCAAAAAAACACTTAGAGATATGGATCTCAGCCAAACACTGACAGGGTAAAGAAGCCATTACCAAGGTTCGCATAAGAAGTTTCGAGCACAGCACATGTGGCGGGTTCTGAGGAAGGCGAGCAAAAGAGGTAACCCCCCGAAAGAGGAAAAATAGTTGTCTCAATCTAAGGGTTTGAAGTGACAGGTTAGTTCTGGGTGATCGAAACAAATCAAGAGGCACTCTGCCGTGACAAAATAGGTTTTGCGGTTGTAGGCCCCTGCAGAGCCCCCTTTCACAACCAAATGCTCTCTTCACTGCTTCTGGACGCTCTGATTCAGCCGCTTCTGCGAGAATGTGCTTGGAAAACAGGCAGAGAAGGGTTCGACAAATCAAGTCAAAGCTTATGTAGACAACCATGTAACCGCATCATGCTTTGACTTTGGAGACAGAGCTTCCACAACTGCATGAAGGCTTATCACGCGGACTGTGCTGCCTGATCTTTTCTTTGCTTTCAGCTTTGTTGAACCTCGGCGCAGGCGCCAGATTCGCCCTGAAAGTTGAGTCAAAACGGTCTACCCAAAATCGTGTGAACAACCAAACAGGCGGCCGCACCTTCTTGTGGCTGGGACCGGCTGCCTAACCGACATTTACCCTGGCTCAATTGACCGCAATGCGCTTCTCCAAACATAGGGCGCCAAAACATGTATGGACCCTGGCTTGAACAACCGCCCATCATGGCGTTTGGTGTGCACGTTCTTGACCTTTGCTCATTTGGGCTTGTCAATGGCTGCATTCCCTGTGCTTTGCCTTTGAAACCAGCCATTTGTTGCTTTTTTGGGCTTCCCAAAAGAAAGACATGTGGGGATTCTCACAATAGGGGACCTGTGCTTGGACGTGTTTATATAAAAACTTGTGGTTCGGGCACGGACCTGTGCCCAGGCAATTGGGAAAGTTGGGGTAAGCAAGCCACAAAAGAAAGGCCCCAAAACAGTAACCAATCCCCGGTCCCAAAGATAAGGTTTCCCACACACAAGTGTCACAAGTGACCAAACAACCACAACAAGAAAGGAAATACCAAAAGAGACACCCGCGACCTGAGTCGACGATGACCGCACGGGCACCCCCCACCAACCTGCCCCGGGCCGGAGTCTCTTTCTCCTCCGACACGTAGTGATCGACGTGGGGGCCCGGCGACTCATCCGAGATCGCGACGGGTCCGAACTTGAGCTCTCAATGAACACTGCAAGAAGCACAACGTCATCAAGCTTGAGCTCATCAGCCAGATAACTCCGGAGCCTAGGCTCATCATCCAAGTGTCCCGTTTGCCGACACTTCAAGCCTGTCAACTCTGCAATCTTAAACCTAGTTGGCACTTCAAGATCTGCCGTCCCCGAGTGCCCCTCGGAGTCGGTGCATTTTGTCCCTAATAACCTTCAACTTCGTCTTGATACACTCCCTGATGGCCGTCGTAAAGCGAGCGTCCAACACAGGGTACTTGCAGGGACCACCGAGCTGATCATTGCTGAGCTTCTGAGTTTCGGAGATCCACGCCAACGCGTAATCGGAATCGAAACTGAACGCATTCCTATAACCCTTTCTGTAATTTCCGAGAGCCATTCACGCAGCTTATCAGCTGTCGGCTCGGACGGCAACGTGATCGTCACGCACTTGTCATGGGGCTTGTCGTTACTCGCAACGTTCGATAGAAGAACCCCTAACAGGGTGCGCGTTGCCGATCTGCATTGCTCGCACAACCTCGCCGGACCGTATGGACATGACCCAGGACAGGCACCAGAACTGCTGCCACCGCCAACGCTGGAAGGGTAACCTGCATAGCCTTGAGTTTGGCCAACGCCATTCCCTCCGCTACCTTGGTCAACCCAGCCCCTGTGTCCGGGTCCATGGAAACTAGCCGCCCCGCACTGTGTACCACTATTGTGCTGAGAAGTAAGGGGCGCTGCCAGGCCAAGGTGCACCACCAGATTCCAGGACAAGGCCCAGCAGGCCCATTGTTGCCACTCGGCCCCCTTTCCTAGAGTACGCTTGTGCAAAGAGTTGGCACACCTCTCCAGGCTCAAATCCCGAGAACGCACGCGAGCCTCTTTCCCACAGTCAGTGCAATTATACATCGCCAATTCCTGGGCACTCTTGCGACTCGCAGACAACACATGTATGCCGAGCGGGAGGATGCCTCCTGCCATTGGGCTTGTCCTTGAAACACCCCTGGAGCCGCCGGTCAGCGCCAGCAACTCCAACTGCGTCAGCGTCGGAAGATCGTCCGGAAAGGCAACCTACTTCCTGGAATCTTGGTCGGAGCGATGCGCTATTGCGGGGAGACCTAACGGGAGATCTGGAACTTGCTGCAAAATACCTGTTCGACTCAACCCCCCTATCGGGAGACGGCGTCACCGGTTGGCACGTCCAGGCGGAGAGACCTGTCTGTTGTTGACGTTCTCCATGCAAGATACGGCGGCCTGCTCTCATCTCCTACGGGAGATGTTCTCCTCCTCATCAACGACATCCATCCGTCTCGCATCAGACTCACTAATCTGGCTGATCCTATCGGCAACCTGAAGTCTGCAAGATATCCATGAAACTCATGAACTGACCCAGAAAATCCTCCTCGATGACCTCAGCTCGGTATTGGCCGGGCTCAAGAGCCCTTGCTGGATGAGGTTCCTCAAAGTCTCCAGTTCATCGCAAAGTTGATGAAATCGTCCTCGTCCTGACCTGAAGCCACGGAACAATCAATCATCACTGTCGTCCACAAACCTGCTTCGCCCGCAAGGTGTGTCCCTATCGGGAGCATCACCCATGCGACCACCACCTGCCGAACTCTCCTCACAATCCTCGTAGACGAAGTCCGGCATCCCTTCACCTAACCGGGGGCCACCTAGGATGGCCCTGCTCATCCATGACGCTCCTCGCGCTTCGTGGGGTTGGCGTCATAGTGCTTGTAGTCGTAGGTCACAAGCACGCAGGAAAGTCCTACGGCTGATCACCTGTGGCTCGGGCACGGACCTGTGCCCAGGCAATTGGGAAAGTTGGGGTAAACAAGCCACAAAAGAAAGGCCCCAAAACAGTAACCAATCCCCGGTGCCAAAGATCAGGGTTTCCCACACACAAGTGACCAAACAACCACAACAAGAAAGGAAATACCAAAAGAGACACCCGCGACCTGAGTCGACGATGAACCGCACGGGCAACCTGCCCCGGGCCAGAGTCTCTTTCTCCTCCGACACGTAGGTGATCGACGTGGGGGCCCGGCGACGCTCATCCGAGATCGCGACGGGTCCGAACTTGAGCCAAACACCACGGGATAGTCACTAACGCGACATACCCGATGATTTTCCAACACATGCTAATCACAAAACTAAAAGACAACTACGTATTTGGAGGGGCCCCAATTTTGAGAAAAACACATATTTCCAGTTTGGTTTGTTTTGCCCCGCTCTCCCCATCTGCTGCCGCAGACGGGTCCACACTGCAAGGGAGTCATGAAATTTCCTAACAACAGGGGGTTAACCCTGACCACATGTTTGTTGCCGAATGCGCAGCAACGGGTGCCCGTTTGTTCAGGGTGTCTTTGGAAGCTGTCTTGGCGAGATGTCTTTGGGGTGTTTTGGGAATGTCTTGGCGCGGATGTCTTCGGGGGATTCTGTGGGGATGTCTGTTTTCAGTTGTCTTGGGCGATGTCTTGGGGGATGACTTTCGGGGTGGATCGTCTTCGGAGGTTGTTTGCAGTTGTCTTGGGCGATGTCTTTGGGAACGACGTCGGGAAGTCCTGGCGAAGATGCCTTTAGGGAATGTCATTGGATGTCTAGGCCCTCCACTAGAGAGGTTAGAATAAGGGTACCCATTTTTCTGTAGTCTGTTCTAGTAGGGGAACCCTCCCCAAAAAAAGGATAAAAGGGCACTGCTGGGGCACCTAGATGTCTTTGCTTCTGTTCCTTGGCGTGGAATGTCGGCTGTCTCTGAGTGTTGTTGGGCCGTGTCCTCGGAGGTTGTCTGTGGGTCTCTGGGAGGATGTCTTGATGAGGGGTTGATTTGTTGAAGATGTTGCTGGGATTTGCTTCGGGGGACTGTCTTGGGAAAACTACGCTTTGATGTGCCTTAGGTCGCACAATACAGTTTGCGAAGCAACGCAGCTAGAGATCCCGTAAAGTCGTAAAGTGCACGAATGCAAGGAGCAATTGCAGCAAGCGTGCAAGCAGAACGCGAAAGTCAGTTAGCAGCTTGCAACGGCTGTCGCGAAGAAAGTGTTGCAGCACAAAAAGGTTGCGCGCCAGAAGAGAACAGAGAAATGTGAAATGTGCAACCGCAAGTGTTGCTGCGATCTGTTCGTTACATGGCGCGTGGCGACTTGGTGTAGCACCTGTAGCGCCTGCAGCATTTCTTTGGCTCGCGTATTCACATGCTGCCCAGAAATGTTACCCCAACCGTCGCGAAAGACACTATATAATGTGTATAGATATTTATATATATATGTGTGTGTGTATATGCTGTGTATATATATATACTATGTATATATGGTCCCGTGTTCCGTGTTGCTACCCCCCCCCCCCCCCTAATAATATGGTATGGGTCCCCCAGGACCCCCCCCCCCAGCCCGAGCCCCGAGCCCCCGGATCCTGGCACCTACGGTCCCACCCCCACCCCGACCCCCTGAACTCGCAGGACAAGCCCCACTCCCAGGACAAGCCAACCCGCAACAACCATAAACCAACCCTAAACTAACCCTAAACCAACCCTAAAAACACCCTAAACAAAACCCTAAACCGTAGACCTCTAAACCTAAACCAACCCTAAATCAACACAAACCAACCCTAAACTAACCCTAAACCAACCCTAAAAACACCCTAAACAAAACCCTAAACCGTAGACCTCTAAACCTAAACCAACCCTAAATCAACACAAACCAACCCTAAACTAACCCTAAACCAACCCTAAAAACACCCTAAACAAAACCCTAAACCGTAGACCTCTAAACCTAAACCAACCCTAAATCAACACAAACCAACCCTAAACTAACCCTAAACCAACCCTAAAAACACCCTAAACAAAACCCTAAACCGTAGACCTCTAAACCTAAACCAACCCTAAATCAACACAAACCAACCCTAAACTAACCCTAAACCAACCCTAAACTAACCCCAAATACACCCTAAACCAATCTCTAACAATAAACCCTAAACCTAAACCAACCCTAAACCAACCCTAAACTAAACCCTAAACCAAACTCTAAACCGTACACCTCTAAACCTAAACCAACCCTAAATCAACATAAACCAACCCTAAACCAACCCTAAACCAACCCTAAACTAACCCTAAATACACCCTAAATATACCCTAAACCAATTCTAAACCAACCCTAAACCACCACAACCCAACCACAGGACCACAACCACAGGAAAGGGGGGTACTTGTCTGACCCATGACCATTGGAGCAAGGGGGGGGGCTGGCAACGCTGTACCATATATATATATATATACACATATATACACGACGATACAGCCTTTGGCAAGTAATCTGCCCGAGTGAGCCCTCGAAGACCGTTCATCCTGCTTCACAGTAGTCCGGTTGGTATATCAAATATGAAGGGAGCACTGCGATCTAAAATCTGCAGAGGTGCCCCAGCAGCATCAGCAAAGGCTCATGCCCGAAACCTGACTGAAACCCAGCCCTCTAGAATTGGCGGACTAACCCCATAGCTGCCGAGGAAAAGCTCGCCTTGGCCACTCGAGGTTGTTCAAAAAGAAATGGTCCCTGCTTTGGAAATTGGCACAACCTTCACATAGCGATCCATTTTGAGGCGAGATGCCGAGCTTCCTGCTGCGGGGGAGGGGTGCTGGGAGGCCTGCCAATGCAGGGGGAGCGTTTTGCCGGAGACGGTGAATTCCCTGAATGCGTATCTCGTGCTGAGGCTACCCTTTGTTGGGCGTTTCAAACAACGGGGGACACATCATTTCCCCCCGTTTCGAGACAACCCCAAATCTAAAGCTAGCACACCAACCAAAACACCAAGTGTCTTCCGGGGTTTTTAAGCGGTGTATGCATTTGGGAACAAGGCGTACGTCTGCACCTCGACATAATGCCGCACTCTCTTGCAGATTGGCCTGGACCCCCAAAAACACGTTGCTTTTGGGAGATGTGTTGCCTGGGTGTTATGCCGATTTGCAGGGGAAACGGGCCCTTCTCTAACCCAAAAGAAGAAAGAGACAAAACCTGTTGGGGAGGTTGATGCACACACTGATGGTTGCAACCGCTTTCTTGTCTTGGAAAAGCTAGTGTCTTTTCATGGGCGGTAGAGGTGCAACCCGCGCTTGAAAGGACGGGGACGGGGCATTGTAGGACTGTGATGCATCTGTGGACCAAAAGGTGTACACATTCCTTGGCTCAAGGATCCTGAACTGTATCTGAGCCTCGGCCGTTTTCAGGGACGGACCGACACCGCTTTCAGACTAAGATGGAATCCAAAACCATCACTGGTAGAGGAAACTGCTTCGGCGCTGGCCATTTTGGGGACTCTTCTTGGGGGTGCAAGTAACTTGGAAAGTAACTCTGCACCGAGCCTCGGAGTCGTGGACACCGACTCTTGCCTCTCGCGAAACGTGGCAACTCGCAGCTTCGCGACCGAGGCTGCTGCGAGCCCAAAACTCTCGGGCGCAATCTGTGGATATTGCGATTTTGTTCCCCCAAAAGACAATAGGGGCGGCGTCGTCGGTCTCATGCGAGTCTGGCCCATGGTCATGGATTTTTGGTAGGGAACCCTTACAAGGCTTGTAGAAAATTCCTAGTAGCGATTGATGACCATGCCTACCAACCCCAAGCAAAGGGTGTTTTGACCCTTGCACATGAGGTGATGGATCCTGATGACCGTTTCCGATGCCCCGTTTCCCAGATCGCCCACAAATCTTGGATTGTTGCGTCAGCACGGCTGCATTTCGAAGTCCAAGGATCATGACCCGTGTTCTTGACAACAACGCGAAGGCACATGCGCACGGCTAGCTGGGGACCCTTTGGTGGACTTCATTCTTTCTGGGGACCATCCAAAACATCCAAAACTGAGTGACAAGACAAGAAACAACACCAAGTGTACAATGTCCCACGACACTGCCCGCATTGCCTCGCGGGGGCGCCTCTGCCCTTGGGAGTGGGCCTGGCGGTCCGGGCAAATGGGATTTTCCCTTTGGCTTCCCTTAAGAACAGCGCACCCGTGCAGAATCTGCAGATATGAGCCACGCATACTCATCCCCAATGCTTGCGAACAACCTTGTATATCAGCCCCTTCGAAGATTTGCACGTTCGTTTTCTTGGGCTTCGGAGGAGGAGGTTCGGGGCCAAGCCGTTTACTGACCAGAGGAGGAACACGTTTAGGAATCTTTCGGGGCACAAGCCCCTTCTTGGAATGCACTCCACCTGTAGCAGGTAGCCGTTCTTTGCCGCGTGCTCATTCTGGGATTCCTTTGAACAGTTTGTTTAAGCTGCAGGATGCAAAGACTTGGAACCCGGTTGGGGGTGGCCATTCTCGGGGAAGCCAAACCTGAGCTGGACCCGGCCGCAGCCCCCGGCCCCCGGGCCCCCGGCCTCATGCCAGCTGCCGGCCTGCGCGTTTGTCCCCTCAAAAAGACACGAAGGCCTTTCCGATTTCCCCCCAACCGCAAAAGGTTTGATTCTGGCCTATAGTGAGCCATACCACGTAAACTCATGTCAAAAGAGATCCCAGACGCGTGGGTTCACGTGTAGCGGGTGATGGCTGCGCCAGTTGCCCGGAGGCTTTACAGCGACAAAATGCAACAACGCCGGGTGTTTGCTGACTTCACTTGAAGCAAGTCGCTCCAAGATGAAAGCTCCTTGGATTCGCTTAAGCACAATCGCTCGTCAATGCTGCCAACATAGCATGGGGCGAAGCAACATCCAACCTGTGGTCCTACACCCGTTTGAAATAAACAGCACTCGAGGACTGCCATTCTCGGTCAATGGATCAAGTGCCACAAGCCCATGGCAGCTTGACGCAAGGTGGTGAATTCAGGCAAAAAAAAAACAAACAAACGCACTAGACGTTTGTGTCTAGATACAATGATGGGCCGGCTGTCAGGCCGACGAGTCAGCACCATGCCCTAGGCGCTGAAAATATAAAGCGGGTGGTTTCTTTCTCTCACCAGGACATCCCACACCCAACATCCATGCCATCAATCACCCCTCATTGGCCTTGCTGCCGGGCTGGCGGGCCTTCCAAAGCACACAGGGACACCCACAAGAAATCGGAACCAAACCGCACGGGTCAGTTGCGTGGAGACCGGTGTAAGTGACCCTAGCCATTTTGATTTGCAATACAGCCGCCCCTTCCCGTAAATGGTAGATACGCAAGGGATACATCAACATGCTTGAGGCATCCGCCAAAGTCACCAGCAAGAGGCAAACAAGCTTGGATCATTTGCAGCATGGGCGCCGGTTTTGCCGCCCCCATCCCCCAGTAAAGCTTTGAGTTCAAGTTGTGAACGAAGTCTTCCCCGTCGTTGCTCTCCCAACACGAGCCCTTATGAGACTAGAAAACTCGCACCCATGCCCGAACATATTGTACCCCCGCCCGGCCCAGTTGGGCCGATTGCCACAGCCCATATTGCTGGTCACTTTGGTGTCTCGAAATGCGGAGAGCCAACCCCAAATAGCAAACTCATGCAGCACGACCAAGCGGCGGCTTTTTAGGCATTTTTACGGCAAAAGAGCCCCGGCGAATTTACCACGGCTGGCGGATAAGGCCGCAGCACACATGAATCCGGCCCCTTCCCAGTCGGCCTCCTAGAAGCATCAGCACTAGCAGGCCTGGACCAACCCCCGAATCCGCACTTCAGGTTCTGCACCACGTGGGATGTCCCCCCCCCCCTTTAGCCGTGTAATCCGGGGTTTCCATCATTCAATCGGTCCGTGGTCCATTTATCAAGCAAGAAGCCAAACGAGGGACTTTCGAATTGTCGTATGTCCCCGTGGCTCATTCCGTCATGTTCACACATAAGGACGGCTGCCAAACAACACACTCACCCCTTGAACACAGAAAAGCTTCCCTTGTCATCGACTGGATCCAAAAGCCCGTCTTTGGAACATCCTCCGCGTGTCAAAGCGAAGGTCTCGAGGCCAACAGCCCCAAGACATCCCTCTTCCAAAGAAAGGGGACCGGTGCAATGGGAGACGAGCCCATGTTGCGGGACGAGGTTCCCCGCATTCCGGCACTGGAAAACGGCATTTGTGTGTGCCCAACCATTTCTCTGGGAACCCCCGTTGAGACCATTAATGGAGTGGTCAAGACTCGTCAGGCAAACCAATGGTTTGCTGGATAGGATGTGTTTTTGCTGGCTGTCCAAACCCCAATGCCCATTTTTTGGCAGGGAGCCGACAAAAAGAGCGGACTTGGAGGGTGAATTGAACTCCCTCCCTTCGTGCGCCTCGCTGCCGGGCTGGCAGGCCTTCCAACGGCGGTGCGATGGATCCCTTGCCGGAAACAAGTTTCGATCGCGGCATTTCTGTGCCTTCGGACCAGCGCCAAATGTGCGCAAATGATGCTGGGGGTGCTGGGGATGCTACCACAAGCGTCATTTTTTGAGCCCTGGCTTGGCAGTTGAGCTCAGCAGAAGAGCCGCCTCGAACACCCCAAACCAGCCGGAAGCAGCTCAACAAAGCAATGCTGCTCATGCCACCTTGATCAGCCAAAGGATGCTGGCGATGCCAGGGGTGCAGAAGAAGCGCCTCATCCTGAAAAGGGGTCCGTTGGCTTCCAGTCCCAGAACCGCCTGTCGGTTGAAGGACACCAGTGGTTCCAAGGACGCTTCAGACTAAGCTTTTCATTTTCCGTTCAGTCTCCATTCAGCTATTCAGCTTCGAAGGGGGAGCACTTTAAAATCGGGGAGGACAACAGAGTTGGACAAGATTGCGGCGCAGCCAACCCCTGGTCCCTTAAAGGGAAACCACAACTGCTTTTCTCAGAACAGTGGTTGCTTACCATGTGTACAAGGGCTTGCATCGCCCAAGTTTGGGGGGAACACCAACGAAACTCCCATCTCTCCACACCCACTGCTCTGCCTCCTGGGTGGCCCTGGAGACCCACTGCCAGCCCTGCGAGTAATAAAAGCTCCAAAAAAAATGGGGATGGACGAATTCCTTGTTTGAAAACCATCCAGCGGATACCCTTCCAAAGAAGCCACCAAATGGACCCCCCAAAGCTCGGCTTCGCTTCGGTGTCCCGTTAAAGCAACCCTCAATGGATGTACTGTACTTGTCCAAATCGGGAATCGAACCCCTCCGAATGGTCACTCTTGTTGGGTTCCCTTCAAACGTAGACCGCCCTTTCGGGAGGAGCCGAAACCGGGAAGGCCATTCTGGTTCTCTCGCCCTCTGAGGAAGGTTCGGCCAGGGAGAAGTAGTTGGGGCCAGAGACAAAGCACCTAAAAGAAGACCTGCTTGTCGTTAGCTTTGGGGGGGAAAAAACACATGTCTCCACGAGGATGGATGAGGTAAATATGGAGCCTCTCAACACGACATACAGCCACTGACCTCTCTACAAAAACGCCATAAATCATGCTTGACATTTCACCTTGTTTCGCAAGTGTGCCAAAATGCGCATGAAGATTCCAAACTTGCAAACTCCATGTCGCTGCCTGGCGCTCGCACTCCCTGCTTTGGCTGCAGGCCTGGCTGCCATGCACTCGCACCAAGCTCTTGGCATATGGGTGGATCAGGGAGCCAAGCGGCTTTGATACGTATGGGCGTGTCAGCGTATATCACTATCTGGTTACATGAAATTGAAGAACCCCTTTCATCATTCACTTGGGATCTATGATATAAAGGGTCTGTGGTGCACCGTTGTCAAGACTTCTTTAGAGCAAAACGGCATGGTTCCTGTGATATCATCCTTTCAAAGATGACTACATTCCCAGCAAACTGCTGATGACATTGTCACCGATCCCGAGCAATAAGCGGTTGTGACTTTGTCACATATCTCGTTGACAGACGATTTGGGCATTATGTCACGCATTGCAAGGCACCAAATTGCCTTGAAGCAGCGCCGCTACTTGGAGTGCCGGACCTTGCATGCGATATGCCATAAAGGTCAGAGAATCTGGCTCCGGCACAGCCACAAAACTGCAAGAAGCTGGCTGACGGCCATCGAGCCTTGCAGCATTGCCGCCGCCAGCTGGAGTTGCCGACCTGAACAACACAAAACAGTCAAAAGTCTGCTGTGCCAAGCATGCCCCGGACTGAACGCGCGCCTGACGTATGAACTGGTTGTCCTGCAATGCAATGCAGGCAGCGTGTCAAGGGGCCTTTCTACGTCAGACCTGCTCTCTGACCGATCATGACATCCAAAACACTCAGCTCTCCTACTTTGAGGCGCCGGGGAGCCACTAGAGGCCCTGCCAAGCAAATGCAGTGCATGGATGTCAGCTTGGCACGCTCAAGTCAACCAGCTCAACTCAGCACACTTCATACCTGTGACATGCTGCACCTAAGCGTATGTTCATCCAGTTGTCAATATCCCAATTTCGGTGCACGCAGGCACGGTCTCACTCTGCCAAATTCAGGAAAAAGCCTCGCGCTTGCACTCCCGGCTTTTGCCACGGGCCTGGCTCTCATGCACTGGCACCAAAATAGTGAAACCTGTATGCGTGGAGGTCAGTGGGGGGTCACCGTTGTCAAGACTCCTTGTGGCGAACGGCATGGTTCCATTGATAGCGCCCTTTCAATGATGTCTAAGATTCCCAACAAGTCACGCATTGCAAGGCGCTGGCACCAAGTTGCCTTGAAGCCGTGACGCTGCTTGGAGTTCCAGACCTTGCATGCGATATGCCATACAGGTCAGAGAATCTGGCTCCGGCACAGCCACAAAACTGCAAGAAGCTGGCTGACGGCCATCGAGCCTTGTAGCACTGCCGCCGCCAGCTGGAGTTGCCGACCTGAACAACACAAAACAGTCAAAAGTCTGCTGTGCCAAGCATGCCCCGGACTGAACGCGCGCCTGACGTATGAACTGGTTGTCCTGCAATGCAATGCAGGCAGCGTGTCAAGGGGCCTTTCTACGTCAGACCTGCTCTCTGACCGATCATGACATCCAACACTCAGCTCTCCTACTTTGAGGCGCGGGAGAGCCACTAGAGGCCCTGCCAAGCAAATGCAGTGCATGGATGTCAGCTTGGCACGCTCAAGTCAACCAGCTCAACTCAGCACACTTCATACCTGTGACATACTGCGCCTAAGCGTATTTTCATCCACTTGTCAATATCCCAATTTCGGTGCACGCAGGCACGGTCTCACTCTGCCAATTTCACAAGAAGCCTCGCGCTTGCACTCCCGGCTTTTGCCACAGGCCTGGCTCTCATGCACTGGCACCAAAATAGTGGAACTTGTATGCGTGGAGGTCAGTGGGGGGTCACCGTTGTCAAGACTCCTTGTGCGCGAACGGCATGGTTCCATTGATAGCGCCCTTTCAATGATGCGCAAGTTCCCCAACAAACTACCGACGACAATCCCCATCGACCCGAAAAGAGATCGTGGTTTGACAATGTCACATATCTCCACCAACATTTGCAAAATGATAGGAGCTATTTCGTTCTATCAAGTCATTCACTTCCTTCCATGTGCCAGCACCAAGTTGCCTTGAAGCAGCGCCGACGGGAGTGCCAGACCTGGCTGGATTTGCCATTGCAGACTCACAAAACTGTCAACCCGCTGGCTGACGGCTGACGAGCCTTGCTGCACTGCCACCAGCTGATGTTGCCGTCCTGAACAAGCGCCGGTGAAAAAATCGCTCGGTATCTGAACTGGGAAGCGTATTTGAGCACGTGGCATGAGGATATCGGCAGTAGGCATCACGGCTGGGGCATGCCCCCAAAAAAAATGTTTAGCTCCTCGCGGAACCCTGGTGGAACCCTGGTGGAAGCTTGGTGGAACCCTGGTGGAACCTTGGTGGAACCCTCGTGGAACCTTACCTCAGGGCCGCCCCGGACCACCCCGGAGCCTATCTGGGCTGAGACCCCAAAGCTTTCAGCTGTTGGGGGAAAAAACATAATATGGAAGAGGGGTGGGTGGGAGTTGAATAGCTTGCAAACTCCCGATGTAGTGAATATGGGAGGGGTACCTGAAACAAGCTTATAGAGCTAGCATCATTCGTGGATTGCGGCTTCTTGCTGCCCTTCTTTGCTTTTCTCTTGTTTGTGTGAGGGAGCGGGGGGGGGGGGGAAATTGCAAAGAGGGTAAGGGGGATATTGCTGGGGATGGGGATATACCGGGGAGGGGGGAGCGGATTTTTCTTTAATCGTGGGGGGAGGGGGTGGGTGGTACAGTACATTTTAGGGGAGCCGGAAACAGAGTACTCATATTACGGGATTCATATTACGAGATACCCTGTATTTTTAATGGCGCAACCCCTGAATGAAATGAGAATCATCCACCCACAAGTGGATTTCTGCTCGCTTCCCGCTACATATGAATATTCCCTCTCTGCCAAACAGATTCTGGTATTTGCAAGAAACAACCCATCTCTCTCAGTCCCGACTGTGCTGAGGAAGCGTGACAAACAGCTGAGCCCCTTAAAGTGGTTTCCCCTGGAGGTTTGTTCTCTCTCTCTGGCTTTTTGTTTCCAGGGGGGGGGGGGGGTCAAACTGAAGGCAGTTTGGAGGATGTCGCTTTCATGGACCTAGAATAACACAACACAGCAACAGTCCTCGCAAGCTCGAGCTGGACGGGTCAGAGTTTGGCTTCCCCAGTAATGATTGGCTAAGTGACCCACCCACAGGGATGTTGCACTTTAAGCACTTTTATGGGGCCAGGAAAAGGTGGAAAAGGCAAGCGTCGACGGGCTCGTCTTTTGATATTTGTTTGAGGGAGAAGAGCGCTAAATTCCAAAATGAAACCCCATGTCTTTAGGCGGCTACAATACCATCCTCAGCCCATAGGCTTTCTGCACAGAGCAACTCCCCGTGCCTGCCGACGTAGGAGCTGGTGGTCCTGCATCGACGGCATGAAGTAACTCCAGATTCGCTATAGGAACTACCCGCCGCCACCAAAGGCTCAGTCACGGTGAGCGTCGCTCAGGTATCTTCGTTCAAAATGGCGTTTTGGCTCCCAAAGACTTCCTCTCACTCTCTCACAAGGTTGAGTCCCTTCAGGTTGCAAGCAAACCAACCAAAAACTATGGCAAGCAGGGTTCCCTCATTTCCCCTCAAACACCACCCCACCAAAAGCAAACTCACTTTGCACAGGCCCAAAGGTGACCCGTCGCTTGGATGGAGACCATGCGATCGTCTGCAACCAAAGAAGGCAAATCCCCTATGATGACAGGGCAACTTGTTTTTGGCGAAGTGCTTGAGCTATCTGAATGTGATGAGGGAACCAAGGCCGCTCTTCACTTTGCCTGAGCATAATGAAGCTGTGAAGCTTGTGCAGCCCACTACGCATACAATCATAATTGATTAGCTTTGAGAAAAGTCTACGTGCCTTGGAAAATCTTGGGGGTCGACTTGTTTCCTTGCAGAAATTGCAGCAGACCGCAAAGCCTCCGGCAATCGGTTTCTTTCAAGCTAGACCCAGTGCACATTTGAAAGCTGAGGAACAGTTCAATCCATCACACCCGTCATTCGTCTTCCTGGCTGTTGGGATCCCAACGCAAGTTGGAGGCCCAATTATATAGTCTCAGCATGCAAGTAACTCCCTTGCATGCTTCCTTACGACACCGTTCATCAAACTCGGGAAGTCTGCGCGCAGGCCAAGTTTCATGAACGCTGCTGCAAAGTTTGTCAACAGGGTTGCTTGGGGAGATGTCATCTGTTCATTTAACTCACTTACTTGGAAGTGCGAAATGTTCCTAGAATAGTATATGCAACTATTATTACTTTCTTCGGATCTCAAGTTTGAAAAATGTAGAGTGTTAGTCTTACCAACAACGTCTTGGTTGAGAACTCCGTGCACGATTTGCGGCGATGTCAGCCGCGTCATTTCCAACGCACGTCCACTTATCTTCAAGGGTATCTAAGTCGGCAACCTTGACCACGGAAAAATGTTCCCGGCCGAATGTCTCAACAGCGAGACACGCGTGGGCTGCCGTGGATGGCTGATACTGCAACGCACTTGAAGACACATGGAATTTGGTTCTCCCGTGTATACTGATCGATAATTCTCTGCTTGGCCGAATTACTTTGAATGCATTCTACAACTATAGCGCGGGCCGTGACGTTTTCAGCATGAAGGTGTCTAACTGTGCAGCTCCCATCCGTGAAGATGTTGTAGTGTTGCCCGCTTCGGTCACGAGCTAGTTGTGGCTTGCATCGATTCAGCTTGCTGATTTCTATTTCGAGGGCATGCGGTGGGAAGAGAGGGCTGATGTCGGCAACACGAAGAGCCTGCAAACATGTCTTAGCCTGGGAAGATGCAACGGTTTTACTGGGAGTAAGACTAGTTTTTACTCCAAAGTAAGACGTTTTTTTGGGGAATATGGGGAACCCTGGAAAACCTGCTTTGCACTGGGGGAATCCCCTGAGAACGTCGAACCCATCTCCTGCGTTGAGGCGCTGGTGAGCCACTGGCCCTGCCAAGCAAATCAATGAGCACGGCTCACAAGCCGTATCCACAAGCTTCGCGCTTCTCAACTTCCGCTGGGCAAGAAAGTCCAAACCCTTTTGTTTACCAAGATTATCCAAACCAAACTGCTTGTTTGTCCAGACACTCTGGGAAGGCCCTGCGGAAACTCGATCTGTCTGCGTCGGACATGCCCTGCGTCCAGCGATGGCGTTGAAGGGCCTTGCGCTGGCGCTGCCACTCCCCGCTTTGGCCACGGGCCTGCAATGCTTGGTCCGATGGCGGCATTTGCGCCAAAAACGGTCGACTTGAGCGGCGGCGTGTGTCTTCTGGGCAGAATCACACCCTTGAGGGCAGTTTATAGGAAAACCAAAGGAAGCCCACCACCTCGTAAGTTCTATTTTGAGACCAAACAATTTCCTTCCCGAATGGACTTACCTACATGTCCCTTGAAACATGGGATGTTTGACTTAGGGCAGCTTGCGAGTTGTAAGGATGGTCCACTTTGGTATCATAGAAACTGTTCTTTCCCACAACCATGTATGAGGCACGGAAAGCCCAGGCGAAACCTTGTTGCTCCCCTGCCGATGGACAAAATCCGCTTACCGGTGCAGGACTTAGTAGTAACCCAAAATGTGGATGTCTTCGGCGTCAGCCCTAGACCTTGGAGCAGCTCTAGCCACCTGCCAATGTGAGATGTCTTGCTTCTATTTCATGGTTGTCAAGGCCAATAGCACCTGGCACCTGATAAGACCTGGGCCGAATGAGGTCACCTTTCGGGGGCTCCGGGCATTGGGTGAAAGTAGATGGCACAATTCTTCAATTTGGGTTTAGTCATCCTTTACTTATCCACCAGTTGTGCCATCTACTTTCACCCTGGTCTGGTGGACCCTTGACAACTAAAGCAGCCTTGGCATCTCCCCAGCTCAACCTGTTGAGTGCGCAGCTGCTTTGGGGTGAGGTGGAGCCAGCACATGATGGGAGTTGGCACCTGATGCAAAAACGACATGCAATGCGTACTTGTTGCTTCGTTCTTCGCGGGCAGAATGCAATACTGGCTCTTCCCAAGCTGAGCACCGCCCAAATCCCGTTTATGATTGGTTCTATCAAAAGACCTATACATGTCTAGCAGCACAAATACAGCTACGTACGTGTATGTATATCTCTGCGTACTTACATATTTATGTATGTATACATATGGTACATATGGTTATGGATGGGCCGGCATTGTATGCCTTATCAATCCTCTGCTCCCCATCCATCCCTCCCTCTTCTCTTCGCCTAGTGGGCGCCGATGCTGGCCTGAAGCAGCTTAAGGAGACCCGCCCACCCCCCACCCATTGAAGCAAACTTCCCCCCAATGGCCAGTTTATCAAAACCAATGGCCGTTTTATCAAGGCGGGCCAGCCCCAATGGCCGTTTCGTTACAGCTCCTTGCGAACAACCAAATGGTCCCCCCTCCTCCCGTGATGGTTTTCCTGTCTTCGGGCCTGCAAGAATATCTCGAGAACCCGCCGACCCGTTTGCGCGAACTTGTCACAGAGGAGACGCTGGAAAGGACACTGTGCCTTTGAGGTGTGGAAGGCTTTGAGAAAGCATGTGTGCTGAGGGAAAAGCTGCCTCCTCGTCTGGGTCATGGTCACTTTGGCATGCTGCTCGTCTACATTGCCCCATGGCCATCCCTGTTGAGCCTAGGCAACAATGTCCCTTGGGCCCATGGCTCGTGTGAACGATTCCCAAGACAAGTTCCTCATTGTTTATATTTGTCTATAGGCCAAAATTGGACCCCATTAGGAACCTTGAAGGAGATGCTTCAGTCACAACATCTGCCCGCTTGGCGCAAGCGCGGCACAACTGGCCACGATGAGCTTTACCTTTTCCTGGTGGGATTTCCCTTTCAGATTGTGGCGAAATCACCCCAGCAAACTCCTTGCAACACCTTGCCCTGACCCAGAAAAGCTGACCACTTTGCGATCCTCCACCTGCGGCAAAACCCTGAATCCGGTTCCTTGTGAGTTATTTCTCAAAATGGTGAATCTCCCCATTTGAGCCTTTGAGGGAAACAAAAGGACACCAACCATTTTACGAGCTCCTACTTTAAGAAGCAGCCATCTTCGCTTTGAGGGTAGCCGCCAAATCACCCTTCCGTGCCTAGGTGGTGTCAGTGGCCTGGCAAACGGTGTATCAAAACGAGTTGGTCCCAGCGCTGCACTGCAGAGAAAAGCACGAATTGCCAACTATTTGAAGGCCGTGGTGCCACCCAAACTATTGGCGAAAAAACGGCAAACTGATTTTCTGAGACGAAGCATCAGGATCGTAGTGACTGTTGTCAACAGGTGCTGTGCCGTGCCTTCGTTGTGAATCTGCCTTGGTAGGCAACCAAGAAAAATCATCAAACACGCACCTCGTCACCATCATCATGAGCATCATCCTGATCCTGATCCTGATCATATCATCATCATCATCATCATCATCATCATCATCATCATCATCATCATCATCATCATCATCAGCAGCAGCAGCAGCAGCAGCAACATCAGCATCATCATCATCAGCAGCATCATCAGCAACAGCACCAAGATTCACCATCAGCATGGTCAGCATCATTAGCATCATCTTCACCATCAGCGGCAGCAACACCATCACCAGCAGCAGCATCAGCAGCAGCAAGATCACCTTCAGCAGCAGCAAGATCACCTTCAGCAGCAGCAAGATCACCTTCAGCAGCAGCAAGATCACCTTCAGCAGCAGCAGCAGCAGCATCATCATCATCGTCATCATCAGCATCAACTTCATCATCAGCAGCAGCAAGATTCACCATCAGCATGGTCAGCATCACAGCAGCAGTCGTCATCATCAGCACCATCAGCATCATCATCATCATCATCATCGTCATCATCAGCATCAACTTCATCATCAACAGCAGCAAGATTCACCATCAGCAGCATGGTCAGCATCACAGCAGCAGCAGCAGCAGCAGCATCATCATCATCATCATCATCGGTAGCATCTCCATCAGCAGCATCGTCATGATGATCAGCATCATCATCATCAGCATCTTCATCATCAGCAGCAGCAACAGCACCACCATCAGCAGCATCACCAGCAGCAGCAAGATCACTATCAGCAGCATCATCATCGTCAGCAACAGCATCACCATCAGCAGTAGCAGCAGCAGCAGCAGCAAACTCGTCATCGGCAGCAGCAACATCATCATCATCATCATCATCATCATCAGCAGCAGCAGCAGCAGCAGCGTCTGCATGCATCATCATCAGCAGCAGCAGCAGCATCATCATCAGCAACAGCAGCAGCGTCACCACCAGCTACAGCATCATCATCCTCATCATCATCCTCATCATCATCCTCATCATCATCATCAGCAGCAGCGGCAAGATCATCATCAGCAGCATCATCATCGTAATCAGGATCTTCGTCATCGGCGTCCTCCTCCTCCTCATCGTCATCGTCATCATCATTATCATCAGCAGCAGCAGCTGCATCACTGTTTGAACATCCGATATAGTGGAAATTGCAAACACCTAGGAGTAAAACAACGGTGCTGCTTGACAGAGTCAATGATTGTCCTCAAGTGACAACAATCCGTGCCTCACAATAAATCAAGATGTCCTGACGCTTCATGGATCGCAAGGGCGTGACCGCAATTCAGTGGAGCCTCGATGACTCAACCCGCTGTTGCAATCAGACCCCTGGTAAGCACCTTTCAGACGAACCTCAACAACCCCATGGTAAACCAAAGCTACTAACTAGTACTACTAACCAGTAGAGCATCCACGAAGGTTCCAACTCAAACGCCCGCGAATCCCCCCACGCGCCTAGGACGAGCTTTGGGTGGAGGCCTCCGTGCCAGTCTTTTGAACGGGGGCCCGGGCCCCAAAACGGGTCATGTTGGAAACCCGGCATGGGAACCATGCAGCAAGCTGTGCCCACGAGTGTGCCAAAGATTGCTTGAGACCCTTCGAAGTTGCGTGTTGCCTTTTGCTGCTCTCAACTGGTCATCCACGTTTGACACGCCCCTAAGCAGGAGTCCTCTGCCCAAGAAACTCCGGAACCCCGATGCTTGTGCAAGCCATCGCGGTAGCCATAAGAAGTAATCCCAAACTGGCTCATGAAAGTGACATATTCATATTTACCTTAAATTATTCATATTTACCCTAAATTACTGTTTGAAGAGAAACATTGTCTACCCAAAAGTGATTTTGAAAACCCCAAACTGCCCCCTGAAAAAAGCCATCCAAATGGCCCTAACATGCGTCATGCGGACAGTTCCCATATCCGGCTGAATTCGCATTCCCCCGCTTCGCCTTGAGGGAGGAGTCGGCGACACGGGCCTCGAGCAAACTGGCCCGAACTGGGGCCAGGGGATCCATCCCAGTAGACAACCAAGGGAATCACCGTGCCCAGAAAACCAAGGGAACTGAAAGAATGATCCATTTACGCAGAAGGGAATCACCCTTCAACTTAAAGACTGGCTCCACCACATGGTCTTCCCAAGCATACATTCCCAAAAGGGCCACGCGAGACCAGGACTCTGCAGACAAAGCAAGGTCCTCCTTCAACCCAATCCGCCGGTAAAGATGTTGGAAAGCAAGAATAGGTCCAGGAGTGCAGGCGATCGGAATTCGTTTGCTACAATCCTGAATGTGGCTGACCTTTGACCAACCAAGGAAAGCGAACCTTTCCTATCAGCAAATTTCCTGTGAAGGGTGCTGAGCCTTGCTAGCTTGAAGACAGAGAGGTGATCAAAACTGCCAAACCTCGCGCTCTTCTCCCAAGGACAATGGCAAGATTGTCTTAGTCCCTTTTTCCCTCTGGTGGTGGCTTGGGCAGAGCGGAAACCAGTGTCGAACGAAATGTGGAAAGAAACAACCAGACCCTGGCTCCCTGCAAAGAGAATGTAACAGGAACCTGCTTGTGCATTAGTTCCAACATGTTTAGATCAGGGCTAACCCGTTGGCCCCAACCTGGTGGAAACGCAACAGCGCAACAGCGGCACGCCCGGTCCTGGCGCTACCATCAGCCGCTCTCGCCTCAAATGCGCCGGCATTCGAGTGCTTTTTGGTGCCTCGGTGCCTCTTGCCAAGGCCTCTGCGCCAAAAAGAAACCTCGGCCCAACCTTGGGGTAACACCAAAAACAGTATGGTCATGAGCAAAATCCAAATTGTACCCCCGGTGAACATCCCAATCCCCAAGAAAATCGACTAAAATGGGTGGCGCGCCTACCCCAGACATGGTACCATTGGTTTTGACCCACAGCCATATGTTGAGATTCTGTTCCATGGCTAACCTGAACACATAAGCTACTCTTCTGCGGAGAGCCCACTACCCTCCTCCAGCAATCACGGAAGCTAACAGGAAGGCTTTGGAAAAACAACTTTCCTTTCGGGCAAGACCTTTGTCCACTTCCATGATTGTTAGAAAGAGTACTCGCCCTCGTCGGAAAGACCCTAGATGAGATTTCCTCCGGGACAAAAAATCAATTGAAGATTGACCAGGCCCAAGTTACTTTCAACTGGTTTATTCTCCTCTTGTGAGTTCATGGCAACTTTGCGCTGTGCCCTGCGGCTCCTGAGGGTTCTCAGTTGATTGCGGGTTCGTTGATGAGTTCTTTGGGATTCTTTGTTCCTGGCAAGCGGGCAGGGCACAAAGCACTGGGCGCAGATTTGTGGAAGCCCTTTGTGGAACCCTTTCAGGTGCTCCCTGCGTGTCTCACAGGTTCCGAACCTAAGTCTCAGCCGAGCTCTCCTTTAAGGGCCGCGCGCGCTTGGCGGGCGGCCTCTCAGTGCCCTCGCTGGGCGCAGAGAAACGCCTCGCGCGTGTCGGGAGGGGGGAAAAACGGGAGGGAACGCAGGACTTTTGGACCCATTCAAAGCCTGAGTGTCATGGTCCAATGGTAATCAACCGCGACTTCTGGCCTGATTATAGGAATCCTGCCCCCAAAGAGTCCAAAAAAGGCCATGGATTCATGCGTGGATTTCTGAGACATGGTCAAAACTACAAAAGATTCCAGAAGAAAACGGGTACTTGTAGTGAGTGCCCCACGCCCCTTCCAAATTGAGTGAAAGTATTGACCAAGCCTCTTGTGGATAGGCTACTACATTGATGACTATTCTAGACAATCCCAGCAGATTGAAGACAAATCCGTCCCACCAAGATGAAAACCATCAGAGCGCCCCCTTTTCGGCCAAAGTGGCATGCTTCTGAGTTGTTCAAAGGTAATCTGTTGGCAAGTCATTGGTGTTACGGTCAACTACCCCCTCCAGCTGTGATAGACGTGGCTTCAACCGGGAGTCGGATCACTTTTCGCTGAGGCCGGGGTCAATATTGTCCTCCCAAAAGCAAAACGGACTCTGCAGGAGTCCAAGACCACCCGGGCTCCTTCATTCAGGTTCTTTGCGTGTTTCTGGGAGCCTCCCGCTTGCTCTTGCCTTCTTGTGGTTTGGTTATGCAGGATTCCGCCCTAGTCGTTTTCAACCACAAGAAGGGAAACGCAAAAGGGAGAATGTCTACCACAAAAAGAGGGGGGGCTTGATTTACTGCAATGAACGATCCTACAAGCATGGCAGCGTATTGTCAAACCCTTTCCGCTGACACGGAGATGGGCAGAGCAGATGGCCATCCCAGCGCAGTTAGACTATTTGGCCACGCCGATCTTTGGGCACCCCGTGCGTAAACACTGCATAGTGATACGTGGCCCCGGTTTTTGGATAGCTTTGAACGAAAACCAAGGAAGGCCCCACCCTTTCCACCAGAATCAAGTCCTGGGTAATCTCCGGGTCACCAGCCCCTGCGAAGGGAGGCCGACTTGGATGAACGCTCCGCTTAGTAAGTGGTTTGTCCGTTGATTCGTGGGCCCCCTATCATCTACCCCTACACGTCATGCACTCAGGGGGCCTGGTCATAAAGTGGCCCACGTCTTGTCGGAGCAAACTTGCTGCAAAAGGAAACTAATGGAAAGCGAAAGGAAAAAAACTTCAAACCCGTGTCCACAGGGAACTGCGTAGCTGTTTTGCATTCGGTTCTACTTCTGACAGTTACGCGACTGGTTAGGCACCAGTACTGGTTTCCAGTTTACCATACAGTACTGGAGGGGCTCACAACATGGTAACCCGTTTAGACACTGCAAAAAAAATGGCGCCCAACGACACCTTTCAAAACGAGTCCCCAAGGCCGGAGCCTGGGGTACGCTTTTGGGCTGGTTTTTGCAGGAAGCCAAAAACAGGAAACCGCCCATTTGGGCGGAGGGGGGAGCGGTGTGGTCCTTGTAGAGACCAATCCATTTTGGGCGACCCCCGCTTGGTTGCGACAACTCGCTGGGCTGCCGGCTTGAGGCCGGTCGCCTTTGCCACCTGTGCCGCCAAGAACATGCAGCCGAGAAAGCCCGAGTTCAGTGCCGATGTGTCTTTTGCTCTGCGCAGGCCTGGCTAAGTATGTGAGAGGTCGTCAAATCTGAATCACAACTTTGGTGAGGATGCCCAGGGTCCGAAGGGACCGGCCATCGCAGTGCAATCCGCCGACCCCATGCCTGGTCCAGAATGGACCATGCTTTCGGCATGGGGGCGGTGTGTTCTGTGTTGCTTTTGTTGATATGCTTTCTATAAGTTTAATGTGAATATGATTATGTAGATATATATATATATATACCTATATGTCCCTTGGGGCGGCCCTTGGGGCTGGTTTCTACGTCGGCTGGATTTCTGGATTTCTGGATTTCTGGATCTCTGGATTTCTGGATTTCAGGAATTCTGGATTTCCCCACCCCTCCCCCCCCCTCCCCCACCTCCCCCCCCCCAGTCCCCCCCCCCAGTCCCCAGTCTTTCCAATCTTCCCCCACTTCCAATCTTCCGTAATCTTTCGGCTTCTTCCAGTAGTCTTCCGTAGTCTTCCGTAGTCTTCCGGCTTCTTCCCGTAGTCTTCCGTAGTCTTCCGTAGTCTTCCAGCTAGTCTTCCGAAATCTTTCAAGCTTCTTCCCGTAAATTTCCGCAATCTTTCCGGCTTCTTCTCCTAGTCTTCCGATACTGTTTCGGGACCAAACAACGCGCGTGTCCTGTGCTTTCGGGCTTCTTCCCTAGGCTTCGGGTAGTCTTCCCCCACCCCTCCGCCCCCCCCTGTGTCTGTCTATGTCTGTCTACGTATCTGCATCTGTCTTCGTGTCCGCGAAGACCCCCCCTGCCCCTGCGTGTCTGTCTGTGTCTCTTTGTGTCTGTCTGGGTCTGTCTGCGTCTGTCTTCGTGTCCGCGAAGACCCCTTGCGTGTCTGTCTCTGTCTCTTTGTGTCTGTCTGTGTCTGTCTGTGTCTGTCTACGTATCTGCGTCTTTCTTCGTGTCCCCCCCCCCCCGCGTGTCTGTCTGTGTATTTGTGTCTGTCTGGCTCTGTCTGCGTCTGCCTGCGCATCTGCGTCTGTCTTCGTGTCCGCGAAGACCCTCCCCCCCCGCTGCGTGTCTGTCTGCGTGTCTTTGTGTCTGTCTGTGTCTGTCTACATATCGCGTGCTTTCTCTCGTCCCGGGCCGAAATTCTAAGGTGTGTGGGGGCGGCGGAACCAGGCCGCAGGCCATTAAATATCCATCGGCTGTCTTTCCTTTTGGCTGTCCCTTTCAACAGACCCAAAAAGGCCCTCCATTTTGCAGATAAGTCATGCTAAGTTCACCAGACCCCGGAGCAAGCTCGGCTTGGGGTGCCCATTTTTCTCTGGCAGTGCTGGTAGCCCTGGCAACCGTGAGCATAGCGCGCGTGACGACACTGGCAACCTTGCTACGAAGAGCAACTTGAGTCGGGAACATTTGAGTTGGCAATGACCGCCAGCAGCAATCTGTGGGCAAAGCACGTCCAAGCATCGGCTTCTAAACTGGGGCCCTCATGCTGTGCGGAGCCTGGCTGATAAACTATTATGGTCCAAGGGCCACCCTCTTGGCACCAACAATCAACCAAAACTAAGAAGCCCAAAACTCGAACGCTGGGCAAGTCTTTTCAGCTGTGCGTTGCAACGGATGGGGGCATTCTGATTGCAAATGCTCTTCACAGCTTCTCGGGCTTGCTTAAGACAGTGCCCTTCGTTTACTTGATCCTCGTAAGGTACGGAGCGGGTCCATGGGCCGTTCAGCGTCTTTACATTGGCAGCAACCCTGCCTCTCTTTTTTTGTACCTCCATTTCGCCTTTCACTTTACACAAAAGCGCGTGAAGAACTGAAGAACCGGCGGGGCCAACCACCGACCGGCTCCAATCCTTCGCCACCCCCAGCCCTTCGCTGCGGCCCAAGCTGCCGGCGCCATGCCGGGCCGCGGGGGTGGCCCCGCGGGCGGCCGCGGCCGCGCGGCCGGAGACGACGGCCTCTCCGGGAGAGGCGCCACGGCACGGGACAAAAAGCGACCTATGCTCACCTCACAATGCTGCACGCTAACAAGTTTTCAGACTCGGGACAGTCTGGGAGTTGGCTAAACGGCTAGCAACCGTGGTACAAGGGTGCAATTGGGGGTACGCAACACCTTCACTGACTGCTGGAACTTCTGAGACTGTTGAGTACTACTTAGACTATCTCCAAAGTTGCGGCGGTTGGATTTCAGCCTTCGATGCGTCAGATTCCCTGTCATGTTCAATTCGTGTGAATGCTGCCAAGCCTTTTTGAGGAAATGTGTCCTTAAACATTTTGCCGTCTACAATTCCTGTTGCAGGGCTCATGAAACCAACCCCCAAGGAAAGAAGGGTTGTGTGGCCCGATATCACAATGTTACAAAGGTTACATACCCTATTTCGTTTTGGGGTGTTCCTTCCGGGGGGTAGTGGAAAACCTCTTATAGACAGCAGGGTTCCCCACTTGTCCTCTTTCAACATCACCCACCAAAGTGAAACTCAATCATAACTGGCAAGTGCAGTGTGTTGAACCACTCTTGCCCGGGCAAGTCCTGCATGGATTGTGTTTTGAGTTGGCCCTTTGCAGGTTGGCAAGGGAACGCTACAAAGCCACCCAGGTTTGGGCTTCCTGACGCGTACCCGTTGACACCCGGCTTCCCGCTTCGCCTGGCAGGCCTCGCAACGCCCAGCGTGCCCACGCTGCCGCGCACCGCCAAGCCCGGCCTCAAAACTGAGGGAAGGGCGCGCGGAGGGGAGGCGGGGGAGGGAGGGACGTCGGGGAGAGTGAAACGGAAAAAGGTTGGGGTACTTCCCTTCTCAAACTCGGGGAACGCCCCCGCCCCAAACTGGTTGGTTTCCTTTTGGCGTCTCGTTCAGAAACCAAGCAACGCGGGTTTGCCTCTTCGGTATTTCCAACAGAATTGGGGTGCCCTTAGCATGAATGGTTTCCTCGTTGTTTCCTCTAAAACATGCAAGGGTCTTTGCTCGCCAGCGGCTTCGCTCCCAGAAAATATGTGGAGAGAGAAAACCAAAAAGTTCGAGACCAAAACAAAACAACTGGCCTTCACCCGAGAGATTGATTCAACAAAAAGATATAGAAACTCAGACTTTGACACACCCTAGTGACAAGACCCAGCACTAGGAACGCATCTGGTGGACCTGTGTGCAGCTCAGCAAGTCGTAAGCCATAGTGGAGAGAAGATTAGAGCCCAGTCTCCCTGCAACTGATGCTCACTGAGTGGCCAAACCAAGATTCAAGTTTTTGTGTACCACTAAAATTGTCCTCCACCGGCGTCCTCCGGAACCGGCCCCGTCAAGTCACCTTCTTGGAGGGAACCTTCTTGGACAACTTGGCGCAGACATGCCGAGGAACGCGGATCGGTCGCTTGCTCTATTGCAATGAGATGCTTGCGGCAGTGCACTTCCTGCACGGCTTCCTACTTTCAGCCGGTCATTTTGCCCTTCGTGCGGTAGACACTGCGTAACTGTTGGGATGAGCTGGCAATACATGAGGAATGTTTAAACCACATATGCTTAGGGATCCCCAATGGTAGAGATGGTCATAGACCCCTTCGCGGTAAGAATCTCATTGGCGTCTTCGGAAATAACTCCGAAAGGGTGCCATGTTAGACCAGTATCGCAGTCTGGGTGCCAGCTGGCCCAAGCCACTCGTTCAGGGACGACTGTTTTTTCTTGAGGGCTCCAAAGCCCCTTCCCATATTGGCCCAACTCATACCAAGTCTTGTGTACAACCCCAAATTATAAATATATCAATTATATCATATGCTCCTCCAAAATCGAGAACGATCTTGTCACCATGGCACATATAGGGCTAATTCATGGTTGGTGTTCTTTTGGCTTCCCTTCAAAAAACAATACAAAAAGGGGCCTCTAACCTTCCTTCCGACAAATCGAAACACCCCTATAAACGTACTACCTACAGAAATGGTGGTCAGTCAAATTGGAGACACATCGAAACACCTAATATAAACGTGATACCTACCGAAAATGACCCCTCTGCCAGCTGCCAGCCCTTTCCCGGGCTCCCGCGCGCAGAGGGCGCCGCGGCGCGGCGCGCCTGGGCGGCGGCGAAGGGGAGCTTCTTCACGGCGCTCGGCGACTGAAAGGCCTGCACCTGGGATGGCGGGGCAGTGCCTGTCCTCGGTTCCAAAACAACCTGGAGGATCCTCTTTTTCTACCTGGAGGATCTTATTTTAGCACGGAAAACTGGGTAGTCCGCATCCTCTTTGAAACTGAACCCGGAGGAAATCAGTTTAGCACGGAATTCTCATGTTAGGAGGCTCACCTCGTTTCGTCCTTTCGGCTATTTGAACCCCAGCCGAAAAGGACTTTGGCACGCCGCCAAAGGAAACGTCGAAAAAAGCAAAGCTTCCTTCCCAGTGATTTTATCGCAAGCTGCTTCAAAACCCATGTCTTCTTAAGTAGAACTTTTCTTGAAGTTCCAGCCATCACAAAATAGAGGTATTTCTCAAATAGGAGTCCCCTTTTGGACAGTAAGGGGAAACCGAAACAAGACCAGCCTCCTGAAGGGGTCCCCAATTTTGGAAAGAAGAACCAGCTTGTATATATTTTCAAGGCTTCTTGGACAGTCAGGGCCAGTTGGAGTCCCCCCCCTGGGTCATCCTTTTTGAGCCTGCCTTTCGGCAGACGGTGCCCTCAACCGTCTTTTTGGAGGGGGGACAAATTGCCTTCAAGAGGAGTGTGTCTTTTGGAGGCGCAACCCCTTGTTGGCTTTAAAGTGAAACTGGAAGGAAACCAACATCTTATTTTTTGGGGCTCCCCTAATTTTGAGACAGACCTAGCAGTGTAGTCTAAAGTGCGTGGCTGCCCTGAGACGCGAGACAAATATCTCCTGAGACATTCTTAAGTGAGAAGTGTCTGCAAATGAGATTCGGGTCAGACCACTCCCTTTCTGCTGTTACCTTGGGCGTCTCCTCCTGGCTGGCACCTCCTGGATCGGAGTCCAAGAAAATGGGCACCATGATTCGTGCCCTTCAGGTGTGCTTCCTCTGTTTGCCTTGTCGAAACCAACGCCGCGTGCTTGAAGCATCACCCCAGAAAACCCTCACCTAAAATCCCGCGAGCCGGGCCCCGGGTCGCCTCCTTTTCGCTTTTGAACATAACCTCGCGCGCCTGCGCTCGCAGCGCCGTCATCACAGGGCCCTTCTCCGAGGAGTGCTGGAAGTTTTTGATGAGATGGAGCTTCTTGGCTGGGGTCAGGCGGGTCATTAGCAGCCTGGCCGGGCATGCCTTGGTTTCGGTCCTGAGAAGGGTACCCTCAAGAGAAATGCCCACCCACGTGAGCCATCAAAATGAACATAGAGCCGGAGAAGCCGGTGGTCGGAAGCTTCCAGAATTTTACAAACTATGGCTATGTTATGACTCATGTTCTTCTTTTGCTTGATCTTCTTCTTTCCATGTTCCATGTTCATTGGTTGTGTTGTTTCCACATGTCCTTCTTTATCTATTTGTTCATTTGTTTCGCTCTTTCTTTCTTTCTTTCTTTCTTTCTTTCTTTATCCATTTATTTATTTCTTTATTTTCTTTCGTTATTTCTTTCTTTGCTTAGTCATGTTATGTGTGCTTTTTTTCTGAATTGTATTTCTTTCGTTCTGCCTTTGTTTATGTATTTTCTTTATTTATGTTGATAGTTCTTTCGTTATTCATTTAATTTATGTCGTTATTTGTTTATGTCTTTCGTTCTTTATTTCTTTGTTTAGTTGTTGTTTTTCTTTCTTCCTTCTTTCTTTCTTCCTTCTTTCTTTCTTTCTTCCTTCCTGCCTTCCTTCCTTCCTTCCTTCCTTCCTGCCTTCCTTCCTTTCTTCATTTTGTTTCTTGTCTGTAGTTCTTTCTTTTCTTTCTGTCTTTCGATTTACAAAACGATATATCTATTGATGTATTTATTTATGTACGTAATTATTTATTTATTTATAAAATTTATGTATTTATTTATTTATTTATTTGTTTATTGTGTATCTATGTCTCTCTCTGTCTATCTATATATCTGTCTATCTGTCTGTCTGTCCGTCAATCCGTCTATCTATCCATCTCTCTCTGGTCTATCTATTTATCTATCTACCTTGCTTGTCTGTCTATCCATTTATCTATCTATCTATCTATCTCTTGACATATTTATCTATCTTTCTATCTTTCTACCCACCTACAACTATCGATCTAGCTCGCTATCTGTATCTCAACCTATCTTATTTCTCTCCATCTATCAACCTAACCCCCCAGCAGGCACAAACGCGGAAGGCTGAAGGGGCCCATAGAATTCTTGGCCAATGCCGGTGAGAGGCAGAGAAAGCTTGGCTGCGGAAAAGGGCCCCAAGCCAACCCGGCTCTAAGTGCGGTGGTTCCTAACAATGGAACAGGATACAAGATGGGGCCACCAATGCTAACCGAAGCTAGCTGGCGCCACGGGGCAAATCTCCAACAGGGTCGCGTGGTTTAAGGTGCCCATTCGCTTTTCCTGTTTGGCTTTGGGCACAAGATTGGGTTGCACGTTCCAAATCAACCCACCCGAGGTTCAAGTCATTGGCCGCATCCAGCTAAAGATCGCAATGCTTTGAGCAGCGCATCTTCAAAGTCTTCAGGAGTTGAAACTTGGGGGGAGAGGAGTCCTCTTTGAAGACTTTGGGTCAGCCTGGTGTGTCCAACATGTACTTCCTTCATCTAAATCCAAACAACTTCTGGAAAAAAAGGGGCTGGTCGCATCTGGAGCAGTCAGTCCGTGGCACTGTTGCAAGAGATGGCCACACACAACTGCCTTTAGGCGTCCGCAAGCGCCGCCGCCACCACCACCACCACCACTACGAGACAGGTTTGAACTTCGTTTCTCTAACAGCCAATGTGTCCTCCGATCCGCACCTGGCTTGAGTCTCGTGGAGATTCCACCTGACGGGAGCGGAAAAAAAGGCCAGCCCTGCATTACATTCCCACAAACGCACCTGGGTCCCTCAAAATGGGTACCCTCAACACAACACACACACACACACACACACAGAGACACACACACACACACGCAGAAACACGTGCAGAAACACATGCAGAAACACTCCCTTGCCTTGTGAGAGAGATGATGAACAAACATCTGTCCGCCTTCAGGCCTGTGATCTTCCTGAAGCGTCAGTACTCCAAAAGACGTGAAAGCAAACAGTCAATGGTTTGCAGGTTGCCGATGAACAAAAACGACCAACGCAAACAAGAACAACTGATCAAACATGATTGGAAAACGGAAGAACTGGTGGTTGTTAGTGCTATGCTTGCTTCCAATCGTCCGGGCATTGCCGTCAGTGTGCCCAACGGGCTGGAAATCGACCATTGCTTCAACCCCCTTCTCCCAGGCACTTCCAAATTGCCAGGGCTCTAAGGGTTGTGCTTGGAACGGCGTCAATTCCAAGCAGTTGAAAATCCCCTGCCGTCGCAGGAGTATTCCACATGACCCATGGCTGTGCGTCAAACTAGAGGACCCTTTGGGCCCTGGGCCTCCAAAAATCGAATATACGATCTACGCCATAACTGAACAGAGAAGGAACCCGCAACAAAAACAACGCCGAAGTTTCGGCATCTCGTTTTGGGATGGCCCCTTCTTTGTCATCCTCTTGTTGGAAGGGGCTTCCTTTGCCAAATTCTGACAATTTTCCAGCAACCCAAAAAAAGGAATCCTGGGGCCGGCGCAAAGCTTGGAAATTCTGAGAGGCAGGATAAACTAAGTTGGTTTGAGAAGCTGGTTTGAGGTCAAGCTGGTTTGAGAAGTACCCAAATATCAAAATGCATGAATCATGACATGCAATGACTTGCCAGCTACATGGAGCACCAGGAAGGCCCTCTATCTCTCCTCCGAAAAGGCGCTACACGCTTTTCTCCATGTCATGTCCCCACCCAAATCCAGCCTGGCACAACACGAGCCCATCTGTCAGCAAGGAGAGATGCAGCCCCCCCCCCCCGCCTGGTGATGAAGTTGTCCACCATGGCGTTGCTGGGGCCCTCCTCCTCCTGCTCCTCCTTCTCCGTCCGCTTCATCCGCCCAATGGGCGGAGCTGAAGGCTGCCGGGGCTCCCGCGGCTCCCGGAGCTCCCGCGGCTGCGGCTCCCGCGGCTCCCGGAGCTCCCGCGGCTGCGGCTCCCGCGGCTCCCGGAGCTCCCGCGGCTGCGGCTCCCGGGGCTCCCGGAGCTCTCGCTCGCGCGTCGGAATCCGCTCCGGCCGCCTCTCGCGCAACCAACCCCACCACAAAGCAAAAAACACACAGGACTGCCAAGAGTCATCTGCTTCTGTTGGCTTGCGTTTCAGGTGTGATCACGGCCTTTTGCCTTACCTTTGAGCTCCTTTAGCTTGTGCCAGGTTGCTTTCAGAAGACTGTGGGCAGGTGATTTGGGGTCCAGAAATCGTCCAAACCAAAGATCGCAAATCATCTGAAATTATGAAAAGAACTCCCTGCTATGAAAGGACCCCATTTCATGCGCCGCTTCCTCTGCTTTACTTCATCCAGAAATTACGGACTCATGCACCAGGCTGAATTGAAAGCTCCCCAAAAAATCTCGCTCTACAGAATCTATGCAGTTGTTGGTAACTTGATTGGATCATCCCGCTGCACAAAAAGCTTCTGCGAGCTACTTCACTTTCACCCGCCGATAGAATGTAAGATGTATCCCAACTGCCCCCATCAACAAACTGACTCTTGATAGCGGGCAACAAATCAACAGAGCGGAAGGAACCATGCCTGACCTCACCACAAAAGCTGCACGTGCAACGAAACAGCCGATGCGATTTGACAATATAGGCTACTGATTCTCTGAAAGAGTGGAACCTCCAAACAGGCCCCATGCAACTTAAGTAGCAATACGTGCCAAAATAGGGACCCGAAAGAAAATGCCGGCTTGCCTGTTGGGTTTCCTTTCGTGCCCGCCCACAAGAAGTACCCTCAACAAAGCACACATCCACATGATCAAAACAGCCATGTGCAGGTCAACAGCACAGCTTTACAAATCAGCGGCCCTGAAACATCCATGTGGTTTCCACTGAGAACTCATTGAGCAGCTCTACTAACAAACGATTCTTGGGTGAGTCTACCCGTAGAGCAGCGTTGATTGCTGTGTCAGTTCAACCACACATCTCAGATTTCCGTGTTTGTTTGGTTCTCCGGTCGAATCGGCTCAAGCCGATCTCGTCAACAGGGGCACACGGAGGTTGGCAGAACCCACAAATCGCCTGGAAGGGCAGTCCTTGGATCAGGTAATAGACGGACCCCCTATATTACCCTCACCCAAGGAGCCTCACTTGAAAAGGGGCTCAAAGCCAGAGGGGGAATTTCGGCTTCAAATGAAAGCAAGAAGGTTTGCCCCTGACCTGAGGCTGACACCCACCCCATGTCAACAACTGAGCGCAAGTTTTGAGCGGAGGTCTCCAGTTCTCCAGAGGAGGAAGGGGTCCACCCTGACAAAACGGGGGAGGGGGGGGTCACGCAGATCCACTTCTCCTGGATTCCCCCCACATTTCGGGAAAATCAGCTATCTGTCCCCCCCCTCCCCCACCCCCACCCCAAGAAGAAGCAAAGCAGATCTTAATGTCAGGCAGTGGGAGAATACTCTTCATACACCTCTCCAGGATTGTAGGATGCAGTTGACATTAGCAAACGATCCGCCTGATCCATCTTGCCCCCTTGGAGGGCTGGTTTCTCAGCTCCCGAGGCTTTGCCGGCCAGTCGCCTGACACCCCGACATGGAAGCGGTTCGAACGAGCCTCGGAGCCTTCGCAGCAGGGGCCTGGGCTCTGCTTCGAAATTCGGCAGCCCCGCCAAACAAATGCGGAAATCAGGCACCTCCAGCCGGGAAATCCAGCTGCAAGCGACAGCAAACTGGGCATTATATACATATATATATATATATATATATGTGGTGTATATATATATATATATATGTATATATATATATGACTCTTCAAAGCACCACATTGGTGCTACTGGTACCTTAATCGCGAAACGGTGCATCCTTTACGCCGCATAAGGATTAGTGCCAAAATGGGAGGATTGCCCAGCTCCACTGGGCAGCTCCCCTCAGCAGCTGATGGGAGTAGAATTGATGCCACTCCCACAGCGAGGGAGGAATCCTCCCACCTCACCGGATGCCCTCCCGGCATCATGGGTGAGGAAGGAAAGTAGCGAAGATCAGCTTGATCAATTCGCTTTCGACTGAGGGGAAGACCCGGTTCTCAGTCGGAAATTGCGGGTCCGGATGAGTAAGTTCATCCGCCCATGTGTTAAAGTCGCGCTTCACATGCGACGGTCCTAACATGACCTGGTGGTCATGCAGTGTTAACACAATTTCCATGAGGATGGCCGCATTGGGCATCCTGCGAGTGGAATCGTTAAGCAGGGAGAAAACGTTTCCCTGGTTATCACTAGCAACCAGAATCCTAGTGTGAGAAGCCGAGCCGGCTGCACAAAGCAGAACAGCCCTCACCAAAAGGAGGAGGCCGAAGAGCTCCAAGGCCGCTATCGCCCGCTGCGGGTCCCCAGTAGTGAAGGCCCACGGCTCGCCCTCCGGTGTGATTCTGTGTTGGAACCACTTCACTCGGGACTTGTCGGGGTTGGGCACGTCCGAGCACCAACCACCAACCCATGCATGGTCCGCCTGTTTGCCAGCTCCCGCATCAGATGCCCCCGTCCATGGAAGTGTGGGAGCAAATGGAGATGCCAGTGGGAACCTCTGGTTGAAGAGCTTCCCCAGAAGGATGGCCAGAGCACGAACCAGCTTCGGTGGCCTGCCCGAAGTGGTGCAGGCCTTCTTCCAGCTCCAAAAGGGCTGGAGGAAAGGTTTCGTCAATGGACACGCCGAAGTAGCCCATTGAATCCGGCCCAGGGCTTGTTCCACCTCCTTGCTGGTAAAGATGTCCCCCTGGGCCAGCCGTTTGAGAGTGGCCAGGATTATGACGTGCTTGACTGGAGCCAGCAGCACACAGGGCGTGATTGGGTCCACCACGAATCCCAACCAGGTATTGACCGGGGAGAGCGCCGTCTTCTTCCAAGAAAGCGGGACTCCCAGCGCCAGAAGAGTGGCCAGGATGGCTGTGGCGTCCCAGTCCGCCCTGCTGCATCTGAGGACCCAGCAGTAGTCGTCCACAAAGACTAAGTGCCAGTCCACCTGAGGGAAGATGTAGTACAAGAGTCTGAGCACCAAGGATGCCTTTCTTCCCCAGTACAGTTGTGCCGAGGCCATGCCGTACGTGCCCACTCTATTGACCCACCACCGGTTCTGGATGCAGGCCACCTGGTATTTCCAGTCTTTCTGGAGCACTTTTATGCGCCTGTGGGCCTTGGTGACATCCGCCTTGAGGATGATGAAGGTTTCCCCCTGTGTCGGCGGCTGCCACGTCAGGGGTTCCCCCCTGCTCCCCCCAGGGCGTTCCGTGCCTGGGGGGTTGGGGGGAATGGGGCCCTCCTATCAGGGCCCTCGGCACCTGGGAGTGGCCCCTTCCCTGAGGGTGTTGACCGCGGAGAGACGTCCAGGCCGCCGGAGGTCTCCATCATCCGCCTGCCCCTATCAGGGCCCTCGGCACCTGGGGGCAGGCTGGTGCTGTGGGGGTCCCTCTCAGGGCCCTCGGCACCTGGGGACTGCCCCTGCACCGGCTGGTGAACATCCCGAGGTTCCTCATCAGTGCCCGAGGATGGGGCTCGGAGTAGGTGAGGATGGTCCGCATGGAGGCAGTCTCCAACCATCGGTGCGGTGGTCTTCTCCTCCGTGTGAGCCTGGATGTGTGCGTTTGCTCCCCCTTTTGAGCCATCATAGATCGTCCTGATCTTGTCCGACTCATCAATCCCTGCAAGGGGGCCCGGGCAAAGTTCCTCCGGTTTGCAGCGGCACCTCTCTGCCGCCTCGGAGCGAGTGAAGGGCCCGTCCACCATGTCCAAGGCTCGTTCCTCGTAAAAGGTTGATTCGATTTCCTTGGCAAAGAGTTCAGCCGTTGGGTAGTTATCATGAGCCACTGGCGGGGGGGGATCTTCCCCCAGCCAGGCTTCTCCCTTAAGCTCCTCCTTAGTGGGCCAAACTCCCGGGGAGGTCAAGGTAGGGTCCGAGACTCCCAAGGGGACCCCCTCTTTCAGTGTTAGGGGGAACTCCCAATCAGGGTCACCTGAAAGGGATGCCAAGTGCGACACTAAGTCCAGGAGGAAGGGTTGTCCTGGGCATCGTTCATGGAGGTGCCTCGGTCCTAGGATAGCCCGCAGCTCCTCGAGGTCGGCTTCCTGGAAGGGGTGTGTGGTGGCACCTGATGCCAGGGACATTCGGACCTTGTCAATCCAGGGCCGGGTAAGGGTCATGATCAGGGTGCCCAAAGTAGCCAATGGGGAAATTCTCCGAAAAGGGGGGTTGAGCCTCCCTGGGGAAGGTTTTCCCCCCCCATCCCTCAGGGGGCGTGAGCGGAAACCCAATTGGACAATCGCCACCCGGTCAGTGAGGTGTGGGACCCTGAAAGCGGGCAGGCATTCGGGGCGGTCCAGGACCTGGTCCCCCTGTCCCTCCTTCCCCAGTTGTTCCGCATCTCCGGCCATCGGGGGCATGGGAGATGGGAAGTCTGGGTTCATTGTTCCACGAGGGCTTACGGTGTCTGCCTCAGGGTGGAACTGCCCGTGCAGGCGGGGCTTCGGGGCGTTCTTGCCTCCGGGCTTTGAGCCCTGGTGTGATGAGGAGGGACCGCCTCCTTGACTGGGCCCCCGTTTTCCCCGGGGGGAATGGCCTTCCGGGGGGTCCGACCCCCGCCCCTTAGGTGGTTCCTTGGGGTTTCCCGGAAATTGTGAGGGGATCCGGATGTGCCCCGGCGCTGCGAGTGACACAGCGATGGCTTTGGCCAGGCCTGCCATCATATCCCAAGGGTATCTGCTAAGAGTCGAGGACTCGTTGGTGCCCACATGTGACTGATGCGTGCACCGCATTTGATCCCAGTCCTGGATCGGGAGATCCGTGGCCAGCGTAGTGGCCTTCTTGACCAGCTGGCCCAGGCGGCACTGGTCGAAGGAGATTGCTGTCAAGGAGTTCTCCTCCATCCAAAGCTGCCCCTCCTCTGTGATCCAGAAGGATGAGCATTCCTTGGCTTTGGGCAGCGAGCTGCTCACCACTGGGTCCTCCGGGTGTTCCAGGAAGGACCTGGGCCCTGGCAGAGAAACCGCCGCTCGTGAGGCCCTTGCCAGGCTGGTGATGTACATCTGTCTCAGAATGAGGATGCTGTCATCATCAAGTTGAGTCTGGGCGGCCTGGTCCAGGTGTGGAAGGCCCCAAAGTGTCTCTGGAGTGCGCCCTCGCACCGGGGTGGGAGCCCCCGGTTTTGGTATGTGGCGCAGGATGGACCATGTCCTGCAGTTGGGTCCTCCTCCAATGAAGACCACTCGGCCCTGCTTTGCTGCCGTGCAAAGAGCTCCATACAGCTCGGGTTGGAGCATATCGTGGTCCCCTTTTGGTCCAGACCGTAGGATGTCTACCGCCACCACCATGCTGGAAAGGTGTGGGTAGTTGGCATGAAGACAGCTGTCCAAGGAAGTTGGGTCTTCCTTGCCTGCATAGAGCAGGACAATGATGGGCCCACTGGATGGAACTTTGGGCGATGTGCCCTGTGTCCATCTCAGCCGCTGTACCAGACGCTCAGGGATGTTCTCCATCCACGGGAAGATGTCCAATCCCGGTGACGGCTCCGTTGGACTTGTCAGGGGGGTAGCTGAAAGGCGTTGGCCCCCTTCATTCAGCCCCACCGAGCTCTTGTGGAAAACCACCGGGTCCTGCTTGATGATGTTGGGCGCCGGAAGTGGGATCGGCTGCTTCCTGGGAGTGTCCCTTGGCGTTGCGGTGTGCTGCCAGTCATCCGGCACTCGGGCCTTCTGGGTGCGGCCCCCCGTGTCAGGGCCCTCGGCACCTGCGGGGAACCGTCCCGTCCCCGCCATATCAGGGCCCTCGGCACCTGTGGCTCGGGACTGAGGCGCCGCCGTTGTGCCGGTTGTGTGGCTGTTCTGATCACGGCGAGGGCGTTGTGCACGCTGGTTCTGCCGTCCCCATCCTTGTTCCGCCGAGGATGGCCGCCACCTGGCCTGTCCCCCCCCTGTGTCAGGGCCCTCGGCACCTGCAGGAGGGGGCTTCTGTGCCTGCTTGGGGCGTTTGCGCCCCTTCTCGCCCCCCCGGGCCTTATCAGGGCCCTCGGCACCTGAGGCCTCCCGGGGGGTAGGGGTCAGCGCCCCTAGTCAACCCGGGCAGTCCTGCGGGAGGTGGTCCCCCAGGCAGATGTGGGTCATTGCCAGGATGAGGTTGGACTTGTGGGTGCGGCCGCAGTTGCCCGGGCAGCCCCGCGCATCCAGTTGTTACAGAACTGGTTCCCTTTCGGGTCGGTGGCTGCCTGCTTGTTACCGCCCCGGGACGCCTGATTGTTCGGGTGGGGGGTCTTACCCTTCCCTTTGTTCCCAGGCTTGCCCTTGGACTTCCCCTTGTCCTTGGACTTGTTCTTGCCCTTCTGAGGTGGTGCGTAGTCCATGGATGTCCTGGTTGATGGGCGGCCCCTGGAAAAGGTCTTGATCTTCTCATAGACCTCACGTGTCCAGAACAATGTGTCCTGCCTGACCGACAGCATGGCCGCCTTGAGGGTGTTGCCCTCATGCATCTTCTCGTGAATCTTTCGCCATGCGTTGCGTTCGGCAATTGCCAGGACGTGGTCCTCTGGCGGGGGAAAACGGCCCCCGATGTCCTCACCATAGAACCACTCGTACCAGCTCTCCAAGTCCTCCCGGGTGATGTCGAACTGGCCGAACTGCGGGAACGAGAGGACGCACATGAGGAGGGTGTTGCGGAACACCGCGTGCATCCTCTCGAGCTGGTGGCGAGTTTTGGGCTCGCCCCGCTCTTCCACCTCATCCTCCCGGTCCCAGCCATCAACCGTGCTCTTCTTAGTGGTCTTCCATGGCCGTTCTCCTGGCTCCGGGAGTGCGCTTACCAGGTATTTCATGGGGATGAAACCGATCTCGCCTCCTGCGCAGAGCTTGAACTGGCGCTTCACCAGCTGGTCGCTTCCTTGAAGGGCCAGCTTGGGTTTGGTGAGCTTGGTCTTCTCCTCCCAAACCCTCTCCAGCTGTCCCCGTTCGCACGAGACCGTGAGATTCGGGGCGGTGTCCCCGGGCGTGTGTGGCCCGGGTCCCGCTGTTGCATGCGCCCCAACTCCCATGGATCGTTGAGCCGCGTGAACCACCTGGAACATGCGGGCCGCGATCAGCCGGGAGGTCACATCCGTGTAGTGGTGGTTGTTGGGGGCGAAGCCCAACTCCCCCGGCGCCGTCTCCCTTGCACGGTCGGGCGAGTCCCACCGGGTCGCGAGGTCCTCCATCGAGACAAAGCCCTCATCCGACAGTGTCGCTTGGATGAACCACGGGATGCCCTTGAGGACCATGAGGTTCCTGGCGGTCTTGTGGAGCTTAGCCACTGCGTCCGTGTACACTCCAGGAACTTCCTGTGGTGGTGCCACCAACTCATCTGGTGTCGCCGCCATGGTGTGGGTGGGCGGGATTTCAAATCACAAGACAAAAGATCAAAAGGTCCACTTGAGCCAAAATGGTGGCCCAAGTGGATACTTATTAAGAGTCAAGACAAGCGACCACCTACGGTTAACGCTTTAGCCCAGACTCTTCAAAGCACCACATTGGTGCTACTGGTACCTTAATCGCGAAACGGTGCATCCTTTACGCCGCATAAGGATTAGTGCCAAAATGGGAGGATTGCCCAGCTCCACTGGGCAGCTCCCCTCAGCAGCTGATGGGAGTAGAATTGATGCCATCCCCAACGGACGGATCGCATCAGCTGCCAATACCAACGGACGAGCTGGTCGTTGGGGAGGTCCTCCCTCCACGTATGCCGTGTGGTCCCGCTGTCGCATTTCAGGGCCCTCGGCACCTGTGCGTCCAGCGGTCCGGCTGCGGTCCACCCGGTGCGGACCCCGTCAATCCGCCGCCTGGGATGCCCGGGGACATCTCAGGGCCCTCGGCACCTGTGTCCCCTGGTTCCCGGGGCACTGGCCCCCTGGGATAGGGGTGAGAACATCTCAGGGCCCTCGGCACCTGTGTCTCCCCCCTCCAGGCCCCTTCGGGGTTGCGTGTCAGGGCCTTCGGCACCTGCGCTCCCCGCTGGCCGCGGGGCTGGGCCCCTGGGGGGGTGCCGGGGAGGGCGTATCAGGGCCCTCGGCACCTGCGCCCTCTCCCCCTGCCTCCTTGCCTTGAGGCATGGGGGGAAGCGTGTCAGGGCCCTCGGCACCTGCGCTATCCACCCCTCACTCAATTTCCGGGAGGACGACCGCCTCCTTGTCCGACTGAGTGTCCACGCTCTCGTCGGTGTCCGAGGAGAGGGAGATGGAGGCCTCGGAGTCCTGTGCTGCGTAGGGCTCCACGGCCATCCACGTGTTCGGGAAGGTGAAATGCCGGAAACATCTGGTGCATCCCAGGTACACCTCCGGCTCAGCATGGAAGTCCTGCTCCGCCAGCTCCGAAATCTTGAGCGGTCCCGGCCTCCAGCCGCACCCCACTGTGACTCCATCTGTGTCCAGTAGGTGCATGCTGTAAGCTTTGGTGGGACCCTTTCGGGCCGTGGTGGCTACCACCGTCAGTGGACCCCGAGGCGGGGGCACCTCATCCGCAGCCATCTTGGTGATGGCCGGCTTGTTGGCGGGGATCACATCCCAGCTGGCATTCGAGGGCGGTGTGTCCGGGACTTCCTTGAACAAGGCCTTCGGTGAGGCCGGGCACTCCACCTTGTCCTCCCAGTCCTCATGTCCGAGGTCGACTCGGACCGCCCTTCCTGCCTCGAGTTGCATGGACGGGAGCTTCTGGAGGACCTGGTCCCAGATGGAGCACACCACGTGTCGCTTCTCCCGGGTGTAGACATCCGCCGTGGACTCCTTGAACCAGTTTCCCAGGTACTGGCGCTGGTCCCTCGGTATGTGCGCCTGGAATGCCAAATCCGGCATGAAGACCCGGAAGGAGTACCATGAGAGTTCAGCCACGTCCTTGACTGGCGCGCCCTGCTTCCCCAAGGCGTCTTTGAGCCACCTCAGGGACCTGTCTGGGGTTCCTGGGCGGGGGATGAAGCCCGTCCTGTCCTTGTTGATCGTGGGGATCAGGTAGTCCATCTCGCGGAACTCCTCCGAGGCCCTGAATCTCTTCCACCACCGCTCCAAGGGGATCCACCATCTGGCCCCCGAGAAGGAGAACAATGGGGCGATGAGCGGGACCGGGTTCCGTTTGATGGCCACTGCCGACGTGGTCTTCGTTTGCCAGGCCAGCAGCTCCAGGGTGTTGCTCGTGGACTTGACCGTCTGCGGCGAGGTGTGCTGCACGTCGTTGAAGCGCGCACTGCAGGCCAGGTTGAACCTGGCCATCGCCATGATGTACCTGTCCACTGCTTTGGTCAGCTCCGGGACCCGGTTCTCCGGCGGGGCCCCTTCTGCCCCTTGTTCCAGGGCCCAAACAATTGCCCGGGTCGGAACCACCGCCTTGCGCTGTGGCTTGACCTGGGTGTCCACCAGCGTCTCCTGGATGGCTTTCCGCTTCTCCAGGAGTTGTTTGTGTTCGTCAACGTTGAGCATGCCGAGTTTAATGGAGAGCCACTTTAAAGTGCCCCACCACTTCTGGAGCTTCGCCGGGGTGACCTCCAACGTGACCGCCTGGTTCATGAGGTGCCGGACGTCGCCGGCCGTCCAGGGGAGGTTCTGGAAGCCGATCTTGCGCATGCCCTCATAGGCCAAGCAGTGTGCCCGGATGGTACGGAACCGGGCATCACCAAAGAGGTGGCCAAACTCCTCCAGCTCCCTGGCCCCCATCACCTGGTGCATGTAGGGGATCTGGTGCCGGAAGGGGATGAAGTATCCCAGGAGGCGTTCCAACCACCTGGCCCTCAAGTGTTGTTCCAACGCTCTCTGAGATGTCGGCAATTGGGTCTTGATCTTCCCTGGTTTCCAATGCCGCCACTTGTTGGCCACTGCCAGGACATCCGGGGCCTCAATCGATCCGGAAAGGATCCACTCTTCGCGGTCCCGGATGGCCTGTTCCATTTCCAGTGGAGAATAGGTGTGCGATTGCCTGGCGCCTGCCGCACGAAACAGAAGTTGTTGCAGGGTCTTAGTAGCGAGCTCCAAATCCGCCTCCTCCAGCGGTTGTGGTTGGGAGCCGAGTATCCTCGCGAGGATCAAGTTGTAGGTGTCCGAGGCCACCAGGACGTGGTTGCCGTCAGGTGCCAGCCCCACGATCCGTGTCCACGGCCGCGGGTCAAAGACCACCGCATCCGGGTTGGCGACCTTGTCCTTTTTGACCCATTCCAGGCAGCACGCCACGAGGATTTCCCCGTCCGACTGCACTGGTGCAAATCCAAGGTCATGCAAAATCAACTGGAGCGCGGTTGGCGCCCCTAGGAAGGTCGTCCCAAACGGGGAAGGGAGGCGGGGCCTCCACATCATCATGATCCACTCGAGCCGGGGGCCTAGTCCCTAGGTGCAAACCCCAACCAAACAACAGGGGGCCCCCCAAAACCCCGGAAAGTCAACCCCGAAACGGAGGAAACGGGGGAAAAAGGGGGACCCAGGGAGCCGCCCCGAAAAGGGAAAACCAAACAAGAGAGGGGAACCAAGGCGCACCCCGGATCAGCCCAAGCCGCGCCAATTTTCCTCGCCTGGTGCAAGTCTGGGCCTGCGCTGTTCCCTGGGGGGGGATATCAGCGCCTTCGGCAGCTGTCCCCCCCCGGGGTGCGCTGCGCATCCGTTCCGGATGGCCGCGGTCCTGGATGGTGTGCCGGAAGATGGCGTTGTCCCGCATCATCACGCGGCCCCCTTCGCGATGTCATCGATGCGCTTGAGCGCAGCAGCCTCCGGATTCCGCAGAATCAGCTCCCAGATGGCATTGGAGACGTGGCCTGTCTGGGTGGTCTGGCTGAATCTGAACCTGGGCACCTTCTGGTCCACGATGGAGACGTCCCGCAACGGGGCCGAGGGCTCCACCCGGCGGTAGTACTCCAGCCGCTCCTTCACCCAGCGGTTGTAGAGGCCCTCCGGCGGCTCGTCCAACACCAGCTGCAAGATGGCCTTGCCGGCCCGGATCTGGAGGAGGCGGGTGCCCCCTCCCCCGGCACGCCAGTACCCCTTACAATACTTGCACATGTAGCCCCCCCGGGTCTCCCCTTTTGTCTTCGGGATGAGTTCCCACGGGGTGACGGAGCTCAGGACCAGGCCACACTCCATGTGCGCCCAGAAGACATGCTTCATCTCCACCGGATAGTTCTTCTTCCGGTAGTCCTTACCCACCACGCCGTGGACGTTGTCCGCCGTGATGGGGGGGTAAACGATCCCCTCATCGCCCTCGCCTCCCCTGGGGCGGATGTCAGGGCCATCGGCACCTGTCCGGCACCCAGGGGCGGAGGGGTCCAGGCCCATCAGCTTGATCATGTCGTTGGTGTAGCCGAGCTTGCGGTAGATGGAGGGGGCCACTGAGTCGGGGACTGCGCCGACCCACCACTGCTTCGTGTTGCAGCGCCAGTTGACCTTCACCTCCGCCAGGGCCCCCGGTCCATGAGGGCCTTGTACACCTCTGGGAACTGCTGGAGGCTCTCCACCGGGACCGAGATGCGCTCGTCGCATACCGCCCGCAGGATCATCTGCTCCTTGGAGTCCGCCACGTCCTGGACCGGGAGCTGCATCACCTCCGCCGGGGTGTCCGTGAGGAAGGCCCGGGCCGCGAGGACCTTGCCCATGGCCCGGTCGCCACTCCGGTCCTGTCTGCGGAAACGGAAGGCCCTCCTCCTTCAGGATCGCCACTCCGGTGGTCTGCGGAAATGGCGGAAGGCCCTGTCCTTTCAGGAAGCACCGCGCGTCCTCCTTCAGGGTCTCCCAGCCCTCCAGGCGGGTCTGATTCTGGGCCTTGTTTTTCGGGCCCCGCTGCCTAGGGCCCTGCAGCAGTCCCAGACTCCCCAGAGCTGGCGCAGGGTGTAGCTGTGCCCGAACATCCCCAGTAGGCCTGGGAGTGTCCAGGACGAGATCTGGCGCGTCCAGTGGAAGTCCTCATCCGGATCGTGGGGGGCAGCCCAAAAGATGGATCGCAGGTCCCCAGGGTAGGGTCGGTCCCCCGCCTTCGCCTGCTGGTTCAACTCATCAACGGAGTACCTGGCCCAGGGGAGTCCACCCACCTGGTGGTTCCTGGGATGCGTACCCTTCTCCAACGCCTCCGGATTCACCTTGGTGAGGTTTTTCGCCCAATCCGGGACGTGTACCGGGCCCGGTCGTCGGACCCAGCGGCCCGCAAAGATACGGACCTCTCCGACCCGTTTGCTCATCATCCAGCGCAGGACCGAGAGCTGCACCTCCGGGTCCTTGGTGTCCAGGCCCACCGGGGTGGCGGACGGCTTGTCAGGGCCCTCGGCACCTGAGCTCGTCACGCCAGAGCCCGAGGCTGGGGGGATGGTGGGCGGCCTGTCAGGGCCCTCGGCACCTGGGCGCGCCGCACCAGAGCCCCCCGCCTTTGGCATGGGGATCCCTGTCAGGTCCGGCAGATCTGACAGGAGGGCCGCCGGGAAGGGATTCCTACCCAGCGAGATGACCGCCTTGGCCTCAAGGTAGGAGTCCGTGAGGGATGTGAGGTCGTCCATACTGAAGTCCCTCCATGCCGTTGTCGGCTCGAAGACCCCAGTCTCAATGGCGACCCGGACCTCACTAGGCCACGCACTGAAGGGAGGCGCGATGGGCTCGAGCATTCTGGTTTCGAGGGAGCCCTTCGCCTGTCTGGCTTGGTGTTTCGCTTTCGCCTCCTCCGCAGTGGTCTGGGCCTGGAGGAGCTCCGGTGTGGGTCTCCCCCAGTCCGCACCCAGCTTGTCCAGCAGCTTCTCACGGAAGAGGTCCAAGTCCAGGTTCTTCAGGAGCAGGCCTCCATCACCTCCTCCGTCAATGGCCCCCCCTTGAAGTTCGTGGAGGACCGCCGCGGAGCGCTCCACCGCTTCCACCTGGTCCGCCTTCTTGGCCTCCTCCTGGGCGATGGTGGTGGCGTTGAGCCGGGTCTGAATCTTGAAGGCCTTCACCGCAGACGGGTGGAAGGCTCTGCATTCCTGGCCCTCTTCCTTGTCGCCTGGCAATGGGGGCCTCTCCCCCGGTGGGGCCGTCATAAACTCCTCGTCCAGCTCCATGGGGCAGTTCCTGATCACCGCCCGGACCGAGGAGGGGACGAAGTCCGAGAAGCTGGCCTGGTCCGGGTTCTCGCAGGCCATCGGGTCGGTGGCCAGCTCGCTGACGTCCACCGAGGCACTGAGCTTGAGGTCGCGGGCCCGGTCCGTGTCAGGGCCTTCGGCACCCGCGGACCGGGCCGCCGTCCAGACCGCATTGCCCTGGTCATCCACCGTCAACTGCCAATGCGTGCCCGCCATCTCCAGGGTGGCCGAGTTGGTCGCCATGTCAATGGGCTCCGTCTTCTTGCCGCACCCCATGCACTTCGTGGCGCCCTTCTTCACCCAGGGCATGGTGCAGCAGGGGCAGATCCAGGATGTGGGCACCTTGCCCAGGGGGCGGTTCTCCAGGCCCCCGTACCCCAAGCCAGCGCGCTTGCCAACCTGCTGTCCCGGGGTGCTGAGCCGGGCCTCATGCTCGTACTTCATCTTGGCGATGTAGAAGGCCTCCACAACGCGCTCCAGGCCCCCCTGCTTGAGTTGGGGGCCCTCAAAGCCTCGCAGGAGCCGCTGGACGTCCTTGGCCTGCAGTCGGCGGAGCCTAGTGGCCGTGGTCGCATCGAAGCAAGGGAAGTCGCCCGCCATCTGGTCGTCGCTGAACTGGTAGAGGCCCTCCGAGACCTTGAGGGCCTTGGTGAACACGCTCCCCCCCGGCGGGGGGGCTGCGGGGTTCTCATCCTCCTCCGAGGACGCCTGCTCCTTGACCTTCGCCATCAGCTCCCGGCGCCTCTGCCACTTGGCGTCTGCCCGGGCATCCAGGCGGGCCTCCTCCAAGCGGGCTGCAGCCGAGGGGAACCTGGGCATCGGCAGCTCCTTCTCGTCCTTCGCCAGGAGCTCCTCCATGGGCACGTCCTCCTCCGGCGGGTTCAGGAGCTCCAGGAACGCCCCTGGGGGGCGTGTCAGGGCCTTCGGCACCTGCGCCACCCCAGGGGCTGCATCTTCCATCGGCTCATCCTCTGCCTTGCGCTTGGCCGGGATAAGGGGGGCCTGCTCCAGCTCATCTGCGCTGGAGAAGAAACGCTCGTCAGGTGCCTGAGGGACCTCAGCAGCCAAAACGGTCCATCCTTCTTCCTCCCTCTTCACGAGGTTCGCCAGGTACTTTGCCATGGAGGCCTTTGCCTTAGCCTTGGCCTCTGCTGCCGCGGCACCAGCGTAGGCGGGGGCGTACATGGCTTTGAGAGTAGGGGAAAGAAAGATTTCAAATCACAAGACAAAGGATCAAAAGGTCCACTTGAGCCAAAATGGTGGCCCAAGTGGATACTTATTAAGAGTCAAGACAAGCGACCACCTACGGTTAACGCTTTAGCCCAAAAAAACACTCCCATTCAACATCCCCTTAAAGAAATAATAGGAATCCGAACCCCCAAACACAGCTGGTTTCCAACCCAACCCAAACGGGGGGGGGGTCTTTTTGCCACCTTTTGTGAGAAAATTGGCGACCCCCTTAAAAAGGAATCCTTCACTACGAGGGGAGTCGAACAATTTTCCACGAAAGGTGGCCAAAAGACCCCCTGAACCCAGGCACTCATCCCATTCGGCCGCCGCCGCTTGACGCCTGCAGGGCGTTCTGCTGGAGGTCCAGGCGCAGCAGCTTGGGGCACCCCGCCAAGGCTCCGGCCAAGACGTTGGCCGCGTCGTCGCTCAGACCGTTGCCCTTGCCACGCGACCGACGACGCTCGAAGCGACGCTCGGACGTTCGTTTCACGGACGCTCGAGGAAAGTTTTGTTCGGCTGAAGCAGAAGAGAAGGCACCCCAAAAAAGGGCTTCGCCTGAAGGACATGTATGTTTGGCAGTGATTTGTTTTATCGTTTGATTTGGGTGTTGTTCGATGCTTCACAAATACTATTTGTGCTACTTGGAAGGCACGCCACTTCTCCGAGAAACAAAGACATGGCACAAAGAATAAAGAGCACATCGACTAGGGCCATGCTGGGACAACCCCCTTTTTTCATTGACGGCAGGCTTCGAAACTGAAACATTTTCTCTCCAAGCACTCGAGGCCCCCATGCTACGATTGGACCTGGAAGAGGGGTCCAGACGCAGACCAGAAATTCATCCCGAGCCCCGCTGAAAGAGCAAAGGACACCACTCCATGTTTTTCCAACAAAGTGGGCTCGACAAGTCTGGCAAGCAGGTTGTCCAAAAAGTAGAATTCCAAAGCCACCACGGCCCACTTCCATCTTAAGAGGGCACATGCTGAGCCGAGGCATAACCCTCAACCATCCGGATCCCAAAGGCTTCCACTTGCTTCCAGCTGCCATCTGCACGCCACCATTTCTCATTTGCCCTATTCCGGTGGGGAAAGTTATCCAAAGTAAAATCAAGGGGCGGACACTGGGGGGGGAAGCGACGTCTGTGTTGTTCACGCGCATGCCCGAAAAACAGACTGGTGTTTGGAGTAGGGCAAAATATTTGGCCGCGGATCTTGGGAATGGCTATTCCGTGAAACGGGAACTCTCTGCCAACACCAAAACTCGACTGATTCAACACACGACGATCATGGCTATTTGGAGTTCAAGCTTGTAACAGAGACAACACACAACAACACCCCAGTTGTTTTCAAAATTTGCACATGTATAGATGTCGATAGTGGGTGCTCGCCCAGGAAAACGTCGTGAAATCAAAGCTGCCTTTGGTTGCCTCGAAATATATTCTTATTGGTTCTCTTCCAAACTCATCCCACACAAATGCGCCAATGATCTGTGGAAACCATGCGAGACCAAACCCGGAATAAGGAAGCCAAACATGTGCCAGCTATTGCTTTCTGGAAATCGTTTGGGGCCAGACTCCTGCAAATTAGCATAGAACCCAAAAGAGGGCCTCCCAAAAGAGCATTCCTCTCCTCCAAATTCAATGCGCATTTTGTGGGTTCCATGCAAATCTGCAGGGTACTCCGCTCCAAAACCCGTACCCCGTTCTGAGGGCATGATTTGTCAACCCTAAAACAAGGAAGACACTTTGACCGCGAACCCCGCCCTTTGAGAAACCCCCATGCCAGGGTGGCCCTGTTGATGGGAAAATATCCTTGGGTTTACCTTCCGGGAGATCTCTGCACTCTTGGGTGGTGCTCACTGCTCACATTCCCCAAAATGATCCCCCGAAATAACAATCAACATGGCGGACGAGCGAGCTCACTATCCAACTAGCGCGCGAACCTAACAAAGCAACTTAAGAGAGAGAGAGAGAAAGTGAAAAACATAAACTTACACAACATATTTGGAAAAACATAAACGGACGGAGAACACAGAAATAAGAACAAAACGAACTCTAAGAAGACTCCTTCTGTTATCTTTTCTTAATTACCACCTAGTTACCTTCCTGAATTCATTTAACAGTTGATAAGAGACCAGGCGATAACAGTCTTTAGGTGTCTATCACTTGACATGTCGTTTTTTTGTGTCACGTTTAGTAGTATCATATCCACGACACACCAACGAAGGGAATTGACTGTGCTAAAGCCCCAGACATGAAATGATTAAGTTGTTGCTTGGTACAAAACTAAAAAGCCAAAACAAAAAAAAACGACCATATTTTTATATTTGGTGTGGCCCGCATTACCAACTGTACGTTTAATAGTTTTCAGCTGATTCTCTGTTATTAAAGATTTGTAAAGAGAGACATGGCTTTCTTGATCTCATGTTGCTCGTGTTTGTTTCCCATGTTCTCATGGAAAACCTGGTAAGTTCTTCAAACTGTACCAACTACAAAGCAGCGGTGAGGCACGCTCCAAGGCAAATTGACACGGAAGGAAAACAAACAAAGGGTCAAACGTTGCCTCTACAAATGAGGTTTCTTTGGGTTGAAACTGCAGCCAATCTAAGTGCGGATCGTTTTCAGGGCTTGTCAACCTTTGGCTATACACGGGAGGCATTTGCAAATGGCAAGCCCTGTTCCTTTCGGACACCCTGACTGGTTGTTGCACCAACTGGCTTCCCCCGGTGTCTTCGGTACGACGGAGTTTGCAACCTATCCGCAGTAAGCACCGGATCGATCAAACTTCAGCTTAGGAACTGATTGTTCATATTCAACGCAGGCTGCCGGGTCACTTTCGGAATTGTAACCATAATATGTTTACCATCATTTCCAGGAGAAAAAACAAAAACGACTTGTCCAGCTTCATGTCCAACCCATGGGATGCCATGGATCGAGTCGACTCGGCGCATCCGAGGCGCCGAGAGGTCCAGGCGCCGCAGCTGTGTGAGCCGCAGGAAGGCGCTGGAGAGCCGCAGCGCGCCTGCGGACGACACGGGGGCCATGTAGGCGGCGTCGTCGGCTTGGAGGCGACCCCCTATGTTTGGTGGCGGTTCAAAGGGAAGCCAGAAGGAAACCTGATTTGTTGTTGCTTTCAGTTGTTTTTTGGGTGCTGTTGTTTGTTTGTTTTCTCTTTTTTTTTTTGTGGAGGGGGGGGGGGGGGGCGACCCACAAAATTCCAATTTTAAAATGGGTTACAGCCCCAAAATGCTGGGATGAGTTCCCTTTGTTTAAGGGTTTGAAGGTTTAGGGGCCCCTATGTTTGGTGGTTTTAAAGGGAAACCAGAAGGACAACCAGAATTTCGGGGGCCCCAAACATGATACACACGCATTTGCAGTTTGGTTGAAAGGGAGGCCGAAAGGAACCCCGCCCTTTTCACGTTTGGTAAGGGAAAACCGACAGGTTTTCAACCACACACTTCAAGTTCGTTGAAAGATCCAAAGGAAAACCACTTTTGTCAACTGGATTTCAGGGGGAACCAAAGGGAACACCGTGCTTTTAGGGTATAAGGTCACGGATTGAAGGGAAACACGGAGGACACCACCATATGCTTGAATGGATCGAGTTCTTGAGCGGAAACCGACTCGAGCAATTTAGTTTTAAAGTTTATCGTTCTGGGGCAAGATTTGTTTGACCCACAGCCATATCTGAGACAGAAATAGAAGGGGTGGGCTGTCTGGACAGGAAAAGAAAGGGGTTCTTGGAAGGGCTCCGCAAAAGTGATTTTCGAAGGGTTCCTCGAAGCTGTAGCGCAAACTGAACAAGTATCAAAACGGTTCCGCAGAACCGTTTGTCGAAGTTCCGAATCAATTCCTGAAATCACGCGCAGTTGTTGCCCAACTCGCGAAAAACTGTGTCGAAGTTCCGCGGCGCCAGAAATCCAGACCCACGCCCCTTCCCGAAACTAATACCATAGACTCCGTAAAACCAGGCAGCAAGGGGCCACCTCCGAAAATGGACAAAGGATTCGGTTCTAGCATGGCTTGACAGAGTGTTCATGGGTTCCCCGAAAATGCCAAAGGTATCTAAAACCCTCCCCCGACCGACGGGAGCCTGCGAAGCCGATCTCGTTCTTCGCCAGGTCGATGGCCTCAACCTCCTGGCGGTTGGCGGGAGCTCTGGGAATGAAACCACGAGATTTGTTGGTATTTGCAGGGGGGATTCCAAGCAAAAAAAACGTTGGGGAATCGAATTCCAGGGTTTCTGAACGGTGGTGCAGGATCATCCACAGTAGGGTTTCAGAAGCCATTGCTTGTTGGCGTGGACGTGGCGGGGATCGTTCAATCCAGGTTTCTTGGGGGTTCAACCAGTATTCATAGGGTTTCACACCTAAGGCACCATGGGAATGAAACCATAAGACGTTTGTTATGTAAGTTGGGGGATCGTTTATCATTCCGTTGGGTTTCTGAACGGTGGTGCGAAACGGATTTTGTCCATCCACAATAGGCAAGAGGAAACCATGGTAGCAACTAGACTGATTTCTCCCCAGCGGATTGGCCAAAAGTGTGAGCTTTTATACCACCTCAATGGTCCAAACCAAAAAGTCGAAGTGCAGGAACTCAGGGAGCGAGGGCAACGATGGGAAACCCTGCCCATGCCTCACCTATGGCTGGGAGCAATGCGCCATGCGAACGGCGAAATGCCTGGGCCCACTGGGTAAGATCAATCCATTAAGCTACAGCTTAGACTACGTGGTTTGCACATCGTTAGAAATTTGTTGGGACCCGTCCAATTCCCGAGAAAGACAGGTGAACAACCCGAAGCCATGGATTTTGTGCTCGGAAGAATCCGCGGGACACTATGTTGTAGCAGTGTATTCCCTCATGTCTGGCCCTTCTGTTGTATTCTCCTCGAGAAATGCCCTTGTAAACTTTTGGCCATGGGACTGTCAACAAAACTCATCCCTCCTAAATCATTGAAACCGAGTGGGTACCTCAGAACCAATCTTTGTCGTGATAAGGGTAAAGTATGCACCAATTATTTAGCCCGTGGCCCGTATGTTATTTGTCTAGGTAACCAGGTATGCTTACCTCCAGGTTTTATATGATGGCTTCCTGAGATTGCCTATAGTGAAGCACTGGGTTAGGCAGTACGTGCTTTCAGCAGAGTGGTTGGTGGGCATGAATCCTCACCTAACATGTGTCCACCAATGGGTCCCTCGTGTTGTATGGTGGTTTCGCAAAATAGTGGTCCCCTCGGGTCCCCTACTTGCTTTGCTGTTGGTTGCCCCGTAACCTTTCTTGTCGGGGTGAGAATTCCTTTCATCTTTCGGGAACAAACATACGAGTTTAAAAACCACTCGAGATGTAGCTGGACACCTGCTCTGTTGTGTGCACATTGGACCAAACCATGCAAGTCTTGGGAATAGCTTAGCTCGAAGGGGACTAACCATACTAACCCCACTGGATTAATAGCCAGCGGACCCCAAGCATAGGTGATTTGGAAAATCCATGACACTGGAAAATGAATAGAACCAAAGTGAAACCACCACCATCTATTCGTTCAACCAAACTAAGCAAGCAAAAGGACCCCTACTGTGGATGGACAAAATCCTGCACCACCGCTCAGAAACCCTCGCGTAATTCGATGCCCCTGTAAATACCAACAATTGTTGTGGTTCCAACTATGGTGTGGTGTGAAACCGTATGAATCATAATGCTGGTTGATAAAGTGACCGTCATGGTTTGATAGGTCGTGTGACACCCAATGAATACTGGTTGATAAACCTACCAACCAATGCGAATGGATTTCGTCCACCCTCCAAACCTGGGCTGTTCCCCTTTGATCCGCTGCTAAACGTGTTTAACTTTTCGCGGTTTAGTGGAAACTACCGCTAAACCAACCAAAAACAGCACTGGTGTCCTTTTGATAAGTACATGGCCCTGGCAAAGGGAATAAACCACATCTAAACCAGCGCCATCTATTTGCAACCAAACTAACCCAAAAAGGACACCTATGCCACCAAGAAACCTCGCTTCCTGAGAGGACAGCCAAGAACAAAGTCCAAACTGTTTGCTTTCCAGAAAACAAAAAAAAAGGAAAGAAGAAAAAAAGTCGTAAGTCCAGAAACCCACCATGAGAGCCTGCTCCCCCCGTTTTGGTTCTCTCTCCTCGTTGAGGCGCTTCGCCAGATGCTGTGCCCCCAGGTGGCGCATGCGCGCGTCCCGCAGGCGCCAGCGCCGGATCCGATCCCAAGGCACCAGGCCCCCGTCCCTGCGAGTGGATTGGGCCAAAACTCGAGGGGTTGAGTCACTGAGTCCAGGTCCGCCCTTTTCAACCATCCTTCTTCGGCAAAAACCAGCCAATTTTTTTCCGGTTCCGCTTTTTCCGTGGGTTTCCGGGCAAGGATTTGGCCCAAGGGAAATGGAGCCGAACTTGCTGGCAAATTGGACCCCCCTGCAAAAAGTTGTTGTTTTTTGCTTCTTCTTTTTGTTTTTCTTATAAACCGTTTGGTGGTTTAGTAAAAACCGCAACTTGATTTCAACCAAAAAGTGAAAGTCTAAAAACCCAACCCAATAGCAGTCAAGGATGAAGGGTTCCTCACGTCCCAGCGAGTGGATTTGGCCAAAAGGAGCCGAACCTGTTGGTTCACCACAAAATGGTCCAAACACCAAAAGTGACAATAAGGAACTTGTTGATCAAAAAAATATACGATCCAAACCCAACAAGAAAAGGTGATTGGGTTCACAAAGCTGACTAACTTTTGTGATTGACCAAGGTGTTTACCGCAAACATGGCCCAAACCCAAAAGTGACAATGAGAAAAAGGAACCCAACTTTTTGCTCACTATGGTTTAAATGGTAAAGGGCCAGTTTTTCGAACGAAGGTGAAACACATTGGCCAGTTGATGGTCCAAGCCCAAAAAGTGACGAAAGTCATCATGAACTCAGAGAGATGGCTTTCCCTTAAAACGGTGTCCTCTGGTGGGTTCCGTGCAGAGGAGAGTAACCTCAAGCCAAAATATCTATCCATGAGGGTCTCCCTTGTCTTGCTGGTGCGATCGGTAGGGAATGACCTTCCGGGTGTTGAGAACGAACCTAGAGACTCTCCTTTAAAGGAAACCACCAGTTGGATGGCTTTTCACGGGGCATTCCCTCATTCCCTACTGAGCACCAGCAAGCTGGTGGGGAGGTGACGTTTCCAGGGGAGCCTTTTGCCACAAATCCACATCGATTTCCAAAATGCGATGTTTTGGGTGTAAGAACCGGGACAAACCAACAGCATACCTCTCGGATTTCTATGGAAGCTTCCCCATTCTTTCCTCAGGAAACCATCAACAACTCTGGGGAAACGGCTGGTTTTTGAAAAGAACGATGGTTGAACAGAATGGGGAATCAACCCTAGAACGTTTCTTTGATTTGTGGTTTTAGAGTGGTTTTTGCCCAGAAAAAAAGGAGCTAATTCCTGGTGTGTGTTGTTTGGTGTTTTGCTCTGAGGTTGGCTTGGTGATGTGCTTTCAGTGTGGTTGCCCACCAAGGCGTGATGTTTAAACTGCCACCTGCCACTGAGCTAGTGCTGCAACCGGGTCGGTCCTTTTGACCCCCCTTCGGAACACGGTTGGACCAGAAACGCTGTAATGGCGGGCAATACATTTTCCAGCCTAGAATGGACCGACTGGAACTTGGGGAGTTTAACCACTAAGTAGGCTATGTAGGTTAGAACCATGCTTAAAAGGAGGCCGACCCCAGTGATCCTAGTTATATCCCTGGTAGCCTGCCTAAGTCGGTTGAACCTCCAAGAACCGCCAAGGACCTCTTTGTGCTTGCTGCTTTCTGTTTCACCAATTCAGAAGTCGAAGGACTGATGGGTCATGTCTGGCATTCTGTCGTGTGCTCCTTCCCCCCTCCCCCGCTATTTTGGGTGTCTAGTGAGTCTAGTGCTGGTGTTGTCGTTGGTCGCGTGGTTCTTGGCGTTGTCTGCTTCTTCATTGTTTTCTCCATCCTCTCGCGGGTGTTTCGTGTTTTTGTTACTTTTGTGGCTTCCACAGGTTTGGCTACGTTTCTTCCACGTGTTGTGGCAATGTTTCAATTCTCGGTTTTCCATTTTCCTGACTACCTCAAATACAAACTGTGAAGCTATAATATCAACCTGAAAAAAAGAAGAGGCCGGAACTACCAACCTGGCTTCCAAATTACAGGGCCTGGCTAAAGTCCGCCTGCGAACCAAACACGGTGAAATGTCGCGAGCCGCGTGCAGGGCGAACCCGAAAGCATCGTAACGGGCTGGGCGCGCGGGCGAAAAGATGGCG